TACTGGCTCACACAGTCCAAGACACAACACAGTGGTTGAAGCTGCACCCATACTGTATTATGTATTTAACTTTTATCTGTTCCTAAAAGAAATATGCATTAATGTTGCCTACCCCGTGTACTCTTCACCTCCAATAAACAAAAGAGAAACTTTACATTTGTTGCATTAAATTTATACATAAATTATACCTTCATCTTGAATAAACTTTGTGTTAGAAAATAAAGAATAACATACGCTGTGTGCATTATCGTCATTTGAAAAAAATTGCAAATGCGCGAATTGAAATACAGTACAAATTTTATCTGCAACTGAAAATATACATTTGTATTGTACTCAAAATACATGAACCTTACCTCCACCTGAAAAATAACCACTACACACCTCCACAAATGACATTTAAATGTTAATTATACTGGTAATGAAACCTAGGCATTATAATCTAAAGCTTAAAGCTAACATTGTTAAAAAGCCTTAGTTCACCTCAGTACCTGACGTTACCACCGCGAGGTTTCCAGTACTGAATGTTCAGCAGTGTTAATAAGATGCATGCATTAAAAAATAAATAAAGAAAGAATATTCCCAGATAAAGCAAGACTCAAGATTCAAAGTTTATCCCCGCAAAAGAAATTATAAATTATAAATTTAACCAATATTTTAAATCTAATTAACTCGATATTTATTTCAAATTAAATTTAAATTTTGTCTTAGTGGATTATTAGTAATGTTCAACCCTTGAAACAGATCATAACTTTGGATGTGCATATTGAACACTGCACCCTAGTGTAACTGATACAAAATATGACTAGGTTTAAAACATGGGATTATGTACTTACCAAGGACGCTCCTGTCTGTATATATCTTGATTGAAGTCTTAACCTATAAAAACATAAACCTGTGTTAGATACAAGTATTAACTATGTTCATTATATCAACTCTAGTGTGATAATAAACCCCATAACATTACAATAGTCCAAAGAAACTAAAGTCACAATACAAACGCTATCAAGGCTTAAATACAATAATTCCCCTTAGGCATATTTCCAGAAGCCAATAATTGAGAAAGTTAGCAATTGGTTTTTAACTTTACATTCACCAAGAACTTCAATAGTTACCTAAACTCCAATATTGTAATAATTAAAGCAACTGTTCCCTTAATGACCATACTGCAGGTATATACAAACAGCCTTCATCCCAGAAATTTCAAAAAATATTCATCGACCAGTTACTGAGATTTGAGTCCTCCCTCTTACTACTAACTAATACACCTGTACTACCTGGGATTTAATACACATGGAGAAGCTGTCGGGGGGGGGTGGGGGGGAAGGTTATTTGTGTCTCACTAAAAGTCTGTCTGTAGGAATGGCTGATTTAGAATTTCCTTGGATAGACAATGGTAGAAATATTTATCTTCAACATTTAATAGTTTCCATTTACCGACCAAAAACTGTTTCTCTATTTCTATTTAGAGGGGTCCCTTGAAAAATAGGCACGGTATATACATTACTGCTCCACTTTCCTACAAATCTTCCCCATTTTTAAGCCCTTCTTTACATCTGCTATTAATTTAGACAGACAAACACACACAATGCCAATTAAATATATTTCCCTAAAGGTGTAGGCTGTTGACTGCTGACATTAACTTTTACCGGAAATATTTAACTTTTTACTCAAATTAATCACTCTTGATCGCATTTAACCAATAATTAATCATGTTAAAAGAGGTACTGTACTTCAATAAACCAAATTCCATATACTGAGCTCACAGCACCATCAAAAAGCACCATTGTTGTTTTGTCTTTGCACCCAGGACTTTTAAAACTGTCACATGAAGTGGCTTCACATATGAAAAAATAACCATCAACTGCACTGTTACAAGACACTATTACCCATGTGAGACACCTTGTCAGAATAGCATAAAGCTCCACTATATGCATGAACCGTGTCCATGTGCACCTGTCTGGGGTATTAAAGTACGAAAATAGTTACAGGAAAAGTTAACCCAAAAAATTTTCAGTGTATAGACAGATGAGGGTTATGTTAAATCTGGTCTAGTTAGAAAATAAAGGGAAACTGTGACGTAAGAACAAGCAAAACACAGACGAAACCTAACCTAACCAATTACAGAAAACTTTAAAGAAAATTGGGTTTAAAAACAGGTGTCCGGGTTAAGTAGCCGAGTTAGGAAACTTTTCAATAGAAGAAAAGTTCTTTAGTTTATCGAGAGCATTCCAAAATGGCGGAAGAAATAAATTTTGCCAAACAAAATGATTATCAAGAACCTAACCTAACAACTCCTAACCCAACAAGGCAAGAGGAACAACAAAGGAAACTAAAGAACCAAATCTGATATGGAAGTCAGAAAATTCGAAAAATATAAAATTCAGACGAAAACGCTTGAGTAAAGTATTCTCTTTTGTTGCTCTATATATACCGATCAATATAGAGTTCCATGACCATAGGTGACCTTTTATGAATCGTAACCTTACTCGTAATTAATAATGCAAATGGCAGACTAACAATAACTATTTGTAGTGTGTGTCAGCCAGCACTACAGTACACCGCCTGATGTGCAGCAGCAGGCTCAGTTGTCACACAAATAGTTTATTTATTTCATTCGTGGAAATTACAGAATTCTAATTATTATCTGAGTACAGTATACACTTTCTTCAGAATTCCTTATTTTTTTCTCTAATCACAAAGTCTTATTTAATAAATCAACTAGAGCGTTATTCACCACTAACTTTGGTCAACTTACACATGTCATATACATATACTTCAATATCACTATTTTTGCATAGTTTTTTGAATAATATTTGCCATTAAAAAGTAGAAGAATACGATAAGACGTCACCGGTACCTTCACAGCCTCACACCCCGACAATACCCACTACATATCTTAAAATACCACTCTATATATCACTTACCACATTCAAAATCTGACTGGCATTATAAACTATCAGTATTTTTATCATTTAATCAGTAATGTATACTTACACAAGACGTTAGGTTGGATCATGACTTCGGTAATAGCATTTATCTTTTGTCTAAATAGCTTTCTCATCTTTCTATGGGATAAATTTTGTTTGGATGTTTGCAGCACCATTATTCTAGATACTTTTTACAAAGAAACTGTCGGAAAGCACCTAATGGTAGTAGGGTTTAACGAAGCTTTTTTGGCGCGAACACCGATCACCTGTTGCCGCTGTGAACTGTGTCCACTAAACTGAGAATATTTTACCGAAGTTAGTAATATATATTAATTATAGAGTCAGTGTTCTTTTTTATATATAAATTAATAAAATTATTAACAAAATATTAATATATTCGTGAAATAAATGTATTAGATCTCATATATCGTTTTGACAAAGGGCTTCACAAAGGTTATTGCTGTTATTACTACTCAAGCACACATTAAAATACATGTTTCATTTGATCGGCAGAAAAGAAATATCTTTTCTTGATTGATTTATGGCTTACTAACGATGACTGGGATATACGATTATTTTTTCTTTGATATGTTAAATAATACTTACCACAAAATTAAATGCGATATATATTTTAGTTTGTCATTTAATTGTTGACATTTTTTTCATTTTTTGTTGTTTTTACTGTACACTTTAAAATATTATGGACTTCAGATGATGAAGTTATTGATGTCTGTAAATAAGTAACAGTTTGGCGCCTGGCCCAAGTCTGTCACACGGTGTTCCAGCTATGGAGGTTTACCACCAAATTTGACTCCATTGTTTCGAAGTTTTGTGGGGAAATTTTACTCCTACCTTGTAATTATCACCAAACTCTGCTATTCACTGCGACCTGTGAACAAAATCAGTATCATTCAACTGATTACAGACAACACTCGTCTCTCCTGCCACCCTTGCGAGTGACTAAAACCAGGTAACTCATTGTTCTTTGACACATTTACTCAAGGAACAATTATTTTGGACATGTCGGTACCTACTAGTTATCAGAGCAAGGAATGACATGTTACTTTTTTCTAAGATAATTTATGGTGTTCAAAATATGTTAAGTAAAATGAAGAGTAATTAATTTGTGTGAGAAGAGAAATGCCTTGAGTCTTGGCCGATACTACCAGCAGTCAGCAGCCTTATTGTCTGATGGAAAGAAATCCGTTGGCATCATGTATGTAGAGTGTCGTTTTATGGAAGTAGTGTAGTCATTGTTTCTCAAATGGGGGTAATGTTGTTTTAGTACAATACACATGTATAGTTTTTTCTAGTACAGACGAAGTACTGTACATTTTATTATACATCTATGGGTCTCGCCTTAATGAATCTACTTGAGGCCATTGTCTGTTCAACCAGTCCTATTGTGTTTGTTGCATCTTTTATGAACTCATTTAGTTTTTTTATCTCTCTTTGTCTTTATTCTGTACTATCCTTCTTTCCCCCATCAAATAAAAAACTTCCTTTGTGTACTCCCCTTATTTCTAATTCCTTTATACCCCTTTGTTAAAACCAGTTGCTACAATTTCCTTTTCTTCTCCCCAGCCTCTTCCTTCCACCTCCTCTCCCATCAGACTATATCTGTTCTCTTTGTTTATTCCATATCTTGCAAATTGATTTTCTTCCTTTGTTCTTTTTTATTCTATTTACCTTTTTTTAACGTGATTCTTAATGTGGTATCTGGTCGCTGTACTTCCTGGGTAAAGTTTGGATCCGTTTTATTGCATTATATGAACTTAATGTTATTGTGGACTAATCTGTTTGCTTTCTGCTCCTCTCTTCTGGGCTTTTTCATGTCTATAAATGTCTTGGGTGATGTCTGTACCTAGTGTTTACTATTTTCTTGATTGCTAGTAATACAGTATTCAGCCCACCTGTTCCCCCTCCCATTTCTTTCTCCTGTACCATACGGAACAGTTATATAGTACTGCAGTTATATCTCCCATTAGAATTAATATCTTCTATTATTTACATTGTCTTTTGGCCGTTAAGAAACCACAGTGACACAGGACAAAAGGGGAATAATTTTATTCCTACAGGAATTTATTTATTAATAGAGCAAATAAGAACAATTGATGCAAATGCAACACACTCAACCCACGAAGCCATGATCGAAAATAGCGTTTGGCTTACACACGTGTTGACCCAGGCACGTGTCATAGCAGCATTTGTCAAGGCCAGTACACTTGCCATCATGGGAACAGGGATTAGGAGGACCCTGGAATCGCGGGCAATCTGGCCGGATTTTTGGACAGTCTCCGTATTTACTAGGAATGGGGACTGAAGCTGGCTCTTGGCTGGATTCACAGCAGTAAGCTTGATTCTGAGGAGTACGGCACCAGTACCTGCACGATGCTCCCTGTCCGCTAATGCCAGATGATGGGTGGTGTCCAGGATATCTTCCTACGGTGCTTCCTCCGAAGACGCGTGTATTAACACTGCCTCCGCCTCCAGTCTTAGTGTTCGTCGCCGTGTGTTTCCCTCCAGTTTGGTCAGGAGCGGCAGCCACCAAGAGGCAGCCAAGAGTCAACGTGAGCAGCACCTGTGGACAAACATCTCCTGATTAAGCTGTGGTCAAATACAGCCAGAGACACTTAACCTTTCACAACATACAGTCAGACACACTTTTGTTAGTTGCATTACGGTTAAGTTATGTTATTCCTGCGCTTCATAACTAAAGTCTTTAAGCAGGTAACAAGGTTAGCAATTACACCAGTCCATCAACAGTTAAACTGTGTGTTGTACATGGTGAGTCAGGGGAGGTACTTGTACACCTAACACTGTGGCCTCTGCTATAACTGACAAAAGACTCATGTTTAATGCATCATGGATAAGAAAGATGAAAAGTTCAGTAATATTATATTTACTAAAACTATCGATGGAGGTTTCACTCTTCTATTTAAACAATAACAGCGAGACCTAAGCTTACAAACGTAACAACTTCAACAGTAGAGGACAACACTAGAGAAGTGCGTGCTGAGAAACTTACCTTCATGTTGGTGGATGATGGGCCAGTGTACGTGTGGAGACGAGCTCCTCGTATATATACTGTACATGCCCAACCACCCACCCTCACCCACACCCCAAACAAGAAAGCGTGGGGGAGCCCCACGTAGTCTAGTTTTGACCCAAGCTGTTTTTAGTGCTTGTGTCGGTGTTGAATACGAAACCATATTTTGATCTAACACTAAAAAATGCCTTCAGAGCATGAGAGGGTAACGGGTAGTTCTGAAGGACAAGTTGTTAAATAATAATAATAAATAAATTAATAACATACTACTACTACAAATGTTGCTGCTGATGATGATGGTAATACAGGAATAATACAATTTACGTTTTTTCCATGAAGTTACGTTTCTCCAGAGAAGGACATCAAACATGATGATTTTTCAACGAAAATGCAAGAGGACTTACTGTACCTTCGACATCCACTGTAGTAAGGAGGTGTGTCACATGTCCCAACCTGGCGACGACAGTCCGCCTAGCTAACACTACACGGATCTAGAAGATGGTTTTGCCAATGCATTGTTAGGACTACACGAAGCTCCTACACATAATACTTGGTCCGTCTTTCAAAAGGTTTTCCAAAGGTGTCACTGTCACCTCACTTAGATGATCACAACTCTGCTTCCTCCCCGAAATATCAGACTCATTTGATTGAGAACGTCCTCAGGAGAGCCATCACTTGGACACCACGTATACCATGAGCGATTAGGAAGCCTTCAGTTGTATATTGTTAACAACTACCAAAGAGTAAGGAGCAACTTATTAGGCATTTATGATCACCTGAGAGATCATTGCTCAGCATAATGTATATATCTGGAGTTATGGTTTGATGGCCACCCCACTAGAGGCGACAGCTAAAGAACATAAACACTCGTTTATGTAAACTTGGCCATAATATGAGGATGGACTCTAGCAGGTGTAAGTAGAGGTGGTCGCGTCGGTCAGCAGGTGGAGGAGTTGCGAAAACATTATACTATGCAGTACCTTAAAGGGAAAAAATAACTTGCCAAACCACAAGAAGTAGTTTACGAGACGGGAATTTTGCTTGTGTGTGGGGGGGGGGTGGCTCAGGTTGGGGCCACGTGAGTGAGGTGGGGGCACATGGGGTAGGTGGGAGTGGTGGAGAAAACATGTAGACTGTGCTGGACTTCCCCAGAACCATTAAGTGACTTGAAAAATACAGTGATGGTATGTAAATGGAGGGTGTGGCGTGGGGTAGTAGCTGGTGTAGGAGGAGCTGGCGAAGGAAGAGGAAGAACTAGAAAGAGGACAAGCTCGTGAAGGAGGAGGAGGAGTTAGTAAAGGAGGAGGAGCATCAATCAGAAAATCAAAGTACTGCACAATGAGGTGTAGGGAGGGTGAGGGAGAGGCAGGGAGGGAGAGTAGTGGTGAGGGGGCAGGGAGGGAGGGAGAGTAGTGGTGAGGGAGAGTGAGGGGGCAGGGAGGGAGGGAGAGTATGAGGCAGTGAGGGAGTAAGAGGCAGGGAGGGAGGGTGAGAGAGTAGTACTGAGGGAGAGTAAGAGGCAGGGAGGGAGGGTGAGAGAGTAGTATTGAGGGAGAGTAAGAGGCAGTGAAGGAGGGAGACTGCGGTAGGGAGGGAGTGAAGAGTAGCAGGGAGGGAGAGTAGCAGTGTACTGTATATTAGCAAGTTTAAATTATAAAATAGGGAAGAAGAACAAAGCCGGTGTATGAACATGTATAATAAAAGATCTTGCTGGTATAGAGGTGCGCGTTCAGGTTAGGTGACGGTCAGCTGCTCTCGTGTTAGCTGGAGTGGTCGCTGGCGTAGTGACGCGCGGCCTCCTTTTTTTTTTCTTTAATACGGGGACTAGCCCACCCGGGCACAGGTCAAGGACCCACATCAGGACCTGGGGGGCGAAAATATAGTAATAATAATAATAATAACTCATTATTATTACTATTATTATACTTAATAAAAAAATAACAATTGTAAAAATAAAAATAAAATAATAATAATAATAACCATAAATAAATCCAAAAACGAATAAAAAATCAAGAATGTGAAACGATATACAGTATGTATGTTGTGTTGTCCAAGTGAGAGAAACAAGTGAGACCCTACAATTGTGTGTAAATAAAGGAGAAAGTCAGATGAGCAACGTGGGACTTGCTCACAACTTTGGTGATGCCATAAGGCATCAGGGTCTACCATTAGACTGTTGTCACCAGTCCTTCTTCCTGCCATCTCTTAATACAATACTTGACCTGAGGTTTGAATCACCGACAGATGAGCTCAGGGAGTGTTTGTTAGGGTGGGTGAAAGGTCAAAAGGCCATGGTGATCCTTAAATGGAATATAAGGTTTTCTGTGGCCTGACATATCGCTTCAGTAGCAGATATAACATTAAAGCAACAACAAAAGGAAATCCACGCCAGACAGTTTGTGTGTTTGTGTACCTGATCTGCTGAAGTGAACGCCCCACGCAACACAACACTAACACAGGAAACTGGCCGGCTCGCAGAAACCTGTTTCACGCTCGGCCATTTTTTTTTTTTTTTGTGGCAACGATTTATAGTGAAAACCAGGACCTTGTAGTTCAGGGGAGGGGGGAGGAGGGACGATAGCAGGAAGGAAGGGTAGCAGGGGGGGAGGTTAGCAGGGAGGGAGCGTAGCGGGAGGGAGGGTAGCAAAAAGGGAGGGTAGCAAGGAGGGAGGGTAGCAGGGAGGGAGCGTAGTAGTATGCAGTATTGTTATGTCCACACTTACATTACCAGTAAATATACCCATTGTGTCTGGAGATTCATTATTCCCTAAACGCATTATTTATGAAGCACTGGTGTACCTTGTTTTGTGGATTGTTTTGATTATGTTCACAAAGGGACAATCGTGTGGCGCATGACTGAGGTTGTATTAAACTTGAAGAAACTGACTGAGCGATGTAAAGAAACAGGAAAGTATAAGACGTGTTGATTATCTTCTGCGTCAACTTAAATATACTTGTTAAGTCTCGTATTATTTGGAAAGACACCTGAGAAATGTATCCAAGTTAATCGTGGTCAGTTTGGACATTAGAGTGAAATTTACATTGCCTTTGGCTCTAGAATGTGTGTGTGTTGCTGGACTGTTCTGTTACTTGTAGTTTCTTCATCACTCTCCAAAACTTTCCTTCCTTCCTTGAGGTTACTGTGGCTCTGGCTAGAATCTGTACTAGTTGTTATAGCACTGTCTTGACACTTTCTGCACCTACCCTACCTCACTCATCTCCTTCATTACATCCCCTTTTCTTGGGTTTTCTTTCTCTCTTGAACCGCTTCACATGAAGACTAGGAGAGGAGAAAATAAAAAGAGATAGACAGATATTTCTTTATTCCTCAGTGGGAGTTAGAGAACCTGGTGATAACAGAGACGTGGTGCCAAGAAGAGATTTATCGTCTCCCAGGGCCAAAGAAGGCGCCCTCAATTGGTTTACACACACTCTCCTGCAGGCAGGTGTCGTAGCAACACTTGTCGGAGCCTCCACACTGACTGTCGTTAATACAGATCTGTGGACCGGCGAACACCCTGGTTGGGGGGCAGTCTGGACGTACTGGGGGGCAGTAGCCGGGCTTGTCATCACAGCAGTAGTAGCCATTCACCCCCCTGCAGTGGTAACGGCAGCTGGCACCTATAGGCAGGTTCCCTCCACCTATCACCCCGGGGTTGATTCCCACACCAGCACCGATGTTGCTTGCTACAGAGCCAACTAAACTCCCCAGATTGAAGTGACGTGTGTCAGTCTGGCCAAGTGCCACACCCAACACACACAGCAACACAAGCTTCATCATCTGCAACACAAAGATACGAGATAAAACCATATATGAAGCAGATATTTAACAATATTCATCATGCTGTGTTATCTTCAACTCTAACGCCAGATTTTGCCACAGGTGTAGAGTAGAGAGCCTGGCCTTCTGTATAATAATTCACGCTAACGTCTCATTTCTCAGATACAGTTTTACGTGTAATACTGATGCACTTATTATTATTGTGTATATAATGAGCTCTCTCTTAAAAACATTATTTATATTTATTATTTACATGACAAACAAAGTAATATTATTAATGTTACTTATATTTCAGCACCAACATAGTAGTAGTAGTAGTAGTAGTAGTAGTAGTAGTAGTAGTAGTAGTTTTCAGGGAGATTATTTTGTTACATTAATTTAGTGTACGCCATCGTTCAAGGGAGGATATTTACTGACGTTTTCAAGTATCTTTCTTTGAGGGAGAATATCTGCTTACGTTAATCTCCCTAAAGGCTTATATATCCACTGGGGTCCTGAAGAATAAACTAACTTCAAATATACACAAATAATTAATCAGCCAGGTGTACTGTTACTTATATCCTTAACCTAATAACGAGTAACTTTACCTTGGCTCTCTGTATGTCCACTCCTCCTAGGGCGTCTGTGATGTAATCTTGAAGTCGACCCTTTTATATGGGCTTCAAGGAGACCTGCCCCTCCCGTAGACAATATCTGGCCAATAGGAATGAGTTTATAGTTGTCAGTTACCATACATGTGTGTTTACCTCTGTATAAATAATAAAGAAATGTGGCTAATAAATGTCTTATACTCTAGAATATACGGTAATAGGAGTAACTTGTAGATAAATCTGTAAATTAGCTAAAAATATTACAAATAAATGCAAACTACAAGACAGTATTTCCTGGTGTTAAGAAAAAGAGGGTTACCATATAATACCTGGACCCTGCCCCCCCCATCCCTTCAAGGACAGAGAGAAGACACTACCTTCACTAACACACCTGTATAATTAGTGTTAACCTGGTAGATGTGCCCCCCTCCCCTACTCTCTCTCTTTCTCTCTCTCTCTCTCTCGATTCAAACACCTTTTTAGTGTCCGTGTTTATGTAACAGGTTCACTCTTAATATATACTCATTATAGATAAACTGGGGAAATAACGAATCATTTATCCCAAAAAGTGTGTGTGTGTGCGTGTGTGTTAGTAAGAGAGGAAGGCTGCGGTGAGTAACAGGTGCGGGTGCGGTGTATTAGTGATGGCGGCCGCTGACCTCACACAAGTTCCCTCTCCAGTGACTGACAACCTATCTGGCACTGCACTCGACTGCCTTCCCTTCTCCATCTGTAAAATAAGGTACCACATTACAGCTGACTCGATTACAAATGCCTAGGAATCGAACCAGAGACTCTTAATACGCAAGGCGAACACTGTAACCACTTGACCTTTTTAGCTTGTCTGATGGGTGAGCTGCACAATACTGCCAAGAGGAGGGAGTGTGAGGTATCCCAGTGACATGCTCCATCCCAGCACAGGGGGAATGTGTGCCGAACAAGCCCTACTTTCCAACTGGCTTTCTAATTTTTCCACCTCACTTACAGGGTGTTCTCAATATGGTGGAGGAGAACCTGTGAGAGCAGAGAAAACTTGGCGAAGATCCTCACGACATAAACGCTTGTTGCCTTCCTGTGTGAGTGTGTCCACTGTTGACGCGGCAATAACTTGACATAACAATAGATTCTGATGCAACCTGGTGTCTGGATATACAGTGCATGCTGTTATTTAAAGAGTTACACTTTACTATAAAGAAAATTGAGACATTCATCTTTCACAATCATGATTCTTCCTCCTGAGACTGGTCGCCGCCAGGTATAGAAAGGGAAGAGAGAGAGGCAAGACTAGCGAGAAACTTGATGAGCCAACAGTGTTAACCAACCCTCCAAGCCTAACAGCCACACTACACCACCACGAAGGTCGACTTAAGTACTGTATGCTGCCTGTTGTTATTCAAATTCGCCACAGCAAATTTAAGTGAAGATACGATATATCATCTATCAGTAGGAAACAGACAGACAGCTTCACTATTGTCATTCTGGAGACCTCACACATGGCTGACAGACGAAACTGTTGAGATCTGTTGATGACACAGTCCTGGGTAGGTGAGCGAGTCGCCACCGGGAGACGGAATGGGATATAATAATGATAATTAGTCGCATGACATTTAAGAAGCGCTGAGGACAGTTGTGACCTTTGTGAGTCTCGCTCTAACTGATCACACACACACACACACACACACACACACACACACACACACACACTTTCCAGTTTTCCTCAGGAGTCAGTCACAACACCACTGTAAGGTAGGTAACTGTCAGGGTATATAGTAAGTGTCCTTGGCAGTGCCGGATTTAGACCTGTAGAGGTCCATGAGCAGCCTCTTTGTGGAGGCCCCCCTCATTATAACTACCCAGGAGGGTGGGGTGGCGAGTGAAGCGAGCCTAAACATCTGGGAGTTCCGGGGGGCGCTGTAAGCCCCCCGGGAAATTTTTTAAATTTGAACATTTCTTTGGAGAATTTTGAAGCCATATGCAGTTATATTGAGGAAATTAGAACATTGCGAAATTTTTAATTAACTGTATATTTATTGAAATTTCCAACACACACACACACACACACACACACGTGAGACATGACTGGAGTCATTCATGTGGTTTCAAGTCGACCAGCCCTGATATAGCTACTACCGCACATGTCAAAAATTTTCAAGAGACCTCACAGAAAAGAATATATTATTAGTTATTACAGAGAGATGATTCTTTGCTTTATTAATCAGATAAACCTCTACTCAAATAATGGTTCTGTCCAAGAATGCATGTATAGGCTTCTTTAAGTCCAAGGTCAGATGTAATATGTGGAGGCCCCTGGGCAGCTGCCCACTTCGCCCACTCCTGAATCCTTCCCTGGTCCTTGGATGATATAAAAACTAGTTTAGTCGCCTCGGATCAGGGATGAGCGCACGTTCTAGCATCTCAAGGGCGGCAGTGACGGTAGGCAAGTCCCTCCAGGTCTCAAGAAAATATTCCACGTGGCCGTAACTACTGTACAGACGTATGAAGATTATGTCCTCATAAAGATGTTTCAGTACACGACCAAGTGAAACACGGCGACTATAATCACCCCTGAGATATAGCCTCTGTATTATCCACAACAGAGAGGACCTCGTAAAGACAATCAAAATACTCAAAGGGATGGAACACGTTACCCCAGATCCCTTCTGCAAAATGTTAGTCACCACAAACACAAGAGGTCACATCATCAACCTTACCAAAGTGTCATGCAGAGTGAACATAGCGGAATACTTCTCCACTCAGAGGGCGGAAGACTAATGGAAGAGCCCTATCACTGAAGCCGTGGCAACAAGTACAGTACATTAAAGAGGTCCTGGTTAAGGCTGCCAAGAACACTGGAAGAACCTACACCAGCACCACCTATAACAAATGATCAAAGATAATTGGAATAAAGACCAATCTCAAATAACTGAAAAGAAACAAACCTTATTATAGAGTGTTATTAATAAGCCTCCATCACTCCCCACTTGTGATGTAGCGAGTGAGAATATGTGGCGAGGGTAAAGGGCCGTGTGTGTGCTGGACCACCCCACAACACCCGGGATGAATATATGAAAACAAATACATAGACAAGAGAGGAAGGGAGGGAAGGAACAGGAGGTGGAGATCAGTATCATAAAACATGTTAAGAGACATGATGTAAATCTCACTCAACAGCGCCTTAGAATATACTTTTAAAATCAGTCAAATAACATCACTTCAGCTCTCATATAAGGTCAATTTAAGTGTCAATCTATTTATTTTATTTATTTTACTCTTAGTCTCAAATTAATTTTCTGTTGTTCTCTTTTTTTTCACAATATTATGAGTATACAGTAGTTAGACACTGGGGAGGGACACTCAACTTAAACCAACAACAGGACACTTTAAATAACGTTAAGAAAACAGTCGACACAAACAGCCAAAATAAACCCGTCTTGGTTCTTATTCCACCAAAACGTAGGTCAAATTATTTCTAACAATAGTAGTAGTAGTAGTGGTGGTGGTGGTAGTAAGGGTAGTAATGGTGGTAGTTGGGGTAGTAGTAGCGGTGGTAATAGTAGTGGTGGTAGGGGGAACTCAGGTAAAAGTCAAGATGATACACAAAAACATGATAAACAATGAATTACGTGATGGTACGCCCTCCCTCCATCACCACTACCCCTCAGGCGCCTCCTCACCTCAGAGCCTTTTATTATTCAAATTTCCCTCAACTGGAGAGAGAGAGATTCGGGATAACCCATGTAGTGTCACAATATCTTTTTTGTACAAGTGTACCCAGACGTGACCACACCTAGAGTGGTCACACTACCTGGAGGAAGGAAGGAAGGTTTGTTTGATAACTATTTTTTTATTTGTTTGTTAGTTAGATAATTTGTTCGTTTGCTGTTTAGATAATTCGTGTGTTTGTTAGGTGGTTAGCTAGCGTGTTCGTTTGTTAGACAATTTCATCGTTTGTTAGTTGGTAATTTGTTACTCTTAGTTAACTAGTTTGTTAGTTGATTACTTAAATAACTATTTAGTAACTGAGTTAATTAGGTATTCTGTTAACTCCGTACAGTATTTTACTTTATCCTCTTCACCACTAATCGGCCTGTTGACAAGTACTGCACTGCCTCTCGACTGTTTCTTTACCTGAGCAGTGTTGAATAACTTCACTCTTGGTGCCGTCACAATAATTACTGACGAGTTATTTCAACAGTTCACAAGTCTCCCACAAAAAAATATATCGTCCCTGATAATTTTGTGAAGTTTTGGCTTCTTCAACATGAAGCTGTGACCTCCAGTGGGGCGGTAGGGCTAGAGAGAGAGACTGAGATAGGAGATGAAGATGATAAGTAAGTCATAACACGAAACACAAAAAACATTCGTCGTCCATAATAACTAACGGTGTGGGGTCACTCCTCAGCTACCTGGTGCACGACAAGTCTTGCAGTGTTGGTACAAGTCGACACTGGTGCTCTACCCGTGTGTGCTTGGAAATATACTGTATATCTTACCATTGAACTGACTTTGGGTGGTATGTAAAGCGAATATATCGGTTTGATCAAATAGTGATTGTTTCCACTTTATACGTGGTAGAGGTGGTTCGTTATCCTTGCTTGATAAATTCCTCTATTGGAATTTGATTAAAAAAAGAGTCGGTAAATATCTTTCTAGGATGGTTAACAACAGAGTGAAAGTGGGAAATATTTGGCGGGTTGTTGTGGGCGAGAGCACCTGATAGCACAGTCCATCGTGACCCGTGGTTCACTCTTGACGCTCCTGCATTACCTTGTCCCTGTTTGGTGGCTCTAAAATGTAAGTACAAGAACATATATACAGTATATATATATATATATATATATATATATATATATATATATATATATATATATATATATATATATATATATATATATATATATATATATATATATATATATATATATATATATATATATATATATATATATATATATATATATATATATATATATATATATATATATATATATATATATATATATATATATATATGTGTGTGTGTGTGTGTGTGTGTGTGTCAAGTAGTTACTGTTAATACTGGTATTTACTTCTTTTAACAAGCAGGTTTTTTAAGTTTTTTCCCAAATTATATAACTTGTATTAACTCTCAAGAAATTAATTCAAGAGCATATAAGGAAGCAGGTTATCAACCAGTGGCAACGTTGCTTACTACTGTATGTTAATTACTTCATTTGTAATCCTTAAAATAACACCAACTTTGGCTCCTTAAACAACAATATAGTCAGGTTTAATTGTTGATGTTCTACAGGTAAGGCGACACTGACACCTGTGACGCAACGACAAGCAGCAACAATTAACAACAATAAGAACAGGAGCAGTGAAAGTACAGCCGGTAACAATAATATAATACAACATTTCCATTAATAATGTCATTGGTAAAATAACAACAAGGAGAGCCAAATTATCAACAGTAACAGGAACAACAACAACAAGCAGTAGTGAGACAGCAACAGTAATCAGTAATGGCTTACTACCCGCCATACACAACGGCAATGTGTAAGTTATGTGTTCCTACCTCACTTTATCCTCTCCACCACTACGTACTGTATATTGGTCTATTAGCCGTCTCTGTTACACACCGTTGGCAGATACCGGCCTTGAATGAGCTCACACTCGGTGCCCTCACGACACTGGCAGTGTTCCAAGAGCTCATGACTCTTTCTATTGTGAAATTATGTCATTTAAAACATACATTCAGAATAAATGAAAACTGTAGTATACATTATGTATGCTGAATATTTGTCTTCACATTTACATAATAATAAGCAAGATCTAAGATATGAAAGGTTACATCCACAAGTCATATATAATCCTCAGAACCTGAAAACTTACATTACTTAAGGTGCTCTCAGTAAGTCCTGTAAGTTTAATTTGATATCGTATTTCAGGAGTACTAATGTGTGTCCGTTTATTGTTGTACAGCTCCAGGTGGCGGCGACGACTTCCTGTTTTGGTTGCTCGTCGTCCCGCCGCTCTGGCTCTTTAACCTCCTCGTCTTCGCTCCTCTCCAACTCATATTCGGCCCATTGAACTCTGTCTCCCAATGTGACAGCTTCACGTAAGTGTTCCCAGTGTTCTTGTTCTACGTTATCCTGACCCAACCTAAGATAATCTAACACCCCTAACTTAAGTCAACACAATCTTAACGTAATCTAACCTAAACAACATTCCTAATACAATAATCTAACCTAACCAAACCTTAACGTAATTTAACCAAACCTAACGTAGAACACTTCTAATATAACATACTACTAACCTAACCAACAGTTTTAGTACGAATATTGTTTTGTTCATGTCGAGTAAGTTAAAAGTCCTGTTGAACAAATGAGGTGATTCCAGCGGTAACATCCTAGTGACTAGGATGTTACCTAGTCAGTCTACTCTCATTTGGTGAGTTTAGGTTGAGTTAGGTCAGGTTAGGTTAGGTTAGGGAATATGTGATGTTTTCAGAGTAGACAAAGCATAAACCGATTCTAATGAGCACCTTTATCCTCCCTGACAGTGGTGGTATGATTCCTTTCATAATCCGCTTGGTGCGAGGTCAGGAGGTCACCTGGGGGTTTGAATCTTGTTAACCTGATTCTCTATACTATGTGACATAGTAACGTCAAGTGGGCGTCCAGCTGAGTCCTACGCCTCCCTCCCACGCCATCCCCACAGCCAACCACCTCATCCTACATGTACTGAAAGAGGCTGCAGGACCTCCACCATAGACAGTTTATCCTGCAGGAGAGAGAACAGCCTGTATGACCCATCACCGTCAGTATCAACAGGTCGTCTCCTCCTGCCAGTAAATGTTCTTTGTTGTCTGGCGCCGTCATACTCACCTGCATTCATGTATTAGTATTAAGAGCAAATTATGCATATAAAAATATTTAATATTTTATAATTAGTAGTACATAATGTTTGTTTTTAATATTGAGAATAAATCGATGTTGAAGTGACTCGTGTACATCTTACTCCTCTCACTATTAATGTTTATAATCTGGTATAAGTAATACACACAAGGCTCCCAGGTAAGACATAATGTTCCAGTGTGAGGAATGTGTGTGTATACCCCGCCGAAAGTGTGCTCTTACCAAGGTGTAATATGAAAGAGGACCGTGTACAGTATGTGCACCATTGTAAGTAATGATCGAGCACGTGTTCTGGCATTATAAATGTGTATATGCTGTGATGCAAGTTATTGATGCATGCCTCACCGTATATTCCCTGGCATAAGGATTATACTGTACACATGTTTTCCCGTTCACTTTCATATTCTATCCCTGCCCTTGTCTTGTGCTTCCCTAAATCCCCAGGGTAGGACTTGGTTCGGGTTACTGAATTTCTGAATCTTTTCTGAATTAAAGATTAATCTATTTGATTCCTGACAATGGTTTTTACATTGTCTCGAGGTGAGATCCATATATAGAGATGCCTGGAGTGTTGTTTAAACCAGGTATTTGAAATTATCATCTTATTTTCCTTGCAAAAGTCAATTAATATTTCCTCTCTTCCATTTCTATTAGCCAACCCATGTGGTCTTACGCCTAGTTCTTTCCCTTTTCCAACTTTTGCGTAAAATTCCCCCATTTCTGTATAATCAGATGTTCATTAAACTTCACGGTCTCTTGCTTTCTTTAAATCTCATATTTTTTTTTCCAAAAACTATATCCTCACTATCATTTGTTGGTGAGTAAACCTATATTATTACCAACTCCATGGGTTAAAAAAGATTTAAAAATGGGGAAAGTGAGGTCATACGTGTGCGTGTACCGTAAAGATCTTTAAATTTCTCGCGCGTCAATAGCCAAAATGATAGTTACCCACAGAACATTAGAAAAACAGGCACAGACGGCTAGTAAGCTGATAATAAGTGGCGAATATGATAAAAAAAACGGCTAGTAAACTGATAAGTGGCGAATATGATAAAAAAATGAAAATCTGATAATATTCATTAATACGAGCTATTGGTGGTAAATTTGTTATGAAATATATTATTTGTTGTCAGTGTGTATATAAATTTAATCATCTTTTATTTAACTCATATACAAATAGTGATGATTTCCATAAATTTTGAAAATATAGACTAACTGAGAACAAATGTAACGAAAAACTCTATTGTTTTATCTGTATTTATTATCCATCACACAGTGCGTCGCCTCAACCACACTTACCTCGAACATCACAGTTGTACCATCTAATTTAGGGAAGAAAAATAATCAGCCAAACCTCTATTGGCCAAAACAATATTATGGTAGTTATTTCATATAATTAAGTCAGATTAAGTTAATATGCATCACAAAGAAAATAATATTTAACACCATTGTTGTTCGTGGTGTGTGGCTAACATCTTTGTTGTTCGTGGTGTATGGCTAACATCTTTGTTGTTCGTGGTGTGTGGCTAACATCTATGTTGTTCGTGGTGTGTGGCTAACATCTTTGTTGTTCGTGGTGTGTGGCTAACATCTATGTTGTTCGTGGTGTGTGGCTAACATCTTTGTTGTTCGTGGTGTGTGGCTAACATCTATGTTGTTCGTGGTGTATGGCTAACATCTATGTTGTTCGTGGTGTGTGGCTAACATCTATGTTGTTCGTGGTGTGTGGCTAACATCTTTGTTGTTCGTGGTGTGTGGCTAACATCTTTGTTGTTCGTGGTGTGTGGCTAACATCTATGTTGTTCGTGGTGTGTGGCTAACATCTTTGTTGTTCGTGGTGTGTGGCTAACATCTTTGTTGTTCGTGGTGTGTGGCTAACATCTTTGTTGTTCGTGGTGTGTGGCTAACATCTATGTTGTTCGTGGTGTATGGCTAACATCTATGTTGTTCGTGGTGTGTGGCTAACATCTTTGTTGTTCGTGGTGTGTGGCTAACATTAACACTCCTGCCCAGCCGCTGGACAACAACAGCTCGCCTGCACCAAGGAAGCGCTTGTGTGTGTTGTAATATCCTCCCTCATACTTACAAAAATAACCTTGTACTCACACCAGCAAGGTAACATTTACAAGAGAAACGTAATAAACACTGGAATAATAATGCTGCAGGAGGACGACTATGACTCGGACACAAGTGATGACGACTTTGTACCTCAAGGTAGACCATGTGGTTGTGTACCTTTTTATCTTATTTAGCCGATGGCCACCCGAGCTAGGGATGGCCAGGCCAAGGGAAGGGGGCCAGTGGTCTGTGTAGGCTTAAACTGATGTACATATGATTTACAGATACCAAGTGTCCAACATCGGTCCGACTAATTACCCAAATGTAGCCGCAATGAAGTCAAATGATGGTCCTATATGAATAAATCGGACTGCCAATCACTTCTCGATTATTATTTGGTGTCATTAAGTCACAAAAAATTGGTAAACTTAATTTAATCTGAGTTGTGTTAGGTTAGGTTAGATTAGGTTAGGTTAGGTTAGGTTAGGTTAGGTTAGGTTAGGTTAGGTACATGCACTTGATCTATTAACTCAGATTAAATTAAGTTTACCAATTTTATGTGACTTCGTGACACCAAATACTAGTCGAGGTTAGGTTAGGTTAGGTACATGCACTCGGGTCTATTAACTCAGATTAAATTACGTTATCCAATTTTTTTTTTACTTCGTGACACCAAATACCAGTCAATAAGTGATTGGTAACCCGATTTATTCATGTAGGACCATTATTTGACTTCATTGCGGCTACATTTGGGTAATTAGTCGGACCCTCCAACATTCCTAGTACACAATTATGTAGGCCTACAATACACTCCTGGCTATAAGCACCTACAGTATAGTACATACAGACCTTGTTAGTAATTATGATCAAGGCGCATCCTTATTAATAAACTTTACAATAAATTTCTCATTAAATTGGAAAAATATTTTTTTCCCATTTCCTCCACCCTACATAAGGAAATAAGGAGTCTGCAATAGGCCGGTTGGCCTGTGCATGGCAGCTCCTGTCAAGAGTTACTACCGCTCTCTATAAGAACATAAGAATGGAGGAAACTGCAGCGGGCCTATTGACCCATACTGGGCAGTCCCGTTTATACCCAACCCCTATTGCTCATATAAGCATCCAACCTATGTTTGAAGCTATCTAGCGTATTCGAGTTAATGATGATATTTGGTAACTTGTTCCATTCATCCACTACTCTGTTTCCAAACCAGTGTTTACCTATTTCACGCCGAAATCTAAATTTGTTTAATTTAAAACCATTGTTACGAGTTTGCTCCTGGTTGGATAGTTTGAGTACCTTTGTAATGTCCCCTTTGTTTAACCCTGACTTCCATTTATACACCTCTATCATGTCACCCCTCACTCTACGTCTCTCGAGGGAGTGCAAATTAAGAAGCTTTAACCTGTCTCTGTACTCAAGGTTCATAATGCCTGGGATTAGTCTTGTCATTCTCCTCTGGATTCTTTCCAAGGATTCTATATCCATTCTGTAATACGGTGACCAGAGCTGAACTGCGTAATCCAGGTGAGGTCTCACAAGCGCTAGATATAATTTTAAGATGACCTCGCTAGTCTTGTAACTAACACTCCTTTGTATGAACCCAAGTACTTTATTAGCCTTGTTACGAGCAAAAACACATTGTTTACTTGGCTTAAGATTCCTACTTATCATTACTCCTAAATCTCTATCACAGTCGGATTCCACAATGGCATCGTTGTTCATCTGGTAACTGGTTTCCCTGTTTACATCTCCTATACTGAGTACTTTACATTTGTCCACATTGAATTTCATATGCCATTTTTCCGACCATTCGAAAAATTTGTTTAGATCTTCCTGTAGTTTTGCAGAGTCCTCGTCAGATTTAATTACACGTCCTATTTTAGTGTCATCAGCAAATTTACTTATGTTTCTGTCTATGCCGATATCTATGTCGTTTATGTATATTATAAATAATAATGGTCCAAGTACTGAGCCTTGGGGAACTCCACTAGTGATGTTGCTCCAATGCGATTTAGTGCCGTTTATGCTCACTCGCTGTTTCCTGTCCCGTAACCACGCCCTAATTCAATTAAGGATGTTACCTTTGATGCCATGCGCTTCTACCTTTCTAATTAGTCTTTCGTGGGGGACTCTGTCGAAGGCTTTGCTAAAGTCGAGATATACCACATCATGATTGTGCCAATATACCACATCATCCATGAATCTATCTAGCCTCCTTTTAAAACTTTCCAGCGTTCCAGCACTTACTACAAAGTTGCTAAGCTTGTTCCACTCTTCCACCACCCTATTTGTGAACCAGAAAATCTGGATATACCTGTTAGTGGGCAGGACATGAAAGAAGAGGGAAATTACGGTCTTAAAACATGGCAAACATTGAACATATAGCAATATTTTGATATCTCTTGGTATTTGCGGACAAATAAAATATTTATATACTGTAAATAATATTTACGGTTAATAATTGGCACCATATTTAATATATATGGCAACAATTTTCTTGCATGCTCACAGTGTCATTGCTTGCTTCCAAAACTATAGCCAACTGAATCTGCCATTTGTCAATATGTATAAGAAACAATAGAGGATCTCATCAGGGTTTGTATTACCTTAAAAATGGGTGCCAATACTTTTGTTTGTTATCTAATACCATTCCATTTTCTGTTCTTGGTGTCTATGTCTGTGCAAATAGATTCAATTTTTTCTTTGCTGCACAATACATTTCAGAAAGTCTTATGTAATACCTAATCAGAATTAGAATCATATGGTTGAGATTCAAACCCGTTACTGGGGCTTGTATAGCTTAACTTATTGTACTTTTGGAAGAAGATGGTTACCCATCTACTGTGTTATCTAAACAGTTACGGCACCATGCACTGGTTTCACTAAGTTATTGGAAGCTGTCAGTCTTTGCTGATTTCTTAAGATATTAGCCAAATTTTTAAAGTGTTAGTTGTATCCTGTACACCACCATGATTGGTGGGTGGTTTGCCTCATGTTCTATAAATAATGATACAAACCAGAAAAATAATGTTCTCTTTGAGACTGTCATGATGCATGTGAGAATGGCATCCACTCGGTCTTTGCTGTATTTTTATGGGTTATGGTAATGATGAGGTGGTACAGTGCAGTGTTGCTCATCAGGCATCATTGTCTTAGGGTTGTGCAATATTGGTAGTATACTGTAGTTTGTTTCGGTACCACGTCGCTAAACGTTAGAGACAAAAAATTCGTTTAACGTCCCGGTGACCCGATACTATGCCGTTTTGCGTCGTCATGGACTACTTTCTGCGGCGCATCACCCTCTCTCGCCTGGCCACGTAGTTCCTCTTTCTCGTCTCGGCACAGAGTCTTAGTGACTCACCACCCTCCTCCTCTCCCACCATACTCCTCCCCTCCCGCCATCCGCCTCCTCTGCTTCACTAACCACCACACACTCGCTCTACCTCCTCCGTCCATCGGTGAGTACCAATACAAACTTAGTAGTTGTATATGTATGCACTATTTTCTATAGAAATGGCAATGATTTTCTGTATATGTAATGTATTTCCTGGGGTAAAGGGAGGCTCAGGAACATAACTTCCGTATTTTATCTATTTTTTGTGGGGAAAATTGATTCGCTTAACGTTATTGCGTATAACGTCGAATTTTAGGAATGTAACCCCAACGTTAAGCGTGGACTTACTGTATAGTATATACCGTACATAAACTGCCTGGGTCAAGCATCAGGTCATAAAGATAATTTAACTTTGTTGTTCGTGTATAAAAGAATGTTAATGTTTACAGGAGTGGAGAGTGATGAAGAACCAGTGAGTGGTGAGGAAGATGAGGGCGACGAGGCAGAAGATGATTGTGATGCCAGTGTTAACGATAAAGGCAAGAAAAAGAAAAAGCTGAAGAAGGGAAAAGTTGTTGTGGAGAAAGAACAGGAAAAAGACAAACCTAAGAATGAAGAAAAAGAAAAGAAGAAAGCAGATGATATTTGGGCTGGTGAGTTTAAAGATTTACAGTGGCTTCTGTTTACCATATTCAGTATCATCATATTCTTCTTCATCTCTGCATAATGTCTCATAATTTACACCAACAATGTGTACAGTACAGTACAGTACATACAGTATTATTACAGATACTTGATTAGAAATTAGTTAACTTTTCAATTTGCTCAAAGTATTACCGGGTATCACTGATACTCATTTTCCTGTCATACAAATTTCACAAAATCACACCCAACCTACTTTAGACAGCTCCACACAGCTAATACCTGAACCGCTCCACCAAATGGGGTTGACTGCAAAGTTACTATTCTTTTATAGATTCAATCCATCAGGTCATGGAATTGTCCTTTGTATCAAGTTACTTCTCTGCTTTGTTGTACAAATAAAACCTCTAAGTCACCTTTTTTTGTGGAAGATGCTGAGGTGCTGACATAGGCATCTGGGAGCTTCTTTATGTAAGTTGGTCAGTGGTCTAGATTGTGTGTAGTTTATAGAGGAAGTACACATGGAAGTCATACACATGTCCAACCCGCCCTCTTTTCTATGGCAAGGGGTACAGCTGGCTTCTGTGCCAGTGTCCTTCCCTCTGTGAGGGGAACCTAAGAGAAGTTTCTAGAGTGAGGTATACAAATATATGCATGAGTCAAAATCATACCCAATTGGAAATTTCTAGCCCAGCGTGGAGGGACTGTGTGATGGCTGGGATCCCATCACCAGCTTTGATGGTTGTGGTTAAAATGTGCAGGGCTATGTATGAGTGAGATCATGGCATCCCCCTGCCTATATCACACACTCACTCTTTCTCACAGTGACTCGCCCTATGAACATCCCTTTGATGCTGGTCTCATGAGTTTGTTATAACTTAAGATTTTTTTGTTTTTGCTAAAATATGGTATTAAAGCATAAATTTGATGGTATGAATGGTGATACTACAAAGAGAGGGAAGAAAGTAATGTCAGTGGAACAGAAAGTGTTATTGCTTGATTGAATTGCAGTTGGTAAAAGTGTAGCATGCATTGGCAAGCATTTCCACATTAATGAATCAATTGTGAGAACTATTAAGAAAAGTGTGGTGGGAAGCACACTGAAGAGCACAAAAGTAACTTATATGCCATGCACAACATACAGTAACTGTGGGTGAATTTTCTAATGCCTGTACTGTACAGTGTGCTGTATGTTGCTAGGAAAGACATCCAAGGTTCCTTTACAGCCTAAATAGCATTGTCAGGTTAATTGCATAAATGTACAGGAATTTATAGTTTTATACTATCATTATCTTTATTTAACAGATTTTCTGGCAGATGTTGAAGAAAAACCAACACCTCCACCCAAGCCTAATGATTCTAGTTGGGCAGCTGTGATGGGACACAAGAAGTCTCCCAGTAGCTCAAATGCATTGTGTAAGTATATTATTGATGGCTTAACTTACTGTATACAGCATATTATATACACTCAGTATAAAGTACTGTACTGTACATAATATAATTAGGAATTCGTTTTGTGCACCTTTTATTAAGTTATAGAAATTAATAAAATATGTGTATAACTTAGCTCCTTGCTGTTTGAGCTCTTTCATATTACGGTTTCAGCAGGTTTATAGGATCTTTTAAAAACATAGGCTGACCCTGATTAACAAAGATTTCGTTTACGAATATTCACAGTGATGAAAAAACTTCCCCACACTTGGGTTTACAAGTGAAAACCCTAAATGTGAATTTTTCTTCATCTATAATAATGAAAATAAGCTAAGATATTACTGTTTGTTTTGTTCTACTTCTATTATATCACTAATTTATTTCATTATTCTCCAACATTAAGTATCATTATTCTCCTATGATTACCATATAACTTACTCCTCAAACTCACATGAAGACAAGTGACTGGTCACTCACACCACCATACACACACACACACACACACACAGTCACTGAGCCAGTTGCGTGATTGCCCAATTTCTCCTCATTTACTCATAATATGTGGAGAATTAAATATAAGAAAATTTTTGTGTATTCTTTAATTTCATATTTGAATTATGTACAATACAGTACAGTATAGAATTGTTTGGAAGTGAAGAAGTGCTTGGAGTTGTGGTGAGTACCAGCAAGACACGGAGGGAGGGTAAGTGAAGTATCAGTTGATGGCTGAAACAGTGTTCCTGCCATATAAAGAAACCATCTGAAATTTATCTCTAATTATATAATGTGAGTCAATGTTTTTACTACAGTAATGCCCCATATATTTATATAGGTGTTGGCCCAATATTTCATACTGTTCACTTTGTTTCCAATCTTGTCTGGTTTCTCTAAAGTGCAGGTATAAAGTAGCACTGTACTGCATGTACTGTACTGTCATTAAACTTTATATTTATTATTATTTTCTTATAGCCAAACCAGAAGCCTCTTCTGCTAAGAGTGAGAAGAAGGACAAGGAAGATGGTGGGAAAAAGTCAAATACCGTCAAGATCACTCAGGTCTTTGAATTTGCCGGAGAAGAAGTAAGGTTAGGATTCATATACACATTCATACTGTACTGTATATAAATTAATAGACTCAGCAACTCAGTTTTTATAATCTGTCTTTTGTCATGATGCTGCGTATGTGTGCTGTTATCATCATCAACCTGGATTGAGTGGTATGTAGTTAGGTATGAGAATCATAGTTATTTGGTACATAAGGTTAAGATAAAAATTTAGTGCACTTACTATTTCTCATTACCTATATTAATATTAAGCAATGTACATGTTAAATATTGATATAACATCATACCGAGTACTGTACTGTATATGTATTTTAGTATGTATGAATATTGACACTTGTATTGGTTGAGATGATTACTAGTGTGAATGTGTGAAAGGATTAGTGACAGGATATTTGAGATTAGATAGGTTAGTTATATTTGTTTGATTTTTTGTTTATTCAGGTTGGTTATGCTGGGTCAGGTTGGTTATGCCTTCCCCAATGTATAGTAAGTTGTTAATATTTATCCAGCCATAAAGGAAGAAGATAATTCCAGTCCTTCAAATTATAGCCCAGGAAGACTTGTTGTTCTGGGTTCAAATTGCAAATAATTGTTCTTTTTTTTTCCGAAATCATAATAATTTTATTTCAAATTTACAGAGTGGAGAAAGAAGTAGAAGCTGACTCAGTTGAGGCAAAGGCAGCCCTCATTTCTCCTCCTGAGACAAGTACTGCAAGTGAAGCAAAATCTCCTTCAGGTATGTGTTGTTGCTTTACAATAACCAAACTTTATTTTTTCATGTTATAAGTTTTCTTGCTATGATTTAGGATGGGTGGACCGGCACTGACCTCCTGATGCTTAGCTTTCAACAACTAGGGTTGAATCTCCTCCAATCTATCCTAACTAAATCAATCCCAAGCAAACCCTCCCAACCTGACCTGACCTAACTTATTTGAAAGGTAAAAGTAAAGGCAGTTTTTCTCAAAAGAAAATTATTAACATATATAAAATACTGTAGTTCCAAGAGAGATCACGTGGTCTTGTCTCTTCTCCAAGCCTTGCATTCAGTGAATGAGCGTAGCACACACCGGTTACCACTTAGCCATAAGTGCCCATAACATTATTAACTTGCCTTTTTTCTCTAACCTATCCATCCCAACCTAACATAAGTGTTCCAGCATACTCTAATCCAATTAAAATTTATTAACCCATTTTAATTATACCATACCTGACATAACCCTCTAACATACAGAAATTTTACCTTAATATAACCTTTTGTGGACTTTTTAAGTGCTTCACAATTATAGTTTATCTACCTGCCAAAGTTACCTCACACGGTGGGTTTATGTCCACGCAGCCACAACACCTTTACATCTTTTCATCATTGTACTATTTTATTCAAACCTTTTTTGTATAGTTTTTTTATGATGACTGCTATTGTACTGTATATCCCTTATCATAAACATGGCACAGGTATCTTGATGATATTAATAGTATCTTCCTAAGCTTAAGGTACCTGCTTGTAAAAATAAAATCCTTGCAGGTGTAAGTTAGACATGGAAAGATAGTTATTTCCTCACAAGTTTAAGGTAACCTTGTTTAGATGATTATTTCCTTCAGGTTATGGGGTAGTCATGGTCAGATGCTTATTTTTTCATAAGCTTAAGGTACACAGATCTTTAGATGTTTATTTCCTCGCAGGCTTACAAGGAAAGAAGCGTCCTGTTGGACTCTCAAGTATTGTTGGTCTCTTAGACAATAAGAAGCAGAAACTCACCACTTTAGAGAAAACTAAGCTGGACTGGAACAGCTTTAAGACCCATGAGGGCATAGATGAAGACCTTGAGCAACACAAGAAGAGCAAACATGGGTAATTTGATGTATTGATTTTCCCATACGTATGTGGTTTCTTTTGAGAGTTTTCCATAGACTGAATGGATTGGTTTTAATTTTGATGTGAAAGTGTACTGTGATTGGTTCTAGCTTGGGACCTTTTTGCAAGCCAAAATATTTATTCTGTGCAGTACAATATACTGTACCTAAATAATGTCATACTTTTGTGTATACAGTGTATGTGTACTGTATAGTGTCTACAGTTAGAGTGGGGATTATTCAGGAAACAGCATAAATTATACTTTCATAAATTTCTAATGTTTAATATTTTTTTATGATTTGTTCTCTATTTATTTTTACACTAATATTTGCATTTGGATGAGGTACAGTAAATGAATGTTAGTTTGAATGGAAGAAGGAAGACTTCAGATATATTGGATTGTGTGAGTTTGTAGAAAGTATGATGAGTAGGTAGTTGAATGGGCAATATTGGGGTATTGCTGGTATACTGTACTGGGAAGTCATTGGAAATATGAGTGTTAAGTACAGACAGTGGATGCAAGAGGGGGAAACAGATCAGAAGTAGCAGAGCAATATGTGGGGTGAATAGAATGTACGAAGTAAGAAATAGAGAAATAAATGAAAGAATTTTTGGGTAGAGAACTAACCAGGGTTTACTTGTGTGGTTTGGACTTATTGAAGGAATGTGAAATGAAAGGCTGGTAAAATTAATGTTTAACTGAAGAGTGAATAGTTTGAGGGAGAAGGGGAAAGCTAGAAGGATGAGGTGAATGATGTACTAAACATGAAAGGAACAGATATTGGGCTCAGTGATGTGTGTGAATTACTGGAAAGCCAGGCCTCATGTGGATTTTGGGTTGCTATGATGATGGATGGATGATACTAATGTGTGTAGATATATTGCAGCCTCTTATGGAAAAGAAACACAATAGCAGAACATATTTCTTATAGCTGTTAAAGACAGTGGAAGTATTTGATTCTGGCCACTGTGTGTCATAGTGGAAAATGAATTATAAAAGTGAAAATCGTTATCTTATATTTGAAATTTATTTTACAGGTACTTAGACAAACAAGCATTCTTGGAGAGGGCTGATCTGAGACAATTTGAAATCGAACGCACCATGAGAATGAAGAAACGGTCAAACAGATGAGAAGGGTAAGTCAGACTGTGTGTTCCTATCTGTTCTTTGATCCTTGAGAATGAACTAGTGAACCAACAGATGAGATATTGTGTGTGGAGCATAGAACATGTGAAGAAACACAGCAACAATACAATACATGTAAGAGTTGAGTTTACCTTGCTGTAAATGGTGGTTGCGATGATGTCTTTAAGTTCCTGTCGGAACTATTTTCATTGGTGTTTTGTACGTACAGTACTTGTGGCTCTGACCTTTAGTGTAAAAAGTCCATTAATAGGTTTTTAAAGTTTGAATTTCTTAAGAGAATTATTATTTTATTTTATGTTTTATTAAATTTGCTTTTAAAGTTTTAATATCAGACAAAGACAATCTATAGGTGGCGGTACGGGCAGGTACAGCCAGCCAAAGATGCACTGACCCCACCCTGGGTCTCATTCTCGCAATTTTACATGGCAATACCTGGTAAAGGAAGGCTGTATGTAATGGTGACTGTGATTGGTGGATCTGTTTTCGACTGTATCAATGTCAGGATAAATATTAAACAAACCAAAGGTAGAATTTTTATAATAATAAACTATTCATTGTTATTGAAGGTCATGAGAAGTTTGCAAATGTTTGTATATTTGTTTAAAAAAATTAAGAAAATTTTGTGAGAATCTTGTGGCAGCTTTGGTTGTAGTTGAGTTGCCAATTCATTAATATAATTTTCTTCAACATAATAATCTCAAAAGTGTTTGTTTCATTTCACAGATATTCTGAAAAATTGAATGGTGCTTCTCGTGTTGGGTGCAGAACTACGGGCACACAAGTTGGTTGACAGTAATGCCCTCTTTTTAAGAATTGGTATGAAAATTTGAAAAATACACAATTTGTTAGAAATATTGGAAAATTTCAATGATGGGGCTCGAAATAAGGTGATTGAAGACTAACTTATCTTCTCTTTAACATCTAACCCCTTGTGTATGGAGGTCACCTCTGAGCTGAATAAAATTGTCTGGCATTAGCCAAATAAAATATTAAAGGTGACATTCCCATAGTTAAGGGGTTAAGCTTGTGCGATGTCATGGCATTTACTGTATGTATACAGTGTTTACATTGCATTATCTTCTTTAATTAACTCTTCTTTGTTGAAGTGGGTATTTTGACCATTCTGTAATACTGTACTGTATATGTTGCTCCACTATGTTCGATAACGTGTCAGTAGTTTATTTATTTTAGTTCAAACATAATTCACCAGTCACAGAATAAGTTCATTTTGCAATCGTATCATTCCTGCTTTCATAGAAAATTTTTTTATATATATAATTTTGTAATAAATATTCAACCAGAATACAATATTTGTCAATTTCATTACTTAAATGTTTGAATATAAGGATAATTAGTTTTTAGGTACATTTTCATTTATATTTGAAGAACTGTCTTTGTGTTACTGTCACTGTAAAGTTATTGTACTACAGTATATGGTAGAGTTTAGGTACATTTTTGTTCATTCTTGATTAAAGACCCATATCAGTGATCCTGTCATCTCATAGACATTGCTATTCTGTATGATACAGATAGTCCTCAAATAGGAGTTGTTCTGCAGTGACAAGGAGTGGGTTTGAAAGAACATTAGGGACAATGTAGATACCATCACACTGTATCCTAAGCCTTCAGTAGACAAGGAGGTAATGTGATTGGCACTGCACTTGACTGCCATCATTTCCCTGGAAATAAACTCATCCACAGTGTTAACTAGGGATGTACTGTACAGCAACAACTACTTAATTGCATCAGCTTGTGGGAAGAGGAGTTGAGTTATTGCATTTTCCTAGTTTTCCTAGGATTGTTCTGTGTGGTAAAAATTTATACCATTTACAGTTATTTTAAATTCTTGTGCTGTATGTTTCTGGTCATTATGCAAACATTTTACTATACAGTACTTAACAGTATACTTGTTCTTACTCACTGTTTGATACACTGCAGTTCATATCATTGTGAGAAAAGAAATACCCTGTACAGGACTTTATATACAGTATATATCATCAATAAGATATGATAACCTTGGGTTATTTTGCAACTTTTTGTGATTTTTTTTATTTATTGGCGACCTAAATTACTATAGTAGGATTTTTCTATACATTGCAAGAACTTTTTATGTCACAAAGAATGTCAGTCTGGAAGCATTTGATATCAACCACTTTCTTACCTTATGAAAAACCTTAAATGGGAAGGAATACATTTTTCATAATATTAGTTTATGATATTTTTCCATCATGCACATTTGCAATAGCCCTGAAAAAAATTTGTGGCGTACGAGAGCATTTCTTGCTTGTGTTGAATAAGTACATAAATTGTTTAAATATTGTTTGGTGAATATTTTGGGCCTGCAGTACTTTGTCAAGCATTATATAGCTTTTTCTTTTATCTAGTGAACATTCTCAGACCCTATCTCATGAAATAACCCAAGGCTACTGTATGTACAGCATGGATGGTGCAGCATTTGATGAGTTACTAAAGATGGTAACCCCATTGATTTAAAGAAGAACACTGTATCACAGAAGTCAGCGGTCATCAGTAACATTGTGCTACTTGGCCACCGGCAACACATTTGAAGATCTTAAATTTAGTAGCGCAATATCTCCTCAGGCAATTAGCTGTATCATTATGCAGACAAATGAAGCTATTATACACTGCCTCAAAGAATATACAGTACTGTATACTGTACAGGTAAGAAAAAGATGACATTCACGTTTGAAACATTTTTATGAATGATAAAGAGATTTATACAAATAATGTACTGATATGTAAAGGAAACATTGGTTGCACATGTGTACTGTACTCATGTTACAGTTGAGAAAATAACTAAAAGGTTTTTACATGGAAATGTAATATTTCTTAATATGAAATGAAGGTGATAGCACAGTAACATAAAGACAACTGTTGTCAACATCCAACATTGTGTGTTAATAGTCCAGTAGAAAATGAACATGACAATTTCTTTTGTGATATGATTCGTATACTGTATTAAGAAAATATATATCCTTGTATATGTCTTTCTGTATTGAAGGAAATATTGTCCTAATGCACCATATTGATATACCTGTTGAGCAGGCAAGGCACAATTGTATGTTTGATATGTAATACTGAATATATCATCATATCATTAATCCCTATTTGAAGGAAGAAAATTACTTGCCAAGTGCTTTTTGCTCTTCAGCATTATAGCTATGTAACATTATTAGCAACCACATTTGCTGGGTCTAAATCTATGATATAGTCACTAGTGGCTGAAGGTGGATTGCTAATTGGGGTACTTGCTCTACTCATTGGTGCATTTATAACAACTGTGTGTCGATGTAATGTTCCCATTTGACCTTCAAATAATATATTATTTATAACCTTCTTGGCAAAGAGTTGTGTCGGCCTCATCTTCTGCAGCTCAATTGCCCAAACTGTTGTTAATTTTATGTACTCATTATCAGTTTCACAGAGACACTTACATGCCAGTGATACTAGTTCCTCTCACTCATAAGTCTTGGGCTTCTTCCTTGAGGGTGGTTGGTTGCATGATCCTTGAGATGTGAACGTATCATTCTGGAAATAGAGAAACTTAAATGAATACATACATCATAAAACATCCATATTTATATGTTGTTTACAATTTTTGTTATACAGTACTTAACAACTACCCAAAACACCAGATGAATGGAAGGCAATTGCAAACTGCATCGAAAAGCAATGGAAATTCCCTAATTTCCTTGGGAAATAGATAGGAAGCACATTCAAATGAGGAAATCACCCAACTCAGGATCTATGTATTACAATTATAAGAACACCTTGAGCATTGCAATGATGGCAAATGGTTGTGTTCAGTGAGTGCCATTGAAACACGTGCATTACAAGATTTGAATGAAGAAAAGGAACATTGGTGATCGGTTATAACACGTATTATAGCAGCTGTGTAGTACCTAGCTGAGCGCTACAGTACTCTTGAGTGTTAGAAATTCTCACGATACACCTATTGACAAAGCCAAGTTGTTTCCTTCACTAATACAGAAATAGCATATAGGATTTTGTTGACAGTGGCATCAGGAGGGTGAAGTTTTTCTAAACTAGGAAAGCAACTGACAGCACGTTTGTGCTGTCATGAACTGATAGAAGAGTTTGCTGGAAAGAAAGCAAGGATGGTTAATTTTTTAAAGTAGGCTGTTTCAGCTACTTTGCATTTAATAATTTAAAAGACCAAATGAAATGGGATATTAACTTCAAAATGTGAAAAGGCTTTCTATGGCAAGGAATGTTGTATGGGTCAGAAGTGTGGACACTTTCAGCAGACATAAAAAAAAGGTTGAAAGCCTTTGAATTGTGGCATTTAAGCAAATACTAAGATTAAGCTACAGTGATAGGAAAACAAATGAAGTAATACTAAGATTGTCATAAACTTAACAGTGAGATACTTTGATCATATAATTAAGAATGAGGGAATAATAATTTATATTAATAGGCAAAGTTGAGGGTAGGAGGGCCAGGGGAAGGTAGAGACAGATGGATTAATTAAATTAAAAACCGAGTCCCCCAGAGAGATACAAAACCTTTTGAGATTTGGTAAAAACAGCCCAAGAACATTTAAGAGCTGAGGACTGTTGTTACCAACCCTCAGATATGAGGATGGTACTCTGATTGATAGTAGATTATTAAATTAGTTTTTCAGTTATTAAGTTTGTTATCAGGAAAATATTAATTTCATCCATGCTGTTTTATGTCATATGTCTTGTTTACGTTACAAAAAATGTAAAATAATGTTTTATTTACCGTGTACACTATATGCATGCAATAATATCACCAGGTCTTAAAAAAAATTTCTTGTGTATTTCCATATCATTTAAATTATTAGTTATCATAACTTCTGGAAATTATTACATACTGTCAAGGGGTCACAAATCTCTTTCATTTTCATTCCATAATTTGTGTCAATACAGTAGTGTACTGTAAAATTACTACCTGTATCCATCACTTTAATATTGTACATAATTATTAAAAGAAACCTTTTTTTTCACAACTGCATGTTATATAATATGGTAATTATTTATGAATTCTTAGCCGCTGATTTTTCGCAGAAAATGGATTTTAAAACGTCGCAATTTTACTGTGCTTAATAGTGGACACTGTCGCAGTTATGGAAAATGTGTTAAAAAGTGGTTACAAGTATTTCTAAATTAAACCTAATCTATCCTTAGTTGATGGGAAAACAAGCGGCAGAAGTGTTGTTCCAGTAGGAAACTCCGTTAATTTTCCTTCATGACTGACATGTAGATGGCAGGTACAGTAAGTATACTAGAAAGGAAGTAGATGCACTGACAGGTTATTATTGCACAATAATACACGCAGATGATGCAACAGTACACGTATAGTAGAACGGCGATTTAAAGCGATCCAATTTAAGATTATTGATTTAAAGCGACACCCACAATTAAGGACAATGTTTTAATTTCAAGCGAATCTTTCCTATTTTGTGCAAGTCAATCTGCCGCATTATATTTTAAAATTTGCCCCTAATGTTTCTCGGGTCATGCTACACTGTCCTAAGGGCAAAGCTGTACTGTACATGTACTCAAAATAATGTGCTAAATGATTACTAAAATATTTGTCTAGTGCAAACTATAGCATGATTATATTCAAATTAATCACTATCTTATAAGAATTCCAGCAATGTAAATTATTCTCTTCAGTCACTTCTGTGACATATTATAAACAAAAAACAAAAACTCAATCTAAAAGGACATAAATAAAATAAATACTTCACCAGACCTTGGGCCCCAATTGTCTCCTCACCCCCTCCCCACTTTCCAGCCAGGGTTGGGTGGATATAGGCCTACAGTTTTATCTTGTATAATATCTCAGACTAAAGTTAGGAGGATATAATTTGCATTGCTAGAATTCTTGCAAGACAGCGAATAATTTTAATATAAGTGTCATATTTTGCACAATAGATAAAAAATTTTGCCCTTTGTAATAAAATTAATTAAAACTAAAATGTGTATGTCTAATGCGAACTATAGAATGTATATATTCAAATTAATCACTATCTTATAAGAATTTCAGCAATGTTAATTATATTGTCCCAGGTCAGTTCACTGATATTTTATCAGAGAAACAAACATATCACCTCCCCTCCCCCCCAATCTTCCCAGCCAGTAAACAGACCATTTCGCATTCCTTAATTTTAGCTGTGTTGCTTTATGAGTGTTTGTTTTAACATAATACTACAAAAAACAATGTTTTGTTTATTCTAGGAGATGGGCTGAGGTGCATCTGGGTAGACTCTCAGTCTTTTTAGTATTTTGTGTTTCTCTCGAGTACCAAACTAAATTATTCCATTGAAACAACACTTCGGTTTAAAGGACCTCTCTTGGAATGTATCTCTGTTATATAGACGTTCTACTATTACGCAATAAAAATCAAACCAATTTTGATTCCTTCAATGTACAGTACTATTGCATTTTTCTTCAATATTTACCAGAAATGATCAATAATATTGTGTAATATGGGGTTTTGCACAATAATATTGATCATATAGGGGCAATTTTAAAGGCGCTGTTACACAAGCAATAAAAATTGAGCAAATTTAGGCAATATTGCCATAACCATAATTGCTATAATGTGGAGCAACACGACCACAATGTTTACACAGCCATTGAGTCGCTAATTGTCATCGGAGAAAGTTGTGAAGGTAGTGGTCTTGAAAAGGTTCTTGGAATTGCAGTTGCCACTTATAATATAATTCATAAACAATGCAGGAAGAGAAAAATGTGGGTGAGACCATATCTGGAAAAGTGATCTTTTAATGCAGCTCTATGTTATAGGTCCCAAAATGCAGAAACGGATACAAATGTGAGGGCAGCAATTCCTGTGAAAACTAAACTAACAATCACATTAAGATTTCTTGTCACTGGAGATTCCTATAAATGCTTGATGTACTTGCATAGAGTATCAAACGCTAGTATTCCTCTCATGATTCCAGAAGTGTGCACAACATGAGTTGAAGGATTAAATGAGTACATGACGGTGAGTAAACTTTACTTTTTGTCTTGTAATTTCCTTTTTCTCACTTCATTGTACAGTAATTAATTTTCATTACATGAAACAAAGAACACGCTACTTTTGAAAAAAAAATGTGGAATGTCTTTAGAAAACTCTTTCCTAAATGTGGATGTCTTTAGAAAACTCTCTTTCCTAGGTGTACAGTAGGTGTAGTGAACGTAAAGTATACATACATTGCACTAGTACCGATGAGTATAAATTAAAGTAGTGTAGTACATTATGAAGAGAAGCAAAACCACAAAAAGATATAAACTTTTACCAAAATGTGTGTTTTATCTATTTCATGACGGGAGGATTTTCATACGATATATCAACATTACTAGAATACTTTAAATGAGCCAATGGGGGCATGACTTGAACCTAGTTCCGGCAGCTGAAAAACTTAATATAATTTGTTTCGTTCATCCTACACTGATATTACAAATTGAAGCGACAGAAACAAATAGCTGAGAAACTATAATACTCTAAAAATGTCCTGACAAGTTTCATATTATAATTTTAAAATGCTCAGCAGATATTTCAGCGTTGTCTATTTCTTTGACAGGGATATCCATGCTGATTATGAAACTTGCCGTGTATGCAAACCATGTGCTTTCCAATGGTGTTGCCTCTCCTCCACTTTTCTTTTTTGCTTGTAGCTTCTTCGCCTCGCACTTTGCTTATGTTCTCAGACTTTTTAGCTTGCTTTGTGCTGTCTTCAAAGTGATGCCATATTCATTTGCAATCTTATTCCAAATGTCTCTCTTTATTTTACGGTCAGGATATTTGGGATGACTAAAATCCCACATTTCAGGATGGCAATGAATACTGTTGATAAAGTCTATAGTTTTCATTATTCAACGGCGTAAGGGTAACTATACTAGCCATAGCGTGAGAACACAAACTCGACACAGTCTGACACAGATTTGCACTGACGTCCACTCCACAAAAGCTCTTAACCCGGCAATATTGTCGTATTTTCCATCTTGCCCACATGTCAATACACGTCAACACGCGTTTCCATTCTGAAATATGGCTGACAATATTGACCAATACTTGCTCGATGTGGCTTATGTATGGCTGGCAATATTGAGCAATGGGGTTGCTGGGCATATTGCTGTAAAATATTGATCGTGAAACCATAAACTATAAACCGTGCTTCTATAGTATGCGGTTTACCGAGCTCGATGTGGTCTACCGTGCAGGTACTACTTTAGTATGCGATATACCGAGCTGGAGTTGTCTACCGGGATATTTACACTGTAGCATCCATTTAGGTTAAGTTAAGATATATTAAGATAAGTTAGGTTGGGTTAACAGACGCTACAGTGTAAATATCCTGGTAGACCAACTCTGGCTCGGTAGACCGCATACTATAGTAGCTCCGGCTCGGTGGACTGCATACTATAATAGCTCCAGCTTGGTAAATCGCATACTATAGTAGCTCCAGCTCGGTAGACCGCATACAAAAGTAGCTCCAGCTCGGTAGACCGCATACTAAAGTAGCTTCAGCTCGGTAGACCGCATACTATAGTAGCACCCTATAATCATTGTCGTATGTGTTCGTTTGTAATTAGTAAACTGTATTTTCATATTTTTATAGTATTTAATGGTGTATATTACTGCTGAACATTATGATTTTGCACTTATTCTAAAGATGACATTTTGAGAGCGAATAATTCAGAAGGGTTGGTTATCCGTGGAATTGAAGGTCACATCGACTGTTTTTCGTGCTAAACACGTCTCTTTTTAAGTCTTTAATATTTATACAAGGGCTAAATTTTCATAATTTTCTTATATACATTTTCACCATAAAATTTTTACACATCCCAAAGCTCCGACTGAGAACTGAAAGGTTGGTAGTGGTAGATGCCGAGTGGCAGAGAAATTAGACATCACCAACATTAACTATGGGATCTCGAACAAATTTTGAGTATATTTGTCGACTCTGTGGTCTAGAAAGCAACGACTTGATAAATTTACTGGAAAACAATTACAACGAGCGTAACTTGATAGTAATAATTAAGAAATATATTCGTGTGACGGTGAGTAAGTTTTTGTGTCACTCTGTTTGTTTACATTTCTGCCAACATAAACAAAGTTGGCTCAGGTCAGGAGTCAGTAAATGGCTCTATAGATCGATGAAACATTATTAGGATTTAAAAATAACTCGAACATACAGTACTAGCTAAACACATTCACACCCGTTAGGTATCTACTCCGATGTTGTTGGTTAATCTTATCTAAAATAAATCTAATTTATAAAAAAAAATAACAATTTCCTGGAAGTATATATGGAAAGGACGATGATGCAACTATACTGGAAAATAACTTTCGTTTGTATTATCAGACTAATTATACACTATTATTACGAAAATTGCAAATCCTACTATTGTATTTTTTTTTACAGAAGAAAGTATAACATTAACTCCTTACCTTATGAAAACTGCAATTATTGTTTTGTTTTATTTCTGTTGGTTTCATCCTATCAATTATAGACCTTCATCTGCTACATCCACCCAACACTATATTGTCACTTGATCTCTAGTTGGCATATATATGTTTACAATAATGTATACAGTATAGTACTGTATACTGAAGCCACAGCAATCAAACATATGCCTATTTCTTGAGTAAAATTTCTGTTGTTTTTGTTTTAAAAAAATGATTTGGTGAGACTTTCAAATCAAGATAACAATGTTCATTAGTTTTATCTGTAAAGATGACCTTGTCCACTAGGTGTGTCTATGAAGATAACCTCATCCTTCAAACTACAGTAATTTATCAAGAATCAGCAAGAGCATCATATTCTTCCAGCTCATTTAAGAAAAGTGCCTTGATTTCCAGCTTTCATATAATTACAAAATTTATATGTATTGCCTCTCAGTTTAGGATATACTATACTGTACAGTACAGTATGTACAGTACAGTACTTTTACCTTTCAGTTAACTTGTTTTTCCATAGTATGTAAATTTATTTATACTGTACTGTACTTTTTTCACTTATTTAAGTTAAGAGTTTACATGGTAAAAAGATCAGTAAATTTCAGGTTAATCCTCGGGATGCGTTACCCCATCATGTGTGCGGTCCTTGTGTTGCTAAGCTGGACGAAGTGGTGGAATTCATTGATACGAGTCAAGTCACACAAACTAAACTTAACAATCAGCTTAAAGGTATTTACCCACATGTAAATTATTATTTTTTTACAGTATTTATGAGAGATGTGTTAACCACCTGAGAGATCAACAGTTTGGTATAAGAAAGAGCCATAAATTATACTGCATACTGTACAATATACAACTTATAGTGTATACAGTATTGACTTGATAACAAAAGATATTCAAAGATAATTCTGCTGTACTTACAGGTACAGTAGTACAGTAATGTATTATGCACCATAATTATATTGGGATTTATGCATTACTGTACATATTTATATTTATTTTCAGACAGTTCATCAGACAACAGTGTTCACTTGCCTCAGGATAAGTTATATGAACTTATCCATGGTGTTAAAGTTGAATTTGAGGAGCTTGACACTCAATATACTGATGATCTCAATGATGAGGATTATGGTCAGTTGACAAACTTTTTTATTTCCCTTTGTATGAGATTTCTAATTAACGTTCCTCTTTCTCTTTCAATTTGTTTTATTCTTCAGTTTGAAGAGTGGAAAGAATATTACAGCCAGTGTATGTGTTTGTGTGTGTGTGTGTTGTAGTAGTAGTAATAGTAATTATAATAATAATAATGGTAGTAATAATTAATGGTTTATTAAAAAAGTGTAACAATGAATTGCTGAAAATATACAAAGGGCTGAAATAGCATATACCAGTACATGTACAGTATACTGTACTACATAGGTTCTTAACACTCCTGGGATCAGGCTTCATCTATAATTATCAATACTTGACACTCAGGATCACAGTATTTGACCTCAAAAGTTAGTCAACTTATTTTTCTGAAGCACTTTTTTTTCCACAGGTAAATTCTATATACTGTACTATACTGTATTTACCTACCTAATTTACCTAATACCTTTCACAACTAGAGGTGTCCATAATGAGCAAAAGAAATGGATGGCCTATGTGGGATCCTCCCATATGAGTTAAATATAATTTTTAAAAAGGATCTTGAGCTCATTTACTCATACAACAATACACCTTCGCATGTCCTTACACACAATTTGCATTATAGGAAACTATTGATAATTAACATTCTCAACCAGGCTCAGCTCTTCAGTATTGTCACTCCTACAATGAGGGCAACTCATTTTGATTCATACATATGTATCCAACCATCTTGTGGGATCGGTACTTTTCTCCATACGATTTACAGGTTACTGAACTTATTTTTTTCTTCTAATTTCCTCCCTCTGTATACCCATCCTAATTGATTGTCAGTGCCTAATATGTACACATTCATTACTGAGTCATATTTTTAGATATAAATTACTCAGCAGTGTACTGTATATCAGAAGGTAAGTAAAATGTTGTAAAATTCTTCTTAGTCTCAAATGGTTTGGGAAATTGAAAGATGAAAAAAGATTTGATGAATAGGCTGTGCACCATTTTAAACTTTAGAGTGTGCTGTTGCATACCGGTAACATTATAGAATCAATTTCCATTCAAAAGATATAATATTCTCAACCTGGGTGAAGCCATTTATAAATAATCCCTTGCATAAGAGAGTTAGTATAAAGATTTATAACTACAGTACTGTACAGTGGTCCCTCGGTTAACGAGCGCCTCGGTTAACGAGATTTCGGTTAACGAGTTGCCTTCCATAAGATTCTTAACTTCGGTTAACGAGCAATCCCTCGATTAACGAGTTTCTTACGAGCCAACCAGTCCTGGACCTGACATGGTGCATCCTAGAGTGCTAAGGGAGCTGTGCAACGAGCTTGCAGAGCCCTGAAGATTCTGTTTTGTAAATGCCTGGATGAACAAATGGTCCCCAGTGAATGGAAAGTGGCTTATGTGAGTCCTATCTTCAAGAAGGGCGATAGGCACTCCACGAACAACTATAGACCGGTGAGCCTGACCAGCATAATATGTAAAGTACTTGAGAGTATTATCAGAGATGCAGCGATGGAACATCTACTACGAAACAACCTTGTAAAAGATTGCCAACACGGTTTTATGCCGGGGCGCTCTTGCTTGACACAATTGCTCAAGGTATTGGATATTTGGACCCATATTCTAGAACGGGGTGGTAATATCGACAATATTTACCTAGATTTTGCCAAGGCTTTCGACAGTGTACCCCACGAAAGGCTGAAAATCAAACTGGAAGGGTACGGAATTCGGGGAAATGTCCTAGCGTGGATAGAAGACTTTCTACATGACCGCAAGCAATGTGTGGTGATTAATGGCACGAAATCGTCATCTGTACCTGTAACAAGTGGGGTACCGCAGGGTAGTGTATTGGGCCCGCTGTTGTTTGTTTGTTTCATAAATGATATGCCTGACGTTGTACACTCCTCCATACAAATGTTTGCCGATGACGCCAAGTTATTTCGGGAAATTAAGAACCAAGCGGACTGTGAAGAGCTGCAGAAGGACCTCTGTGGGCTCCAGGAATGGTCGAAGGAATGGCTGCTGAGATTCAATGTCACGAAGTGTAAGAGGATGCACCTGGGGCGTACCAACGGTAAGGAGGCGTACCATATGTCCCAACGGGATGAAGAAAATGTACTAGTTGAGACTGTGTGTGAGAAGGACCTAGGTGTGTATGTTGACAATGAGCTGAAGTTCTCGGGCCATTGTGAGAAGAAGGTAAATCAGGCAAATAAATTATTGGGTCTTATAAGAAGGTCGTTCAGATATCTAGACGGTCCGTCCCTCGTGACGATCTTCAGGAGTGAAGTGCTTCCCCATCTGGAGTACTGTCACCCCATCTGGTCCCCGAGATATGCTAGGGACTGTCAGTTGGTTGAAAATGTTCAAAGGAGGGCCACCAAGCTGGTGCCTGCACTTCGGCATCTCAGCTACCCTGCGAGATTGGAGCGCCTGAACTTGCCTAGCTTATACTACAGACGGGCAAGGGGGGACCTAGTTGAGGTTTATAAGCATCTCAGGGGGCACTACTCAGTTGAGTGTCCTTACTTGGAGCTGGCGGACGCTCGCCCCACAAGGGGTCACAGCTCAAGATTGAAGAAGCCGCAAGTCCGGAAAACCGTGAGGGCAAACTTTTTCGGAGTGAGGGTTGTAAACTCTTGGAACAATCTACCAGAAAGTGTTGTGACGGCACCGAGTGTGAGCTCTTTCAAGAGAAGACTTGACCAACACTGGAGCGGGTTCAGGTACATTCAGGAGCCGGTGCATGCCCAGTATTTGCCAACAGTGCGTGACAGAGACGTGACCGATCGCCCGGGCGGCTAGCGAGCCGACCTTTTGGTGAAGAATATAAAGGAAAAGAGACGTGACCGATCGCCCAAGCGGCTAACAAGCCGATCAGTGGCGAAGAGGATAAAAAAAAAAAAAAAAAAATGATTTCGCTTGCATTTGGCGGTCCACCAGCTGTAGTATTAGTCCGCCAATACAGTAATCGGTTCTATGGCTTAAATTCCTTACCATTTTAGCAAATATCAAGAAGTTTATACTATTCAATAATGTTAAAAGTTTAATATTAAATTTTTTACTCATTTTAACAATTATTGAACATAATTGAAGGTAATGAAACTAGTTTTATGCGTGCCATCCAGCCTCTCAACACACCATACAGGCGTCAGTCTTTGTATATTTTCAGTGGAGGTAACATCTTGCTTGAGACTCTTCAACTAAATGCCTTTTTTCTGTTTTTGCAAGCAAATTATTGGTCATTTTGAAATTTATTTTACATTTTGACAATATATAATGCAGTGCAGTGTTGATTTAAAGAAAATAATCTTGAATTGCACCAAGAGAACTAAAATTTCATGGGTGAAATGGCGCCATGGGGTGACTTCTCTTCCACCCCAATGCCTTCTCTTCTCCCTTCTCCACCCCCATTCTAATTCCCATCATCATCATCCAGGAGCCTTCTACATACACACCTCAAAGTAAGTGTACTTTTCTACCCTTTTTGTTGAATTTAGGCAATTTTCGGTGAGCTGGAACCAATTACCCAAAAACCCATTGAAACAATGGTTTTGGTTAACGAGCAACCTTCTAGAACAGATTGTGCTCGTTAACCGAGGGACCACTGTACCTGTATTCAGCTACTTACGTTATACTGTGGTCTTAACTTTTGGTTGAAAGGATTATTGCTACATCTAAGGTCACAACCTGACAGTTACCACAGTCTTTCCTTTCAGTTCATGGAGTTATATCTGTACAGTATATATATGGATGTACTGTACAGTACAGTATGTTCTCTGTGACCTCACTCTTATATTCAACTGAAGAAAATGCTAGTTTGTCTTGACACTACATAATTTTTTAGTATATATTTTTTTCTGTTAGTGTGGGTGTGATGTAAAAGTTTTCATTTATGAACCTTAAAATCTTTATATAGATATTATAAATATTTATTTTGGAGGGAAATTTGTGTATTTACTGAATTTTCTTAATTTTAAAATACATTGTACGGTACAACGGTAGATTGATTTTCACCATCCAGGTCCCTGTACGAGCAAAGGTCGTAGAAGTCGCAGCAGTAAAGGGCTGTGTGGAGGAGGAGCAGGTACTAGAGGTGTGTATGATTGAGTGTTTTGCAGCTTTAACTTCACCAGCTAGTTCTCTATATACCTGTAGTAGGCAATTCATTGGCTGAGTAGTTGACTGACTGACTTTCTGACTGATTAGTTTTATATTATACATTATTTGTTGACTTTTAGGTGTTTATTTATGACAAAATTAATTTTGGGGAAACTTGGCCAAGAGAACTATACAAAATTGATTGAGGACAACTGTCTGGACAAAAAATATAAAATTATCCCAAAATATAAAATTGGTGAGGTTCAGTGTACTGCACTGTATGTATCAACTTTATATTTCCACAGGATTGGCAAGAAAACGATTAGCGAAGTCAAAGAATAAAGCACTTTCACTGGTGAAGAATAAAATGAGCGAAAAAGATGATAAAGGAGACAGCAAGAAAAACCCCTCAACAATTGATAGTGTGAAAGAAGTTTGGATGGTAAGTTTAAATTTTTTTTCTACAATACTATACTGTAGTTGAGGGTATGTTACAGTACAAAAGTGAAGGGACTGATTCTAATGAATACTTTTCTTAGTACTGAATTCACCGAATTGTGAATTTTATCTTTGGAAATCAAACACACAATAAAAGGCATAAACTTTAAACTATACAGACTCAATGCCTGCTGGCATCCTCTTCAGATATGAATGCAGACAAATGTACATGTATGGGATGGCTCCAGAAGAGAGGTTATACAAGAAAACTTACCAGGTCATTGTTGTGACCTGGTTTGTGTGGTACAAGGACCCCCTGTGTGTATGTGACCTCTGTAGTTGAGACAAGTATTAACGGGCTGAATAAATATACGATATTGGATCTTTTTTTCCTGTGGTTTCTTTACATAAATGCAGTTTCCACACCACAAACTAACAATGTTGGGTGGTTGAGACAGCCAACAGCTTGGGAACATAAATTAGTGTATGTATGCATGCTATGTGATGTATGTTGCAGTCTAGTGTTTATCATCACATGATGTAAGTTGTAGTTTAAGGGTTAATAGAAATAAGAGGCCAATTCTTGAAAAAAAACCTGTAATTTGGTTAGGTTTTGGTTAGTTACAAATGTAGCATTTTAGTGTCATAAGCAATGAGATTGAAGAACATAGTTTGTTATAGAATTAAAGAATAAAACAGATCCCCCTCAACTGCAAATTTATCCAGTGGGTGGCAGTTGATGTTTAATAAAAGTGACTATGACTTACCTTAGCTGTTTCCAGCCATACTTATAATTTGTATTCATTAACATCGAACATTGAGACAAGAAATGCATAAAATGCTGTGTCAGTAAAAGCCCAGTTACTGCACAACAGCAACTGCCACCAGTTTACTGTAGTATAATATAACTAGCATACTTGTAGTGTTTGAACTTTCACCCCTTAAATTGACATAAGGACCTAAGAACAAGTAGTATGGTCAGGGCATCTAAGACAAAATGCATTCTGACCAGATATAAATATAATCATACCAGATATGAAAGACACCAGCCACCCAAAATGATATTTATTCTGTAATTATTATTTTTTTCTTTAAAGGATAAACATGATAACAAAGAAACTTATGTTGTAGAAGAATTTGAACAGGAGATTGATGGACACTCTTTTAGAGAGAAGAAGGTGAGTTTGGAAATTGTGTTTTTACTCAATGTAATAAGACATACTGTATAGTGTAGAGTACAGTATTGATTTTTCCCTCGTGATCATGGATGACTAACCCTGTTCAAATAAAGATGTGACCTCCTGAGTCACCACAGTGTTGAGCAGTATATTTCACTCACATTCTTTCCGTGTTTTCCATCAAATCGCTGCTATTCTTAGACAGTCTAGTTGCACCTACAGTACATTTGTCACACATTTCTCACTTGCCTTTATTTTCTACATCAGTTGTTCAATAGTTACCAGTGTCGAATGAGCTAGTCCTAAACTTTGCCAATGGTTATTGTTTTTTTGCCAGCGTCAATATACCTTATCACCTCCAAATTAACATCTAAAGTGGTGGTTTTCTGGGGTCTCTTACCGTAAGGGGTATTGCTACTGCTCATTTAACAGGCTGGTTGCATTTCTGACATCTATAAATAGGGCATATCACTTGGAAAATGCAAGGAATTGCTGTTAAAGTTTGATTCAAAAGATGAGACTGGTTTGTAAAAAAAAAAATTTACGACATGTTGTAGTCAGTCAAACTGTACACTGTTATTGGTAACTACATGTCCCCCCCCCACCCCCCAAAAAAAAAGAAGTGACCATAAATGGTCTATTAGCTGCCTCTGCATGGACAAGTCAACAACTTTTCTTAATGACTGAATACTTCAGACATTTAGTTAGTCAAGTTTTGCATCTTAGAGGAGACTGATTTAGTTAGAGAAAAATTCAAGTGTACAGGTAATTACTAACAACTGATTTATCGTTTATCAATTAACAGGGGGACACTTTCAAGAGTGCCGTAAGATGCTGCATCTGCAAAGCCGATTTTTACCTTCTTGAAGAGTTAACATCCCACTCTCTTGATGTCCACCAGCTTCCAGAGCCTCGCTTCATGTGCCCTCAGTGTCCTCAGACATTTGCTAAAATTACTTCAATGAATAACCATCAGCGCAGAAAACATCAGGACTCCTTACAAGGGTAGGGCCTATGAAAACATTCAAAAGTAGGTTTTATGAAAACTTACAAGGGGTATCCTGTTTGTAGTGGTAGGATTACACTTAAAGGAGATTACTAGCTTCCCAAGCTGCATCCTGTGTAGTACCCCAATAGACTGCCAATATTTCTATAACTACTGTATACAGTACAGGTACCAATCTATTTGCAATCGATTTACATTCCTGAAGCTTGTTCGTAGGTCCGACTTTATTCGTGTAGATACTGAACACATTGACAAAAGTACTGTACTGTATTAGGATAAGGCTTACATGGATGTGATGTTGACTAGTCTTTCAACCACACTCCCAAAATCTTCTCCATCTCTTCATTCACTACACCTCTGCTCTTTCTGATAATCATTGACTGCATTGACAAAGAATCTTGCTCACATTAAATACTGTACTCCTTGTCATTTACTTTTGTTCCAGCTCTTTGAGCGATTCATCCCAAAAGCACGCTTTATGTTGATCTTTTTTTCACCTCTTTCACAACGCTTAAATATGTCCACCTTTCTTTCCATCGTCATAGTGCGTTGCTTCTTACTGTTGTACTAACAACACCACTGTCACCACTCTTATGCTTTTGAGTCATGTTGAGGGTCAGTTATGTTTGTAAACAACACTAAAAACTATTGATGGCGGCAGTGATGCTGGGTAATGCTCAACAGCCACCGCCATCTTCTATGTAATAGCTGTACTGACGACTTGCGGTTTGAACAGTCAATTAGACTTGTGAACATGTTTGCTCATATCTCTGAAAGTTATAAGTTGAATATTCATATGTAGAGGAACACCTGTACAGGCACTAGTATACAATTCCCCTTCTTTCTTTCTTTCTTTCTTTGGCTTTTCCCTTCAGTGCCTATCACAGGATAAATTTATTATTCCAACTGTCACATACAAAGCTCTTGTATCCACTATCCCTTATTCCTTTCATACTGTAAACTAGGAAGGAAAACCTTGTAGGGGTAAAAACAATCTGCAGCTTTATCTCAATAATTCCACCACTCTCTACCCCAGCTGATATCTATAATTTATTATGTAGTCTCCTTAACCAACTCAGGTAAATGTTATCTTACTAATATACACCTGTATCTATTACATCTCAATAGTAAATCTAATTGATAATTATCTAATTTATTTATATTGTATGACCCTATCATAAATCGAGGAATACCTGTATGTTAGGACCCTCCTGGAAATAAGCATCTGACAGCTTTGTCAGCTGTCCTTGCTGAAATTACCTTCCTGTTTATGGTACCATTATTGTTTACCTACACTGTCTTGGCACTTAGGAAACTGTACATTTCCACAGCCTACCTGCACTGTTTACCTACACTGTCTATATTCATGCTGAACTGCATACCTGCAAAGTTTATATACATGCATATCGAATTTTAATCCTGTAAGATAATTTTACTAAATAAATATTATTATCATTATTAAGAATGCATCTAACAGCTTCATTTACCAAAAGCACAAAATATGATACCCAAAGTGCACCAACACAGTGGCCTAAACTATTTCACAAGTATAGGTGGAAGTGTCACCATTGTCATTGATTTCATGAACTCACAACACAACCATGAGTCTTCCATAGTGTCAAGGTCTGTAAGCAATACCTCCAGCTATATCTCATCAACCAATTTGGACACATTATAAGTTTTCTGTTTTATATTAAAACTAAAAATATACTGTATTTGTGTATGTTGTAGATGCCCAAAGTGCAAGAAGTTATATCCCGCTCATTACTTGTGGACAAGACACATGCTCGTCCATACCAATACTCGTCCATTTTCTTGTGATGAATGTGACAAAAAGTTCAAGAGCAAGGCTGGGTTATACAACCACAAGAAGACTCACCAACCCAGTGAAGAACGATATACACATTGTTGTGAGGTGTGTGGTAAAAGGTGAGGCTTTCATATTTTTTACATTATACTTTGTTCATTGCAAATCTTTTTTATGTCCAGTATGGAAGTGTTTTAAATTTAATTGAATATAATGTGTAAAAATCGCCACTCCCTTAAAAAAAGCGAGAGAGAATTTTTCAAGTAAATGAATGCATTTCTAGGGAGTAAAACATTCACGTATTATGTAAAGTATTGTATCCCACATTATAAAGTATACTCTACAGAACAGTATTCTTTTCTGTCCTCCCTTGTAATGATGATTATTTGCTTGGTTTCATTGTTTGCAGCCTTGACATGCCTATGACAAGACATGACTGCAGTCTATGGGATAAAACATCACATGAAAGAAACGTTACTTTTTTCAGATTTACACAAAAAGCTAATCTGGAAAGTCATTTGCGATTACACACTGGTAATCGTCCCTTTTCTTGTGAGTTTTGTGGAAAGTCTTTCTCCCAGAGAGGCAACATGGAAGAACATAGAAGAATTCATACAGGGGAAAAGCCTTTTGTGTGTGATATGTGCGGAATAAGGTTAGTAATATTTGTTTTAGAAAATAAGATATAATATGGTGCATTGCTAGTTTCTTTCATTGTATCTCAATGATTGTTGGTCTTTTGTCCTTTCATGACCAGTATGTCATGAATGAATAGACTGTGCTATCCATACTGCAAAATCACCCCCTGGCAATGCCTGCCTGTTGTCAGAGAGCCATAACATATTTAGGGGCAAGATACACTATTCAGACAAACAATGCCTTTCTGTATACAGTACAGTATTTGTCAGCCAAAAAGTTTGGGACATGGAGACTTCCATAAAATGTGTAATTCCATAAAGTGGATAATATCATGAACATGTGTCCAAGGAAAGCTTGTAATATACCATAATACTTGTGTCAGTTTGGTTTTATTTTTAGTTTCTGCAAATACTTATACATACACTAATTTACTTCATTATTCTCTAATGCTCTTATTGTTATGAAGTCTGCATATAAGCGATCTGAGAAACAGACTCAATTACATCTACTGTACTTTTTAAGAAACCTGGTCTTGATACTGAAAATATGTCAAATTATTGTCCGGTCTCCAATCTCTCATTCTTATCAAAGATCACAGAGCGTGCTATGCTGGATCAGTTACTTCCTCTGTTAAGAGGGAAATGGAGTGATCCCTCTGGTCCAGTCAGCCTAGGAAGCATCATTTAACTGAAACTGCCTGAAGTAAAATTCATAATGATTTGCTTATAAACACTTGCACAGGAAAGTTCTCCTTCCTGGTCTTGTTGGATCTCTCTGCAGCTTTTGACATGTATTAGCCTCTGTTGAACAGACAAGTAATAAACCCACCACTTGTCTTACACGGGGGTTACGTTCTTGAAAATCACCTCTTAATTGAAAAACGCATAAATTAAACATAATTTTTCCATAAAAATACATGTAAATGGTATAGGTTAGGGAAACCATCATATATCGCACAGGGTACAAACAGTGCTCTCACTTAAACCAAGCACGCGGCCAACCTCCGACACACGCTCTCCTCTCTGAAGGCGGGTGATCACATTTAATTTCACTTCCATTGCGATTGTTTTTTGTGCCTTTTTAGCTTTAGGCGCCCCAGAGGAGGCAGATGGACATTTTCCAGACATGCTCAATGGGGAAAACAGCGTTTAACACTAAAAAGGTACGTGATAAACACACAATGCAAATGAGAGCACAGAGAAAAAGTAGTGCTGATGTGAACTGAGAAAGTGATACGCGGGAAGCTTGCTGGACGTGGTCACAGTTGTTGTACAGAATACTTTATTATCATCATCATTAGTAGTAATAATCTTTATTATTACATTATTATAATAATTATTATTATTAATACTAATATTAAAATTGTTGATGTTGATATGACTGCGACTTTATGGAAATAACTTACAAGCACCTTACCAGGCATCACAAGCGACTCCACTGCCAGGCGAATTCGCACTGCAAATTTAAAGTGTCTTGAGCGCATTATTTAAAAAAATAGATTCACGTAAATTAGCTTTTGGTATTAATTGATCAATCGTGTTATTCCAAAAGCGCTTAAATCAAACTCGAGTTACCTGTACTTATATAAATATGTGGTAAATACATTCGTATTATATAACTCTATCACCGATGTAATTTAACATGAGCAATGAGCGTCATACATTCACCATGTGATCAGTAATTTTCCACTCTCAAATCGCGTCTCTAAAGATGCTATGTCAGCTCCTTTAGAGCTGGCTCTCTGGCCAGTATAGACTCATCTCTCACAAAGGATAGACGTTGACCTACAAACTATCCCAGATAAGCTTCCATCTATCCATGACACTCACAGCTTATATTGTTAATTACGGTGATATCCTTGTTGACTGTGAATAGTTTATTCTTCTAAATAAATGGAGAAAAGACCATTTGGGGTTTAGCAAATTTAACTCATAAGCTTTTTAAATGTAACTACGAAGCTGCCTCTCATCAACAAGTATTCAGGCAGTTGGAAGTAGTTACTGACACAGTGGATCATCATCTGTTGCTGCAGGATCTTTGGTCATTTGGTGTCCGTGAGAATGCACTCTCACTGGTTGAGTCTTATTTTTCAAAGCGATCTCAATATGTGATGGTTGGTGGAATCATTTTAGACCCAGTCCTTTAGCAGTTTGGAGTCCCACAGGTATCAGTTTTTGGACCACTTCTGTTTACAGTCTATATCAGGCTTATTTCTGCTCTCCCACCAAGGACTCCCACTACCCCATTTTTTATTGAATTACACTGACTTCCAATTAAAGCTAGGACAAAGTTCAAACTCTGTCTAATGGCTTTTAAGGCACTATGTTCGGTGAACCTAAGTATTTGGCAAACCGACTAATGCCGCTGATTGCGCATTCTGAAGTGATTTTGCATATTAGTGATGATCCTTCATGCGTTGAGGAGTCTAGAGCAGTACAGGAATGTTGTTTTGCTGCCCAATCTTTTTCTTTTACAGCACCCAGATTGTACAATCAGTTGTCTGCATCCATGAAACAGGTGACTTCTGTGGAGGCCTTTAAGAAACAACTTAAAACCTTTCTTTTTTTGAAAGCTCCTGGTCCTGAACAGGGTACAGTGATGGAGAATTACAGGGTTTAGGGGGTATTAAAACTTAAGTGCATATAAAGGATAGAAGTTGAACTGTTGCTTTTTGTGATCATTTATTGTAGTACAGTACAGTATTTTTTTCTCAAGTCTTTGACTTTGTAGTGTTTCGAGTGTTAGTGAATTATGTAGAATAACTGGTGCTTTATTATTATTATTATTATTATTATTATTATTATTATTATTATTACTTGTATTATTATTATTATTATTGTGTGTCCCATGTTTTTTTTTTCAGTTATTCAAGACAAGGCCAGCTTGCTATGCATCGTCGAAAACACTCAGGAGAAAAGCCTCACAAGTGTCAGTACTGCAAAAAAGAATTTCTTCGGAGAGAGGTTCTCAGAAAACATGAACACATGCACACTGACACAAGACCCTACAAATGTTCTTACTGTGAAAAAAGCTTTAGGTATGTACCAGTAGTTCTGTATTATTATTAAGTACAAGTATGTATCCTGAGAGTTATGAGGGTTGATCAAAAGTTCTCTGAATGATGGAATTACAGACAGTATTTTTTTTTTTTTAATTATATGTTAATCACTACAAACATCATTTCTCTCCTTCAAATTACTCCTTTCTGCACATACCCGGTACACACTTTTTCTGGTAGTCCTCTTTTTTATTTGCCCTCAGACAGTGGGTCATGTTGGATTCAATGTCTTCAGTCATGTCAGCGCACTTCCCTTTCATCATCTAGTCACAGCATCATTTCTGTAGACTGTTATGAGCATTCTGTGTGTTTCTGTATCTGCTTGGCCAACTTTGAAACAAAGTTTCATGCTTGCACATTGTTCACATTTCAACATCTTCAGCAAATATGCCACGCACAACAGACACTTGCTACCACAAACCTGTCTGTCGGTGCACTGAAGCATGATACTACTGGTACTGTAACTACTCAGTATGGGCACGAGGAGGGAGAATGCTGTAGTTGTGAGATTATTTACCAAATATATATACAGTGGTCCCTCGGTTAACGAGCACAATCCGTTCTAGAAGGTTGCTCGTTAACCGAAAAACTCGTTAGCCGAAACCATTGTTTCAATGGGTTTTTGGGTAATTGGTTCCAGCTCACCGAAAATTGCCTAAATTCAACAAAAAAGGTAGAAAGGTACACTTACTTTGAGGTGTGTATGTAGAAGGCTCCTGGATGATGATGATGATGGGAATTAGAATGGGGGTGGAGAAGGGAGAAGCGAAGGCATTGGGGTGGAAGAGAAGTCACCCCATGGCGCCATTTCACCCATAAAATTTTAGTTCTCTTGGTGTAATTCAAGATTATTTTCTTTAAATCAACACTGCACTGCATTATATATTGTCAATATGTAAAATAAACTTCAAAATGACCAATAATTTGCTTGTAAACACAGAAAAAAAGCATTTAGTTGAAGAGTCTCAAGCAAGATGTTACCTCCACTGAAAAGACAAAAAGACTGACGCCTGTATGCTGTGTTGGCAGGCTGGATGGCGTGCCACAAACTAGTTTCATTACCTTCAATTATGTTCAATAATTGTTAAAATGACTAAAAAATTTAATATTAAACTTTTAAAATTATTGAATAGTATAAACTTCTTGATATTTACTAAAAGGGTAAGGAATTTTAGCCCTAGAACCAATTACTGTATTGGCGGACTAATACTACAGCTGGTGGACCGCCAAATGCAAGCTAAAACATGTGGAGGTCGGCTCGTAAGAAATTCGCGAATCGAGGGATTGCTCGTTAACTGAAGCCAAGAATCTTATGGAAGGTAACTCGTTAACCGAGGCGCTCGTTAACCGATGGACCACTGTACAGGAGTATACACCTGTGTATATATATATATATATATATATATATATATATATATATATATATATATATATATATATATATATATATATATATATATATATATATATATATATGTATGTATGTGTGTATGTGTGTATGTATGTATGTATGTATGTATGTATGTATGTATGTATGTATGTATGTATGTATGTATGTATATATATATATATATATATATATATATATATATATATATATATATATATATATATATATATATATATATATATATATATATATATATATATATATATATATATATATATATATATATTGTACCCACAAGTTTTAAATGACCAATGTCTTATTGCTCATAGATTTAGTTCAAAGTTTAACCAAAAAAAAAAAGTACTCTTTTACATGCTGGTTAAAGATCTGGATTCAGAATGTTAAAATTCGAGTAATTAGTATTATTTAATGAGTTTTGAAATGATTTAATACATGCAGAATATTTTAAATGTCATATGCAGTACTACGTATATCAAATTCTGTCATAACTGTGTGTGTGCTCTAATTGTTCTTTACCATGTTTGTTTTTCTATTGAAATAGGGATCGAGGGAAAAAGAAGATTCATGAGCGACTTCACACAGGAGAAAGGCCATTTGAGTGTCAGTTTTGTGGTCGAGGATTTTGTGAGTCTGGAAACCTGCGAAAGCATCTGCGAGTTCATCAGCGACGTCCATCAGCTGGGGAGAAAAGTGCAAATGCACTATCATTGGGGAATGGATCAACAGTACTAACCAGTGAAGCGCCAAGTTATACCTTTACATTTCCTGGAATTTCCAATGCACGCCATGGTACAAACACGAACACGGATTCATCATTATTTGTTGGACCAGACATGTCCTTTATTTCTGAATCTAATAGTCACTCAGCATCGCATTCGTTACCATTAAGTGCACCTGCATCTGTTTCTGTACCAGTAAGTGCCTCATCAAGCAGTAATAGTGATCCATTAATCACTTTACGTCCACTGGAAGAGTCTCGTGTGAGTCCAAATTTACCACATCAAGAAGGTTGTGAAAAAGAAGAATATAGAGCTGGCTCTTCTTCATTTCAGACAGTTACTTGGGCTCTGTATCATACATAACTGTAAATTATACAGTATAACGGGCAAGGGGGGACCTAGTTGAGGTGTATAAGCATCTCAGGGGGCACTACTCAGTTGAGTGTCCTTACTTGGAGCTGGCGGACGCTCGCCCCACAAGGGGTCACAGCTCAAGATTGAAGAAGCCGCAAGTCCAGAAAACCGTGAGGGCAAACTTTTTCGGAGTGAGGGTTGTAAACTCTTGGAACAATCTACCAGAGAGTGTTGTGACGGCACCGAGTGAGCTCTTTCAAAGAGAAGACTTGACCAACACTGGAGCGGGTTCAGGTACATTCAGGAGCCGGTGCATGCCCAGTATTTGCCAACAGTGCGTGACAGAGACGTGACCGATCGCCCGGGCGGCTAGCGAGCCGATCTTTTGGTGAAGAATATAAATGAAAAGAGACGTGACCGATCGCCCAAGCGGCTAACAAGTCGATCAGTGGCGAAGAGGATAAAAGTAATGTTTAAACTGTGGTGATTCTTTGAGGTATAAGGTACAGGTATTCTTTTTGTTTTCTTTGTAGATTAACTTGGTAACTCAGTATTTATTATCCTGTACAGTAGCTTGTATGGAATCCAATTATCCACTGAATTTTAACAAAACTTGATGAGTAAATACAGTACTAACACAACAAATCTCTGAGAGATTTGATAATTACCAGGTAAAAATGTATGTCATTATTGAACTACTGTATGTTGTGGTAGCAAACTCAGTCATGTTAGTGTTAAGCCATTGTATGACTTGTCTGTAGAAGTTTTTTTCCCTATTCTCATACAATATTTATTTACTGTAATTAATTTACTTATAGCTGTATATTATATGTGGATTATTTGGTGTAATAGAAGTCTTATACAAATATAAAAGTTGTTGAATAATTTTGTTTGACTCTTTGAGATTGTTGCACCATTTCTTTATTCCCCAGCAGTTGTTTCTCTGAATCCATTTAGTTTTATGACTTTTATCATCTTTCAGTTACTCCTTCGCTGTTTCACCTGCATACATACTGTATGTTACTTTATCAATAAAATTAGCATTCACAGTGAATTGATATGTAATACCCTGTATTCAGGGGTGCAGTGCCAAATTTATCAAGAATTTGCCTCTAGTCAAGTAAGAGGTGAGGCTTGATAGTGTCAGTATGGAGATCAAACCCCTGCCACTAGTGGTCACAACACCAAGCAAGGTAAGCACTAATGACTGCTATATTATCTCCACCAGGCTCTTAACAATAAGTCTCAGATTAACTCAAAATATAGGTATCGTATTGAGGAGGAATCATATACTGCATAACTTATTAATATAATAAAATTAAAGAACATATATACAAAAGACAAATAAAGAAACAAATGAAATATAGACAACCACAGCCTAAATTACAGTTACCTAAACTCTTACCATACACTTGAACAGTACAAAACTATACACCACTTATCTCCATAAGAATGTATCCGGAGTTCAGATCAACTGTACCACACTTGAAACACACCCTCACAAACCAGCCAGCCAGCCAGGCTTGTCTATCTCTATTCTGCTGGTTTTGCTGTCTCTTAGGACACACTGCAATCAGGTGACCAGACTTCTTACAATAGTAGCACTTACAGAAATAACTACTACTCTTAGTGATGTGGGCTACTAAATTTTGCTCCAGAACTAATCATTGATTTGCCACTGTTAGCAGAATTGCTCTGACTCCCAAACATTTGTCTACCATCCTGAATTTTAAAACAGACGAGACTGGCTGGGACTGAATTTTTCTTTCCAATATTATGTGGTTAAGGGCACGAAATCATCATCTGTACCTGTCACAAGTGGGATACCACAGGGTAGTGTATTGGGCCTACTGTTGTTTGTTTGTTTCATAAATGACATGCCTGACTCTGTACACTCCTCCATACAAATGTTTGCAGATGACGCTAACTTATTTCGGGAAATCAAGAACCAAGCAGCCTGTGAAGAGTTGTAGAAGGATCTTTGTGAGCTCCAAGAATGGTCGAAGAAATGGCTGCTGAGATTCAATGTCACGAAGTGTAAGAAGATGCACCTGGGGCGTACCAACGATAAGGAAGCGTATCATATGTCCTAACAGGATGAAGAAACTGCACTATTTGAGACTGAATGTGAGAAGGACCTAGGTGTGTATGTTGACAATGAGCTGAAGTTCTCGGGCCATTATGAGAAGAAGGTAAATAAGGCAAATCAATTATTAGGTCTTATAAGAAGGTCGTTCAGACATCTAGACGGTCCGTCCCTTGTAACGATCTTCAAGAGTGAAGTGCTTCCCCATCTAGAGTACTGTCACCCAGTCTGGTCCCCTAGATATACTAGGGACTGTCAGTTGATTGAAAATGTTCAAAGGAGGGCCACCAGACTGGTGCCTGCATTTCGGCACCTCAACTACCCTGAGAGATTGGAGCATTTGAACTTGCCTAGCTTATACTACAGACGGGCCAGGGGTGACCTAATTGAGGTGTATAAGCATCTCAAGGGGCAGTACTCAGTCGAGTGTCCTTACCTGGAGCTGGCGGACGCTCACCCCACAACGGGTCACAGCTCAAGGTTGAAGAAGCCGCAAGTCCAGAAAAATGTGAGGGCAAACTTTTTCGGAGTGAGAGTTGTGAACTCTTAGAACAATCTGCCAGAAAGTGTTGTGATGGCACCGAGTGTGAGCTCTTTCAAGACCAGACTTGACCAACACTGGAGCAGATTCAGGTACATTCAGGAGCCGGTGCATGCTCAGTACTTGCCCACAGTGCTCAACAGATGTGTACGATTGTCCAAGCGGCTAACGAGCCGATCAGAAGTGAAGAGGATAAAAGAAAGGAAGTAAAAGAAGCAAATGATAATTTTCAGCTAGAGTAGTTGCTCTTTTAAGAGGTCACTTTGTCTTCTTATTCACACAGATATCGGGATTTACACCTCTTGAAGTACTGTTCAAGGCCATTAAGCTCACTTAATTCTTCAAAATCACTGACTTTACTGGATAAAGCGAACTCATCAAGTACCTCTGAGTTTACAAGATGACGTAAAACAGCATTTTCACTTGACTTTTGCATACGCGTGAAAGAGGCCTAGGTCTGCCAACTTTCGTCCCCTATGATGTCACACACACCAGACCCTGACTTGTTGGGTTTTGCTATCTGTTAATAAACCCCCTCTTGAGGATATTCACTTGTTATTAATCATTGCAAATTAACACCTTTTAAAGTAGAAGCTATTAATAGTCTTGTACTTCCAAATGAGGATTGTTGATCATGAAAAAAATTGTGTAATAGTAAATCTAAATAAATGTAAATAAGAAAAAAGTACTATAAACAGAGAGACACGGTGTAACAGAAACTACTTTCACTTGGGAGTGAGTGGTTCAGTCACTCAGTGACGTCTTGCGCAGATCCTGTCTGGCCGCCTTCAAATTTTCTGGATGCAGTGCCAACTGTCGCCGCCAACAATCCGTTGATTAAAGAATTACTGATAATATGGTATACGAAATTAAATGTACCAAAGTTTATATCATTGGAACCCGTGATGAAAAGAACCATCAAACTAACCCTGAGCAACGCTCTTGTGCATTATGCAGAAGACCCGACAGCAGCACCCTTATCCACTACCTCCTAAGTTGTCCCCACACACACGTGACGCCTGCTGGACCACCACTCCACGACCCCCTGACGGAGACACGATGATCCTCCCCATATTGGCCAGATATTTTGTAAAAAACATTGATTATGTGTTAAAGGAATATCCTTCCTTCCTTAGGCTTTAGTAAGCCCCTTTATAATATTTATGCTGTATATACTTGTCACACTTGCCAGATGCTTCTGGTGTCATTGTACAGGGGTACCTAGTGACAGCACTAGGATCCCGCTTCCTCTATCAAGGAATAAACAATTGAAATTGAAAAAAAAAATTCAAACCTGCCATCTCCCTGGACCAGCCGAGTGATTGGCGGGAACACAACCACTACGTCAACAAACTCAACACTGCAACTTGTGCCATTCCTCAGGTGAGTTTCTGCCTGGTAATGTCTGAGAACAGCATTACCACCAGAAGGAGTTAATCGATTTTGTTAATTTTTACCATAACATTTTCTTATCATTATAACAAGGAAAAGAAAAACAACTACTGTTTTAATATAATGTACAACAATTACTGGCGCGAAGGCGAAACTTTTGGAACAATCATAATCGTAAAATAGTACAAGACTTAGCATGAAATAAGAAATAAAGAAGTTTGAATCAGTGCGCATGTAAGGAACCTGTCATCATCTCCAGTTATTTGATCTACTTTATGTATACTTAAAAATGTAAACGTTCTGTACAATGTATGTGACATTTCTCTCTTATTTCTACTATGTTGTTACTTCCAAGAGAGCTTAAAACCAACAATTTATACATAGTCTTGCCAAAATTGTGACGGGCATGTTGTGACCATGGTTGTGACAACTCAAGTGTTGGTTATATTTTTTCTTCGTAATTTCTGCCAGGCGGGAGTCAGCCAGTCACAACAAGAAATATTATTTAACATACGGGAAGTGGAATATATTTAATATTAATGACAATATGGTCACTCGTAACAAAACAATGGGTGGAGTACACTTAGTGGCGAACACTTACAGGTTTTCACTTATTCATGTCATTGTTCTTTTTTTTGTATTTCAGATCTGAGTAAAGTTTATTAGACTCTGGAGACGTAGGCGATGAGGGTGATGACGAAGGTGGCGACGAAGGTGAGAGCAGCGAGGCGGTCGACGGCGGCTGCGACGAGGATCCACTCATGGAGGTAAGAGGCGGGGAGAGCTTCCTCCAGCACCTCCCCGTCCTCCCCCCCTCCCCCGCTCAGACCAACCTGTGTCAACACAACCTCTAATTAGTTTACTGAAAGTAAAGCTAGTGAGATAAATTTCTGAGGTTCTTGAAGCACCCACACTACAGTACATGTATTTCATCTTGTGAACTATGTAGGTATACCTCCAGGGTTGAGAAAGTTCCTCTTCCGACCACAGCAAAGTTCAGAAAAAATTTACTCTTGGCATTGTAGAATGAATACTGTACATTAATTATTTAACGCGGCTGATGTCTTGCCAAATATCAACCCACAATTTGTAATTAATTTTGACTGCTATGTGTTCGAGAAATTGTATTCACCCTTGCTCTTATGGTCTCTTGTTGACATTATTGGATACAGTACATTGTATACTGAGCCTGCAGTATGCAAGGAGGCAGCTTGGCCGCCACTGCACTCGACTGCATTTACTTCCCAAATATAAACTTAGGTGTTCGTTGATAGATGGGTGGACTAAAAACGTTCCGGAATCGAACTAGTGACCCTTAGAACAGAAGGCGAATGCTACATATACTTGGCTACCGCACCCCATGTTATAACAGTACTACTCTAATATAACATAAATAACCTACTAACTTCTGTTAAATTTTGAATGCCACTCACAAGAAAGAGTTAAATGCGTATTTCAGGTATTCTCAGTACAGATTGACCATTGTGTTTCAGTGGTTTGTTAATTCAAGCAAAATAGCGAAAAGGAGTTTGGACTAAGAGTCAGACTTTAGATATCGAATGCAATGGTTATCCGGTAACAAGATAATGGTGATGGCCAATAATAATAATCATAGCGAAAGTAACGTTGAAACTCTGGTAGAAGGAGGAGGGGACTACAGTACCTTGTCGGTGTAACGTTGTAGGAAAAGGATGGTGCCGAGTGGTCCAGTGAGGATGGTCTTGAGGAGTGTCGGTGGTGGCGCGGTGGACGCAGGGTGGCGGCTGTCAGTCAAACGCAGTAGGCTGGCACTAACACACACACTCACCACCACCACCACTAGCGTCTGTCCGTAGAACTTGACTGTCCACAGTTATTTTGTTAAGTTTTTCATCACCAGCAACTTAGTGACTTAGTGCCCAAGTAAAGTTAATTAACAGTATTTCTGATACTTGAAACTCAGTTATATTTGTATTAAATTAGTAATAAAAGAAACAAAACAGATAACCTCATTGTGACATGAGATGAATTATATCGTTACTGTAACCAGTTACATTAATACATGTGCTGTACTGGACAATGAAGGTCATAAGCAAGTAACAAAGAACAAACCAATAAGCTGATACATTAAATAGTGAAATGATTCATTAAAAAAAATGCAGTAGTTACAGCGCGGTGGATGGAACCGTAAACCCGAGGTGTACTGTAGAGCTTCATACAGGAGTTACAGCCATTACTTATATTAAATTATGTAGAAACTAAAAAACACAATGATGCAAATCCTCACCAAGTTTGTTTGGCATCACGAAGCTGTAGTACTGTGGGTTTGTGGTTTACAAAGGGTCTAACACTGATACAAAGGTTTTATGAAAGTTCACAAACTATAAATTATGTAGACAAAGTATGGAGTAACTCTGTGCCAAAATGCAAGAAAGCTTCTTTTTTAATCCAGCCACAGATATCGACTGACTGTCGTTTTATTTGGTGTGAGAGATGGAGTGATGACCACTTCACCGTGATTATAAACAAGAGTAGTATACTGGGAAGGCGATGGAGGAGGAGAAGGCGAGTAAGAGAAAAGCAAGTCGTCCCGTGGTACTGTTATATAGTGTTAGAGGAGACTGCTTTATCGGGACTGAAGATTACCTATCTCTTTAGGACGTGTAAAACGAGTTTACGTAAACAATATTGTACCGTAAGAAAGAGTAGGGGCGAGGTAAGACGTACTAGGGAAGACTTACCAATAATAGGGAGGGAAGTGGCGGTGGGCGGGATGATGGTGGCCAGGTAGAGCAGCAACAGCAGGGTCAGGAGCAGACTCATGCACCCTAGCGTCAGTCTTCGCGGCTCCCGCAGGGGCAGCACGAACTGTACCAGCGTCAACACCGAGATCACTGCCGGATACCACCACACACCTTATTATTGTATACCTTCTGTACATGTTCCTACATACTGAGTACCGGAATACCTCTCATGATGCTCTTGACCAAGTTTGTGACCTACAGTAAACAAAACACCACATGTAGGTGGTGACAGTACCCACCACATGTAGGTGGTGACAGTACCCACCACAGGCAGGAAGGACGACGGTGCAGACGAAGGAAGGGGAGGTCCTGGCCAAGGTGATGACCATATGTAGCGTGATGTAAGGCTCTGGGCAGCAAGGGTAAGTTGTCACCTCCCGCCTGACACTGCTACTCATCACCCGCCAGGAGTTACGTTTGTCGGCATACCTCGCAGTTAATATCTGCGAAAATATCACATTTGTAATCCTTGCAAACACTCATGATTTTTATAATTCAGAAGTTCATTGGTGACGAACAAAGTCTCAAACTACACCAAAGCTATTCCTGCTAGACATGCTCAATCATCATGGGCAACTGTGTCAAATACTGTAAAGGTCAGAGGTCAAATGCAACTTTTTTTTTACCCCACAGCAACTCGAGCTGGAGATGTGTTGTCATGAGCCACGTTGTCTGAACAGTATGTCTTCCTCCTTCCATCTGTCTGTTGAATTCTTTGTTCTCATGTTTCCTCTTGAAGATAAACAGCTAAATAACCAAAAAATACTGTAATTGCAGAACATTGATGAGAGTTCCAGTTTAGGAGCAGTTTTCATGTTTCACAGCTTCTATTTTTATAACCTTGATAACAGCACTCTCATCAATGTTCTATAATTACAGTATTTTTTGGTTATTCGTGTGACCCATTAGAATATAATTCTTAAACTCCCGGAGGCCGATGAGTCATCCGTGGTTTGTTTGGAACATTTGTTCTCGCTCGTTTCTTCTTTTTACCTTTCTCTTATAATCGCAAACCATTTCTTCATTTCCCAGTGGATCACTGAATAGCTTGGCGTACATATACAGTACAGTACTTGGGTCAGTACACCCAGAGGACTGTAACTGATGCTGTTTGATCGCCAGTCCTTTATAGGTCGTGTCAACTTTGGTGTCCGCTGGATAACTCTACAAACTCAACGTAATCGTTTTAGTTTCAAAGTGTTTTATAGCAGTTTCCTGCTTGGGATTGTTTAATATAAATTAATAATTATAAATTGCAGAGTTATATTACCGGACAGTAAATTTCAGGTAGTTTATGACGATTATAGTTTGAACTTCGGCCTCAGAGGATTAATTACGATTTTAGTTTGGGGGTTATGATGAGGTTGTTGAGCGTGTCGACGGCGCCTCGCCCACACCAACAATTATTTAGTTTTGGTTTAGCCTTTTTCAGTAAAGTTTTTTTCTTTATTCTAATTTTGGTTCACGTTTATTATTATTGGTGTAGAGTTCAGCCACGACACAAACACGTATTTTTTACTACAATTCACTTATACTGTGCTAATTCAAAGTGACGTTTGACAAAACGATACCTGCCCTATATACCAACATACTTCTCCTTCAGTTCGGGTCTTGTAAGTGAAACGATCACACAGATTCACTTAATAAATATTGGTATCATCAAGTATTGTTTTTTTGACGTAAATATTAAGATTTTTTTTTTTTACATTCCTGACAAAGTTGACTACATGAACACTAAAACAACACACACACACAGTAATATTTGTGTTGTAGCTGCATAGTGAGTGATTAAAAAGCTGCAACACAAACAACACACACACACTCACCAATGAAGAATTATTAAGGAGCTGCATGTTGACCTGCCAACCGTTGTAGGTCCAGGAGCCAAGGTAGAGGGAACATATTTGAGTATCATAGGGCCAGTGCGTGTAGTCTAGGGGACATTCGGCTCTGAAGACGGCCGGGGGTATCCACAGCACAGTTCCATTAGAGTTCACTTGTAACTTGACGTTCTGGAAGTGGTCGATCATGGTGTGGTCCGCGCTGCAGCACACAACCAAGCATTTAATTAGTCCCTAACACTACCGTACTACCATGCATTTCATTTGAGTCTCTGTTATAGTTAGAAACCGAAATAAGTCAAAACCGAGTCAACTCGGTGAAAACTAGGCGCAATATCAGTTCTGTGTGGATTAGGTTAGGTTACATTAAGTTAAGTTAGGTTAAGTTGCATTACCTTAGGTGAGGTTAAGCTGGGTTAGGTAGATACTTAAATACATAAGAAATATTAAAAGACACACTGTGGGCTGGATGCACCGGACTGAGCAATTGTTTGGGTGGTGGTGTTAGTTTCCTCCACTGTCTTTACAGAGTGAATTGTTTACTTCTTATTAACAACATACGGTCACTGTAGTTCTGCCGCTAGTGAACCCTTTAAGACTTAAAGGGTTCACTGAGGGAGTGAGATGTGATGAGATAAACCTATTCCGTTCGCCCTAGGTGCTGAATTTGACTCTTTCGTGAAAAAAAAAACACTTCAAGATGCGACCACGCTATATCAGGGTTTGACAGCACATAGTGATTTCTTAGCCTAAGTTTTTATTTGAGTAGTAAGGAAATTGCTTTTAGTGATACCGCATATAATGAAGGTTTCCTGTAATGTGTAATGAAAATCTTCGTCTTATATTTGTGACTAGTATACCGCACTTGTTTACATTTGTGCATGTGTGTTAAAACTTGTGAGTATATGTATACATTATTGTGTATACATTTACATACAGTAATGCGTGTGTGTTTAAATGGAAGTATTTGTGAATATTTAGATACGTTAATGTTTGCGTATGAAAGTGAGTGTACATAATATGGCACCACACTCTACAAAAGCAATCAAATGATTGCAGTAAGATGGCTGAGCACTTCAACACATTTCTAAATCAAATTAACCCAATAACACCTACAGCACTGGATAACATTCCACCCATGCCGACCCTGTATATCTACATTATTATATGCCTCAAAAACCGGACGCCGTACAGACGCCATATCCAAATGCTGGAAAACTTCCACACTAGATGTCTTAAGCGTATCTTTGGAATATCCTGGGAAGATAGAGTGACTCATGAAGAACTATATCGTCGCTCAAACACGACCAGCATTGAAACCATGCTAGCCAAAAGACACTTGCACTGGCTTGGACATGTTATCAGGATGCCAGACCATCGGCTTCCAAGACAAATATTATATGGCAAGCTCTCACATGGAAACCGCTCGGCGAGAGGACAGAAAAAGAGATATAAGGACCACTGGAGCAACTAGCCTCTGATTGTTCCTTATGGCGCTCAACATGCCATAGAGTAGAGTTGCCATATCTGAACATTCAAAAAAGAGGACGCTCCCGAAAACATCCCCCCCCCCCTGGCCCGGCACACACAGGCTAATATACAACATACATGGTATAGAAATCTTTAAAAAAAAAAAAAATTACCTTTGCTTAAGGCTGAACATCTTCATTCCCTTAGCTGCAGTCTTCTTCCCCCACTGTGTGTGTGACTTGGTGTGCCCATGCATACTTTTCTGTAGATCGGATCTTTTTCAGTATTGGCTGATTGCTCTTTAGAAAGGTATAGAAGTCACTGCAAGATGTTTCTCGGAAGTTGTACTGTACAGTCAGAATGCCTTTCATTGTTTCAACACTCAATTTGTTCCTTTCCTTTGTCCATTGACTTTGCATCAGTGAAAAAACTCTTTCTACATTTGCATTGTGAGATGATATAGCAAAGAAGAATTGTGCAATTCTTGGCAATTCTGAGTGGCATTCAAAGTTCTTTGATTTTTCAAAGTATCTGGTCCACTCTATATGTGTTGGCAGATTACTAAATTCTTCATCACTCTTGTAATTTTCCACAAACTGCTTCATGTTACTAACTTGGTCAAAACACTTCATCAATTTCTACCCCCTTATCAATCAAATATTTGACAGCTAAGTTGACAACACCGTACAGGCGTACACGTGACTTATCAGCTGACGAAAACTGAACGAGATCTCTACGGTTCCACCTCCCCTCTCTCCCTCTCTCTGTCTCGTCATTACAGTTTCATGTTTTTTTTCCGTGGAGAAAATGATGGAAGCTGAAATTCCGGACTTTTGAATAATCTTAAAAATTACTTCCGGATGAAGATTTCGAGACCTAAATGGAGGACATGTCCGGGAAAATACGGACGTATGGCAACCCTACCATAGAGGAGCGGAAACACTGAGACCTCACTGAACCAAAAGAGAGCTACTAAACTAGCCCAACGAAATCAGAGGACTCAAGGCATAATTCCTCTCAATGAACAACATCCCCGTCACCTATACAACAAGATCTGCGCCTCAAGGATTGGACTCCATAGTCATCTACGGTGGCATCAGAGGAATAACACATAACTCATCAATCATCTCATCAGGAGCAACGTCGTCAACGACTTCGATGGAGTGCCATAAGTAAGTAAGCAACATAATATGAGGGAGGATGTACTGTACACAAGAAAGAAGAGGTTTGCCACATAGTAACTTACTTGTTGTACAGTTGGAGCTCTGGTTGCCAAACCATATGGTCTTGCAGGTGCAGCTTACTCAGCATGCCATAGTCCTTGTAGTCCCAGGTGAGCTTCGGGCTCTCCACATCTAACACAACCACACTACTATCTTCATATTACATCGAATTCACATCCTTGGCTCAAATGTAACGACAGATAAATCTACAAGACTGAAATCATTATGCTATGCCTCTTTAAATCCAGGCAATCCTCCATTTCTTGTCACTGCCCCAAGGTTCTCTCTCCTATTTATAAAACATTGGGTCTCTGGGGGATATAATAATCATGCAGATGTACTTCTGTGTACAATAATCCGTCAGTTCGTACTTTGGGTGTTCCAGTGATATTTATTATTCAGAAGTTTTAAAGATAAGGAACCCTATAAAGTTCGGTAGTCATCAGAATAAAAGTCAAGGTCACAGAGGGGTGATCAGGCCCAGTTAACATGGTCTCTGCTACATGTTTGTTTCTTACAACTACATTTCTTAATCTAATTGTATAATACAACAGTTTATTAACTAACCATTTGGACGTATAAGTTCATGTTTAATATTTGTTTGTCTTCCTCGATCCATATGCTCATAACCAGGAATCTGAAGTAAACAGTGGTCGTGCCGTTGACGGTGCGGTGAGGAGGAGTGTTTGTTATAGCCTTTTAGCAGGTCTTCACGCAGCTTGTCCTCTTTTCTCCAGGCTGGATTCTCTGTTCAGGACACACACACACTCACTTGTTACAGATATGATACAACTATTCCTGCCTTAAACTTTATTAACATACTGTACTTCATCTTCCTTTGCATTAGTGGTATAAATTTAATGTTAATGCAGGGTACCAAAAACATTATACACATTGCCTCACAGATTTTCATGGAGGTCGCGTGATGCTTGTTTTACACCTTGGGGGAGACCGACCTCGCACATCAGCAAGTGAGGCCAATATTTTTTCATGTAAAGCAAACTTTCAGGCGATTTTCACGAAAATCTGAGGCATTCTGTATACAGTACATTTTTCTGAGAAACCTTGTACAGGGTGGGGAGAAGAAAATTATGTTTTATACTTAATGATGGACTAAACATGCGGTAGTTAATCAATTTGCAGCTGCGTGTCACCCAACTGTTGTAAACATAAGAAAGTCTCACACCGAAAGCTACGCTAGCTACACTACCCACGTGTGCTGTGTATCTTTGGATTGATGCAATGGATTTTAAATTAGGTAACTTACGTACGCCAAGCGGCTGGGCCCCTAGGCCACATATCTTCAGATTGCCGGGCCAGCAACCTTTTCGGCATAGACATACTGTAAGTCACACAAATTGGGTACCTAGCTCTTGCTCCCCCGAAAAATCCTACACTCGCCACTTACCTGTACTCAAGTAGTACTTCACTCACCTTAATTATACAGTATCTTGGTCTCTACAAACATACATGTACAAATACGTGTTGCCACCGGACTCCGTAAAAATTACATTCGTCATAAACTGCCGCGTTAAGTTAGAAATTAAGGGAAACTCTCAATTGTACTGTTCAGAGTGGAACACCTAACGGAAATAACAGTTGCCATGAGTCACGGAAAAAGGGAAAAAAGGGAAGAAATCAGTCATTTCCATTAGTGATGACCGTGATTCACCTACCATAAAAAGACCGGATAATATAGTGCAGGAATACCAAGACCAGCACACAGTGGATTAAGAAGTAACAGAAAAAGATATGTTGTTGGTGTACCTGCAAGGACGCTGGTGGCTGCTGTCAGCGCTGCCATCACCACAAACTGCCACACCATCTTTCTCCCGCGTTCCTTCCATGATTGATTCTTTCGTAGACCAAGTCTCCTGTTGAGTACGCCGCTACCTCCCACCTCTGTACAGGTGACGTGTAATACTCGGTGTCCTAAGGCGTACACACACACTCTTAGCTTTACTTTGTTTTAATATTGAAGAAACTAGAAGTGCAACAGAGTGGCACGTGTTACGTGGTGAAGGCGACAGCTGGAGGGGTCACTGGACCTGGGAAGGCCGGAGGGTCACTGAGCGCCACGCTTCCACCAGTGCCATAGGTGGTGTAGGGGACTGTCAGTGAGCCACACCCCCGGGGAGGAGCGGTCGTGTTACAAGGTAATATGAGGATGCGCCCAGGTCTCGACACCCTGACAGTGTTTGTCCTCTTATTTCTAATAATGTGACCGCGCAGTGCCTAACACGTGTGTGTGAGCTGTGAGGGGTGGGACTGTGTGTGAGCTGTGAGGGTGGGGACTGTGTGAGGGGGGGACTGTGTGAGCTGTGAGGGGTGGGGGCTGTGTGAGCTGTGAGGGGTGGGGACTGTGTGTGAGCTGTGAGGGGTGGGGACTGTGTGTGAGCAGGAGGGGGGGGACGAGCTGTGAGGGGGTGGGGGGCTGTGTGTGAGCCGGGGGGGACTGTGTGAGCTGTGAGGGGTGGGGACTGTGTGAGCGAGAGGGGTGGGGATGGAGCTGTGAGGGGTGGGACTGTGTGTGAACCGTAGGGTGGGGACTGTGTGTGAGCTGTGAGGGGTGGGACTGTGTGTAGCGGGGGGGTGTGAGCGAGGTGGGGCTGTGAGGGAGGGGGGACTGTGTGTGAGCTGCAGGGGTGGGGACTGTGTGTGAGCAGTGAGGGGGACTGTGTGAGCTGTGAGGTGGGACTGTGTGAACGTGAGGGGGGACGTGTGAGCAGGGGTGGGAGTGTGAACTGTGAGGGGTGGGGACTGTGTGAGCAGTGAGGGGTGGGGACTGTGTGTGAGCTGTGAGGAGTGGGGACTGTGAATGTGAGGGGGGGACTGTGTGAGCAGGAGGGGTGGGGACTGTGTGTGAGCTGTGGGAGGGGTGGGGACTGTGTGAACTGTGAGGCGGGACTGTGTGGAGCGGGGAGGGGACTGTGGAACTGTGAGGGGGTGGGGACTGTGTGAGCGGAGGGGGACTGTGTGAGCTGTGAGGGGGTGGGGACTGTGTGTGAGAGCTGTGAGGTGGGGAGGACTGTGTGTGAGCTGTGGAGGGGTGGGACTGTGTGTGAGCTGTGAGGGAGTGGGAACTGTGTGTGAGCTGTGAGGGGTGGGGACTGTGTGAGCTGTGAGGGGGTGGGGACTGTGTGAGAGCTGTGAGGGGGTGGGGACTGGCTGTGAGGGGGTGGGTTGTGAGCTGTGAATCGGCTGCTTGTCCAATTAACCAGTCCGTTCACACATATTTATATTTGGGTTTAAGTAACGAAACCCAAACGGTAGTTCTTTGTTTTATTATAAAAGGTTGTATATATAATTCTTGAGTGTATATCAACCGTAAGTCTCCTGTCTAGAGTGAATGAGAAAGGGACGGCGTTTATGTATGATAAACGTTAGGTCACGTCCTACTGATATGAGTTGAGGTGAGCTACTGAAGCTTAGGGGCATCACAGTGCGTGCTTACAGAAATGCTGAGCTATGGGTCTCGCCCTCTTGGGTGAGTTGCCCGCTCACGTGTCCATCTCATGTCTTACTCATAGACAGTGGAAAGTTACAGGTTGGTGAATCTGAATATTATATCAGATGTATTGACCCATTTATATAATACGTTCTGTTAATGAGACAGGGCCTATACAGCTAGGGAGGGGTGGGACTGTGTGTGAGCTGTGAGGGAGGGGACTGTGTGTGAGCTGTGAGGGGTGGGGACTGTGTGTGAGCTGTGAGGGGTGGGGACTGTGTGAGCTGTGAGGGGGTGGGGACTGTGTGTGAGCTGTGAGGGGGTGGGGACTGTGTGAGAGCTGTGAGGGGTGGGGACTGGCTGTGTGAGGGGTGGGGACTATGTGTGAGCTGTGAGGGAGTGGGGGCTATGTGTGAGCTGTGAGGGGTGGGGGCTGTGTGTGAGGCTGTGGGGGGTGGGGACTGCGTGTGTGTGAGCTGTGAGGGTGGGGACTGTGTGAGAGCTGTGAAGGGGGTGGGGACTGTGTGTGAGCTGTGAGGGGGTGGGGACTGTGTGTGAGGCTGTGAAGGGGTGGGGACTGTGTGAGGAGCCCTGGGGGTGGGGACTGTGTGAGAGCTGTGAGAGGGGTGGGGACTGTGTGTGAGAGCCTGGGGGTGGGGACTGTGTGTGAGCTGTGAGGGGTGGGGACTGTGTGTGAGCTGTGAGGGGGGTGGGGACTGTGTGTGAGCTGTGAGGGGTGGGGACTGTGTGTGAGCTGTGAGGGGGTGGGGACTGTGTGAGAGCTGTGAGGGGGTGGGGACTGTGTGAGAGCTTTGAGGGGGTGGGACTGTGTGAGAGCTGTTCTTTAGTAAACCGTTAATTATTATCACACGCACACAGACACACACACACACACACACACTTTTCCTTCACTCGTTGTTATTCAGTCCTCACTGGTGTAAAATAAGTGTTCTGCCATGGAACTTTTCATCCACAACACCGCCCCAAATGTGGATGAAGGTAAAAAAAGGTAAGTATCAGTACACACAGCCATCATCACCCACCAGTACACACAGCCATCATCACCCACCAGTACACACAGCCAGCATCACCCATCAGTACACACAGCCATCATCACCCACCAGTACACAGCCATCATCACCCACAGCACACAGCCAGCATCACCCATCAGCACACACAGCCATCATCACCCATCAGTACACAGCCATCATCACCATCCACAGCCATCATCACCCACCAACACAGCCATCATCACCCATCAGACACACAGCCATCATCACCCAACACCCCAGCATCACCCATCAGTACACACAGCCATCATCACCCATCAGTACACACAGCCATCATCACCCATCAGCACACAGCCATCATCACCCATCAGTACACACAGCCATCATCACCCATCACACCAGCATCTCAATCACACACATCATCACCCATCAGTACACACAGCCATCATCACCCATCAGTACACACAGCCATCAGTAGTGCTCTCTCAAACCACTTTACACTGGGCTTACCGCCACCTCTTCTACACATCCCTCTTACTATTTGATCATGAATTACGGTAAGGAAAGACACGTTTATACAATTATTTTTATTAGTACTAGTATTGACACATAAAAATATAATTCACAAGATATTAAGCAAGTAAAAGTGAACTAATTTCAAAATGATGTCATTTATTAAAACAAAGGTATTAACGGAGGATATTACAGTATTTACAATTTTATTATGTAATAGAAACAGTTTTATATTTACTCAGAAATTTCAAGGAATACTTAGTAAAATATGTAAGTGAGAAGTTAACTAGAAATTGATCTAGTTAACAGAGAAGTAATAGTAATTCTTTAGATGTCAGATGGGGGGGGGAGGGTAGTTAAACAGGCAACAGTTATTTTCTTATAATTATCATTAATTTATACATGTATACAAATGTCATGAACTGGATAGGCCGGGTCAGGACCAGACACCAGTCTCACGCCAGGTAGAGCCAGATGAACAAGAATTTAAATGAGTAAATGATGACAAAATAGATATAAGGATAAGAGCACTGTGGTGGTCCCGTATAATGGCGGTCAAAAAGTACGAAGGATCTGGGGCCTGATATAACTAATAAATGAGATATAATAATAACTGTTCACATAATGGAGTACAGTTTTTTAAGTCTTAGGTAGCACGTAAGGGAGACAGACGCTAGGTAGAGACGGGCACCGTAGAAATCGCGAGTAATTACACACACGCACAGGCTGTCGAAAGAGAGAGGGAGAGCAGAGAGTACCCCTGAGAGAGTGAGTGTGGAGTACTAGAGACAGTGCCGCAGGAGCAGGCCGACTGGGGCTTATATGGGCAAACATTGTGGGAAAAATCATGGGCTTATGACGTCACATCTCGGAAATGTGTGTTTGGTTGACTGAAGCCTTCTCTTGCCTGAACTCTATGTTGCATGGGGAGGATAGGCGCTAGGATGGAGGACGTCTGTGTGTCGGTAATCTTTTTCCCGCAGAGAGATGTTGGTGAGACATGACACATTAATATGATGAAAGAAATCAGAAATAATTATCATGGTAAGGTTGACAAAACACGCACGAAACATAACTCAGTACAGTGCTGCTACTGCCCTCACAGAGATAAAATTGACTGGTTCACTTTATCATAATTTATATATTTATTTGATCTACTTCATGTATACTTAATATTGTAAACGTAGTGTATGTGATACTTCCCTTTATTTCTACTGTGTTGGTACTCCTAGGAGAGATTAAAACCAACAATTTAGACAACATGATTTTGCCAAAATTGTGACGACCCATTCACAACAAGAAAGATTATTAAACTAAAAAATGGGAAGAAGTAGAATATATTTAATATTAATGACAATATGGTCACTCGTAACAAAACAATGGGTGGAGTACACTTAGTGGCGAACACTTACAGGTTTTCACTTATTCATGTCATTGTTCTTTTTTTTTGTATTTCAGATCTGAGTAAAGTTTATTAGACTCTGGAGACGTAGGCGATGAGGGTGATGACGAAGGTGGCGACGAAGGTGAGAGCAGCGAGGCGGTCGACGGCGGCTGCGACGAGGATCCACTCATGGAGGTAAGAGGCGGGGCGAGCTTCCTCCAGCACCTCCCCGTCCTCCCCCCCTCCCCCGCTCAGACCAACCTGTGTCAACACAACCTCTAATTAGTTTACTGAAATCAAAATGTAAATGAAAAAAAGGTCGGTGCTCTTGAAACATTCTCACTACACTGAACAATGACAGTGACCCACAATATACTGAACTACGTCATCTTGTTCGCTGTACAGTATATAGGTAGACCTTATTAAATAAGTGTTGCTGTGCCCTTTACTCTACTTGTATGTGTAAAGTCTGATAACTTGAAATAAGTAAATTTCTGATAGTAATTCGGTCTATATTAATGCTTCTGCGCTTATTTCTAGGGTCATGGTTAGTTCAAATTTCAGTCTTGTGGTCCACTGCGATGGAGGAACATTCTTGCAATCACTCACTAGCCTAGGTTGCCCATCCCTGGTTCAGGTTTTAGCGAAGGAATAATGTTCGCTGTAGATGGTAAGGAATTGGCCCGAGGATAAGACTAAGATTTTTGCTATTCTTTGAAACCCCACAGAACTGGTAGATGGTCAATAATAATAATGGTCATAACGAAAGTAACGTTGAAACTCTGGTAGATGGAGGAGGGGACTACAGTACCTTGTCGGTGTAGCGTTGTAGGAAAAGGATGGTGCCGAGTGGTCCAGTGAGGATGGTCTTGAGGAGTGTCGGTGGTGGCGCGGTGGACGCAGGGTGGCGGCTGTCAGTCAAACGCAGGAGGCTGGCACTAACACACACACTCACCACCACCACCACTAGCGTCTGTCCGTAGAACTTGACTGTCCACAGTTATTTTGTTAAGTTTTTCATCCCCAGCAACTTAGTGACTTAGTGCCCAAGTAAAGTTAATTAACAGTATTTCTGATACTTGAAACTCAGTTATATTTGTATTAAATTGGTAATAAAAGAAACAAAACAGATAACCTCATTGTGACATGAGATGAATTATATCGTTACTGTAACCAGTTACATTAATACATGTGCTGTACTGGACAATGAAGGTCATAAACAAGTAACAAAGAACAAACCAATAAGCTGATACATTAAATAGTGAAATGATTCATTAAAAAAAATGCAGTAGTTACAGCGCGGTGGATGGAACCGTAAACCCGAGGTGTACTGTAGAGCTTCACACAGGAGTTACAGCCATTACTTATATTAAATTATGTAGAAACTAAAAAACACAATGATGCAAATCCTCACCAAGTTTGTTTGGCATCACGAAGCTGTAGTACTGTGGGTTTGTGGTTTACAAAGGGTGTAACACTGATACAAAGGTTTTATGAAAGTTCACAAACTATAAATTATGTAGACAAAGTATGGAGTAACTCTGTGCCAAAATGCAAGAAAGCTTCATTTTTAATCCAGCCACAGATATCGACTGACTGTCGTTTTATTTGGTGTGAGAGATGGAGTGATGACCACTTCACCGTGATTATAAACAAGAGTAGTATACTGGGAAGGCGATGGAGGAGGAGAAGGCGAGTAAGAGAAAAACAAGTCGTCCCGTGGTACTGTTATATAGTGTTAGAGGAGACTGCTTTATCGGGACTGAAGATTACCTATCTCTTTAGGACGTGTAAAACGAGTTTACGTAAACAATATTGTACCGTAAGAAAGAGTAGGGGCGAGGTAAGACGTACTAGGGAAGACTTACCAATAATAGGGAGGGAAGTGGCGGTGGGCGGGATGATGGTGGCCAGGTAGAGCAGCAACAGCAGGGTCAGGAGCAGACTCATGCACCCTAGCGTCAGTCTTCGCGGCTCCCGCAGGGGCAGCACGAACTGTACCAGCGTCAACACCGAGATCACTGCCGGATACCACCACACACCTTATTATTGTATACCTTCTGTACATGTTCCTACATACTGAGTACCGGAATACCTCTCATGATGCTCTTGACCAAGTTTGTGACCTACAGTAAACAAAACACCACATGTAGGTGGTGACAGGACCCACCACATGTAGGTGGTGACAGTACCTCCCACATGTAGGTGGTAACAGGACCACCACATGTAGGTGGTGACAGTACCTACCACATGTAGGTGGTGACAGTACTTACCACATGTAGGTGGTGACAGTACCTACCACATGTAGGTGGTGACAGTACCTACCACATGTAGGTGGTGACAGTACCTACCACATGTAGGTGGTGACAGTACCTACCACATGTAGGTGGTGACAGTACCTACCACATGTAGGTGGTGACAGTACCTACCACATGTAGGTGGTGACAGGACCCACCACATGTAGGTGGTGACAGTACCCACCACATGTAGGTGGTGACAGTACCTACCACATGTAGGTGGTGACAGGACCCACCACATGTAGGTGGTGACAGTACCCACCACAGGCAGGAAGGACGACGGTGCTGGTGAAGGAGGGGGAGGTCCTGGTTAAGACAAGGCTCACTTGGAGGAGGCTGTAGGGCGGCATGTCCTTGTATTGTATTACATGTTTTTGGATTTTGCCGCTCACCATCATCCATGAGCGGGATAACTTGTTGTTACCTGCCAACACCTGTGACAACAACACACCTGTAAAGCTCCTTAACACACTTACTGTTTAATTACTGATACAATAATTACAGTGTTAAATCGTAAATAATGCATTATATCAACATACTTGTCTGTTGGTTCGAATCTTCTTCATTTACTAACTTAATCAAGCGAATTCCCAACACAAACACTACACACACTCACTGAAGACTGATTATGATAAAGCTGTAAGTCGACCTGCCAGCCGTTGTAGGTCCAGGCACCGAAGAAAAGATCACAGGTCTGAGTCTCGTAGGGCCAGTACGTGTAGTCTAATGGGCAGAGAGCTTTGAAGAGGGACGGGGGCACCCACAGCACCTCCCCTGTTGAGTACACCAGCGCCTTGGTCCCCGAGAAGTGGTTCACCGATGACAGGTCCGCGCTGCGCCACATACCCAAAGAGCTTAGTGTCCTTATTACTACACCCACACAAACTGCATTACACCCACATAAACTCCACTACACACACACACAAACTCCACTACACCCACAAAGACTGCAGAGCCTCCACCACACACTGACTTACTTGTTATAGAGGTAGATCTCTGGTTTCCATATCGTTTGGTAATGTACGTGCAACACATTAATCCCGTCGTATTGTTTGGTGTCCCAGACTAAATGCGGGTCGTGCCAAACCTGTGAGGCAGACAATAATAAATCTTTACACATCATCGAATTCCCATGCTTATCACGGACACGGCGTAAATTGAGTAAAGAGCCTTGAGAGTGTACCCGACAATATAGTGAACCTTATTGTCTGTCAAGTTGGTAAAGAGTGAGACAATTGTTTGATAAGTGCCGCCATGAGTGGTATGTATTCTTGAGCTCTGCATTTATCTCGCTCCTCCACCCGCTGTAACCATTCACACTGCTTCCTCCTCACTGCCATTGTATGTCTTTAATAATAATAATAATAATAATAAAAATAATAATAATACATCCACTCACACTTTTGATAAGCCTCAAGTTGATTGAATACATTAAAATTTCCCTTTACTAACCATTCTGCTCCAGGCGTTGACATTCAATATCTCTTTGCCTTCCTCAAACCACACGGCCATAACCTGGAAGCCGAAGTAAGCAGTGGTCGTGCCGTTGACGGTGCGGTGAGGGAGGGAGTGTTTGCTGTAGTTTTTTAGCAGGTCTTCACGCAGCTTGTCCTCCTTTTTCCAGACTGTATCCCCTGTCCAGGACATACACATTCACTTGTGACAGATAAAGATACAACTATTCCTGCCTTAAGTTTACATTTGCTTGGCGACATCTAACTGCATGTTGCTCTACTGTGATAATGAGCGGTGGGAATCTTTATGTTTAGGCTACAGTAACACCGACTTTTTATAACTATCGTTTAACAGTATCTAAAAAGTGGTAGGAATAACAAAGAAATACTGTTATTTTTGTCAGTTATTTCTCCATTCTAGGCGACACACAGCAATGGACGAGGGAATAAATATTCTTTTACTTTCATATAGTTTAATTGTTTTATGTGATAGTCGTGTGATCCTCTACATTAAATCGCATAATATGGAACATCATGTTGTTAATTAAACTTGTTCCTAGTTGAGAGACAGCAGGTATGGGTTGACAGAACGATGGCATGTAATTGGTGGTTTCATTAATCAAGGAAAGCTGCCAAAGTTTCCTCCGTTCACAACTCCCATCTTACACTTTAGGCTTCAATACATTAATTAAACAAATTATTAACACTATATACAGTACTCAATTGTCACGCCTCTTGTGTACTTATGAATTTCCCTCTTTTCACAATATTGTATTTCCTATTGTTAAGCGTTTTTGTTATTCCATCACTACATTCATTCCTGGGACGCCATATTTTCCCTTACACTCCATCTACTACCCTGTCACCCACTTTTGTTTGTAAATCTCTTATCACTATCATTTTTTTTCACCCCTGGAACCTATTCACTCATCATTCATAACCCGTCTCAACCTCCACGTTCAATTGACTCATAGTATCCTGGGAGTGACTCGGTGTAGTACTTCACCATGCAACGCCACGACTCAAAAACATCACGCTCTCTGACTCTCCCGACATCTCACCTTCCCTGGAAGATAAGATATGTTGTTGGTGTACCTGCAAAGACGCTGGTGGCTGCTGTCAGCGCTGCCATCACCACCAACTGCCACACCATCTTTCTCCCGCGTTCCTTCCCACGATTGATTCTTTCGTAGACGATCCAAGTCTCCTGTTGAGTACGCCGCTACCTCCCACCTTCCTGTACAGGTGACGTGTAATACTCGGTGTCCTAAGGCGTACACACACACACTCTTTAGCTTTACTTTGTTTTAATATTATTGAAGAAACTAGAAGTGCAACAGAGTGGTACGTGTTACGTGGTGAAGGCGACAGCTGGAGGGGTCACTGGACCTGGGAGGGCCGGAGGGTCACTGAGCGCCACGCTTCCACCAGTGTCAGAGGCAGCAGCGGCCTGGCACCTCCCCATTCTGTCCCAACTTACCGCCGCCGCTCTCCGCCACTCCACATTTTTGTTTTTACCGTATAGTACCTTATAGACCTCACTTGTTTCTACATGTTCGCAGAAAGTGGAACGTATTGGTATGACGCTGACTATTTTCCGGATTGTAACTCATTGGAATAAGAATAGACATTATTACACAGGTATTGTACTATACGCCTGGGGAGATGAAGGTCCCCATTAGTGTTGGTGTAAGTGGGTGAATTATGTAACCAGAGTAATAACCGTTGGATATGTTATTGTTCAGTACTTTACCCTTGTGGTGGCTAAGGGCGTGTTGTGAGCCATGAGCTGTTGTCTTTATGATTATGTTCGGCTGTAAGAGTTACTCAGATTATAACGCTATTTTATTATTATCTGCTCCTTCTTAAAAGTTCTTAAAAAAATAAAAATAAGCACAGCTATATTTCTTTAATTATTCGTTGGGAACTTAGCATGCTTCCCAGATGGGCGCTGTAAACGCTTCTGCGCTTCACCTTGCACAGGATGTAAGGGGGTGCCCAATAAACTAGCCCCCTCCGGGGCAATCTAAAAAAAAAAAAGGCTGTGCTCACGTGTGTGTGTGCTTAAAGAGGGGGGCAGAAGCGAAACACGCCCCGGGGGAGGAGCTGGTCGTGTTACACTGTAATCTGAGGTTGACGACACATGAAGATCAACGCAAACCTCAGCACCAGGGTGTTTGGCCTACTACTGGGTGAGGTGAGTTGTTGATCAGATGAGATACAGTGTGTGTGTGTGTGTGTGTGTGTGTGTGTGTTCTAGGTTCTACCTATCATTATCTAACTCATTTAAACACGCACACACACACGCACGCACACACACACAACTACAACCGCATCCAGCCCATACGTGCACGAACTGATCGCTATAAGAACAGCCCAGTCCCAACCATTGTAAAAATTATCAATAACTTGTAATAAACCAGTGTATTCACTCCCAGTATATACTACTCCTTGCACTGTCACTATGTTGAAATGCACTGTAGTTTGAGCTTTTCCCCATCTAGTTATTATATATCTTATTTGTATCACTTATGTTACTTGTATATTATTTGTAATTCGAAACCCATTCCCCAAATATGTAACTGTATATTTTCAGCCTTCTGGCTGCCAAGCTCTTTCAATAAACAGTTAATTATTATTATTATTATTATTATTATTATTATTACACTAGGTAGTCCGCCCACAGGTCAACCGGACTAAGTATCCCAGCAAATAGCCTCAGCCAACCGAGACTAAGGGGTGGAGATCCTAGTGTTACAGTTGTGTTATTTTACCCTGGTGTTATGTTCCGGTGTGTGTGTGTGTAGGGGGTGGAAGGAGTGGGAATGTGTGTGCATGTGTGTGTGTTCTCGCCTTCATAAAAATCTCGTGCACACACACACGCAACGGATACACTAACTACGAGTATATTGGTGTTGATCTAGACCTAACTGGCAGAGATAAACTAGAAGAGAGTGAGAGAGAGAAAAAAAACTTCTTTTTGTAAATTATCGTAAAGTCTTTTAGAATAGAGGATGGTTGCTCAAGTGGCCACGGGCAGAAGTTGCAGGTCAAATGGGCCCCAGTCCTAACGGGCCCCAACATGACCTTATCGATAAGTCCAATTGACTGATGATTGATAAGGAGAGAGAGAGGTTAATATTTTCTTTTGTGTATGGTGATGGTGATGGTAATTATGGTGGTGGAGATGGTGGTAGTTGTGGTGGTGATGATGCTGATGGTGTAGGTGGCAATGATGGTGAAGATAATGAAGATGGAGATTTTTTAGTTTCCTCGTCCAGCAGAAAACAACTGAGGCCATTTATCAGGATCAACGATTATATTTTTGGTGCACCTTTAACTAGCCCTTATGTTTGTTTACCTCAGGATGACAAGTAAAAGAAGCTGTGTTGAGGGAAGTATTTTATTTACGAGTGTGCTACGTGAGAGGTGACAAGGAGTGCCTTAACATCACCACCCACACACACAGGATCTAATATTTGGGTACACTCTTTCTCTCGCCCCCTATTGTGTATTATTTTCTTCACACATAGTCTCAAGCTTCAGCCAAGAGAAACGAATCTAAGGAGCATCTGAGTAGTGCCGCCCACAGGCTAAAGGCAATGATGCTCTGCGGAAAACACACCTTATGTGGATCATTGTTATGTGTCCATCATACCACACTGCGTCCGGGTCAGCAATCTGTCTTTGTTGTATGTTTCTAATAAATCACTAGTTAATGAAGAATTTAATTATCATGGACATTATGTAATTTGCTTTATTAGATTAAACAATGGACTTCATTAACACCACTCGAGCAGTACCGGTCACCAGCGCGGTCCTCGTGATATTTGTACACCCACTATTGCCTGTCTGTCATCTGGACGTGAGCAGTAACAGGACCCTGACCCACCAAGGCCCAGGTATAGTGTAACAGGTGCTGGCCAGTGAGGTCCTTGGCTTGTGATACACTGCTCGGCCCTGGTCCATGACTGTGCTGTGTTACATTTTTTTACTCTAGTAGGGAAATGTATGTCAGAATATACCTGTGTTGACATTGTTTGATCACCCCAACTTATTGCATGTGATGATTAAGCACCCTAATACTACATGGAGGGGTTAAGTTAGTGTGAAGTAAAGTTGGGGGCCTTATAGTATTTATCTGATCGAATTTGTTTAATATTCAGTAGACAGTAATTGTATGAGGTTAATATATAATAGATTGCGCTCATGTTTTCTTGTTTCTTTCATATACAGAAGATCAGACTCTGGCGACGTAGGCGATGAGGGTGATGACGAAGGTGGCGATGAAGGTGAGAGCAGCGAGGCGGTCGACGGAGGCGGCGACGAGGATCCACTCATGGAGGTAAGAGGCGGGGCGAACCTCCTCCAGCACCTCCCCGTCCTCCCCCCCTCCCCCACTCAGACCAACCTGTGGTGTACAGCCACATTTGAGCACAGCCTCAGTCCAGGTGACAAGAATTAATTTATCTCATTCTTATACATCATAACATCGAATATTATGCATGAATTTTTTTATTTCTCAGTGAATTACATCAGACTTAAGGTTACGTTTATTGATGCTGAAGTTGTCTGTATTTAATGTAACACGAGGCCGGCAGCTGTATGTTACCAGGATTATGTTCACACATCTATTAAATTTTGTCGGTATACTCACAGTGTTGGTAAGTGACAGGGAGAGGTACACCACCCACCTTATCAGTGTACTGCCGTAGACAGAGGATAGTGGCCAGTGGTCCAGTGAGTACTTTCTTAAGGGTGAGTGGGGGTGGATTAGAAAGGTGAGGACCATCAGTCAGGCGAATGAGTCCCGCACTTATCACCACACTCGTCACCACCACCGCCAGCGTCTGCCCGTAGAACTTGACTGTCCACACACACAAACACACCATGACAGTAGAAATTATATACTACCAGTTTACTTACCATACTATGTACTTTCTCTATCAAGAAAGTACATGCTATAATAAACAAAATATCACATGTAGATACAAATTTTATAAGTTTGAATGTAAATTTGGTGTCATGAGCTAAAATCTCAATATTATTAAAGATAAATTTCCCAGATAAAATTAAGGTTTATGAATTAAATGAATTAAGAAAAACAGGTTTATAGGACTATCACATGACTAGAAGGTATGACAGGCTGAGATTAAGAGGTCCTCATTGGGAGAGACTGGAAGTAATACAGTGGCTGAAGAAGTGAATGTTCCAGGGAGCTGTGAATGATGATGGCCAGTGAGGTTTAATAATAACTAGTTAGTTCTTTTATAGTCTTGACAAAGGAAGAAGAACGAAGTCTTTAAATTTCTTGCCAAAGCCGTAGAATACACAGACAAGATCTCTGACAATTTGAGTCTTAATTCACAGTTGAGGATCATTTATATAACATGAAGATGGCAGAACATGACAGAGGAGGCAGAGGGACCCCAGAACACCCTGGAGGATACAGCAGAAGGTGGTAGAGGGACCACAGAACACCCTGGAGGATACAGCAGAAGGTAGTAGAGGGACCCCAGAACACCCTGGAGGATACAGCAGAAGGTGGTAGAGGGACCCCAGAACACCCTGGAGGATACAGCAGAAGGTGGTAGAGGGACCACAGAACACCCTGGAGGATACAGCAGAAGGTGGTAGAGGGACCCCAGAACACCCTGGAGGAGGCAGCAGAAGGTGGTAGAGGGACCAGAACACCCTGGAGGATACAGCAGAAGGTGGTAGAGGGACCACAGAACACCCTGGAGGATACAGCAGAAGGTAGTAGAGGGACCCCAGAACACCCTGGAGGATACAGCAGAAGGTGGTAGAGGGACCCCAGAACACCCTGGAGGATACAGCAGAAGGTGGTAGAGGGACCACAGAACACCCTGGAGGATACAGCAGAAGGTGGTAGAGGGACCCCAGAACACTTTAGTGAGGAACCACCAGAGGAACGTCACTTACCGATGATGGGGAGGGAGGTGCCAAGGGGTGGGATGGCGTAGGCGAGATAAAGGAGCTGTAGGAGGGTGAGGAGGAGGGCCGTGCACCCTACCAAGAGCCGCCTGGGGTGGGTCAGGGGCAGCAGGAATTGAACCAGTGTTGTGACCGATACCACTGAAAACACACAACACTTAAATGATCAAGGGTGTTGTGTAATGATTATCTTGGCATGCTTTTTTTTTTAATGCAGAACCATTTATAATTATTTGAAATATGGAGTAGGTGTTATTTCAAAATGATGGCATACAACATACAGTTATTGTATGATAATTTTTTATGGCACAAACTGTCATAAGTGTCATTTTAAAGAAACTGCTGTTTTTGCATAATGAGATAACTTTTTATTGCTACAACGTAATGGAAATTATTATGTACTGTATATAGTAAGAATTTCTCACTTTCAATTAAGACTTCATTTGCCATCATAAGATAGCCAAGCTACAGCTAACCAGGTTAGGTTAGGTTTTCTATAAAACTTTTCATTTATATGCATCATGATGATCTACTCGTATAGGGTATAGTTGTGTGTGGTCAGGCAGAAGTTTTCAAAACAAATGCTTACAAGTTATCAATGCTGTACATACTCGTAGATTTACGCATGTGTTTGTACTTGTGGTCAACAATGTACCCCAAGTGAGGCATGCAACTGCCTGTTCTAACACACGGTGTAAAATTGGGCGGCCACCAATGGCACTGGTGTTTCACAAGGTACCCCACCTCATACATATAATTATATACATACAGAATAGATGTATACAGTATACAGGTATACATTAGTGATGTGGATGTGAAAATGACATGACATTTGTCATTAATATGAACCTCAAGACTCACCACAGGCAGGGACGATGACAGTGGAGGCAAAGGAGGGAGACACGCGGGTGATGTTGAAGGCGGCGTGCATGGTGAAGTAGGGCTCCGGGCAGCACTTGTACTTGAAGTCCAACCGCCGGAGGACCCCGCTAACAATCCGCCAGTGATATGACTTCTTCAGGTTGAAAAAATCCGTCATCTGCAATATTAACTTGTGAAGTTAATTTCCTCAGCACTACCACACTGTATTATTGTACTGAAACTGTCATCTTATAAAAGTGTAGTGGATTGTTTGAGAGAAGTGATGTGCTGGAGTACATTGTACAGGGAGGTTATGTGGAGAAATAGGGTAGATTTAATGATCCACTCATTATAACCGCTGTATGTGCAGTACTGTATACTGTAATATGTTTTACCATGTAGTTTTTTATAAGTTTCCTCCCGAACAACACTTGCCTCAGCTACAATTCGACCCGGATTTACTGTAAGTCAAATGTACATGAAACTTATGGTGAGGACAAATATGCTCACCTTCCTTGTGAAGTTTGGGTAACTGAGTTCGACCTGCCAGCCGTGAGTAGTCCAGGACCCGAAGTAAACATCACAGGACTGTGTGTCGTAGGGCCAATAGGTGATGTCCATGGGGCAGTCGACGGCAATACGTGCGGGCGGGACCCATAAAACGTCGCCATGAAATACCAACATATGTGTGTTGGCGTAGTGGTCTATCTCCGACGTCTCTGCACTGACAACCATATGTTTTTATTAGATTTTGATCACAATATCAATTATCAGCATTTTAACTAATCTCCTTGTAGACTTGCCTCTTTGACTCACTCTTTTCAACCATGATTTTTTCTTTAAAGAATTTTTCCTCAATACTTTAGTCAATGGGCCAATTTTAACCAAAGTAAGCAGGAAATACTGTACAGTACAGTACAGGGTACGTTATCTTTAAGGATTGGGATTACGTTTTTTTTTTTACAGGGAGTAGCCAACCCGGGCATAGGTCATCGACCCACAACGCGGTCTAGGGGGAGAAGAAATAAGAGTAAAAAGAAATTAAAAATAGAAAAGAAAACTATCTTTTTGAAACGAGACAGATTGTGTGAGTATGGAAACACAGAAGGCAGATCAAATGTAACCCCTGCACTGAAGGTTATATACTGTATGTCATTTGTTTGACTACGTTTCCAAATAGAAATTAATGTACAAAGTGTAGTCATTCTAGTAAAGTTGATACAGTCTGGTTCCCTTACTGTGATCGCTACCACAGATATAGGTTTGAATAAGTTCACATTGTCCGCACGATGAAAATGAAAGGTTTTATTAATATATAAGTATGTAATGTGCCATGTTAATATTGGCGGGCACAAGATATACTGACTTACTTGTTGTAGACAGTTATGTCGGGTTTCCATAGCTCATCCTCCTGAAAGTGAACTTCATGCAGCCCGCCGTAGTCCTTGGGGTCCCACGACAGTCTTGGGTCATGCCAGAACTGAGGGACCATACCTTGTTACGGCACCACATCTCACCACCAACCCCATACATCTCCACCACCATACATCACCACCACCACACATCACCCTCACCACACATCACCACCACCACACATCACCCTCACCACACATCACCACCACCACACATCACCACTACCGCCACACATCACCACCACCGCCACACATCACCACCACCGCCACACATCACCATCACCACATATCGCCATCACCACACATCAACTTTACACATCATTACAGGAAACTGCTGTTTTAATAAGTAATGAACCTGGCAGTTGGTTCAGGGTTAGGAAGAGGTCAGAGAAAGCTGTGTTCTGTCACCAGCTTTTCATAATATTTATCCAGAATTTTTAATGAGAAAGTAACGATATAGAAATAAAAATTAATATTAAAGTAATTTCAAATAAATGTGATGTAGATGATACATTTTTTATTATGGATAGTAAAGAGGTATTATAAAAACTGGTTACAGATTAGTGAAAAAAGGTGAAGAATATGGGCAGACTTTATTCTGTAAAGACAAATACAAAAGTTGTTTCCAAAGTAGAAATAAATCCTAAAATATAAATTATGGTGGACAAAAGGGAAGTCAAACTAGTGTGAAAAAAAATTGTACCGCATTTAGGGAGTACTGTACTGATACATTATTTATGATGACAGATGGGTAAAAGAAGTTAAAACAAGAGTAGCTCAAGCAAAAATAGCCCATGATTACCTCAATAGACATGACAACAAGGGGAATTAATTTAAATTTGAGAAAAAATGTGCTGAAGTGCTATGTATGGTCAGTACTGTTGTGTGGGACAGAAGTATGGGCACTATCAGCAGACACCAGAAGGAGGTTAAAGGCCTTTGAAATGTGATGCTCCAGGAGAATGTTACAAATAAGTACACTGTCAAGAAAACAAAGAAGAAAGTACTAAAATTAGCAAAAACATTGAGACAAATACTTGAAAGGGAAAATTTAATCATCAAATTAGGGATGAGTGAATAATGGTGGAAATATTAATGGGCAAAATTGAGGGTAAGAGGCCAGGGAAAGGTAGAGACTGGATGGATGAATCTCCAGCTATGTTTGATGGCGATATTGTACTGGGTTGCATGTGACACCGTGTGCATGATTCAGTGTACTGTACACAAATGTATGTGATAGCCTGTTGTTAGACAACTCGGTACTGTACTGTCTTTCATTACAGTTTTGTTGCAAAAATCACAAGTACAGTATTTATACAGTTCAAAATGTATTTTCCAGTGTGATATTCAGATGTACTGTACAATGTAAGGGAAGGAGTAGGGTAACAGGTATGCATAAATACAGGTACCTACCATGAGAACCCACAAGTTGAGGTGGAGGACCTGGGTGGTCTCGTCGAACAACAAGCCTCGCACCACAAAGTCGAAATAGACCTGTGTGGTGCCATTGTGATTGCGCTCAGGCAGGACGCGCTTGTCATAGTTCTTCAGCACCTCATTCCTGATTCTCTCATTCATATTCCACCAGTCTTTCTCTGAACCAGAAAAGACTCTTACTGTTTTATTTCTCAACCGGTGAAAAATAAGTTTTATCACAGTAGTACGTCATTTAACGACTGCAAGTTAATATCTTACAACAAATTAGAACTTGACAATGTTTTCATTGATTGTGAATAACAATTCATTTATGTTAAGAGCCAACCATACAAACCTGTAATTTTGTCAGGTAAGAATGATGATGATGAGAGAGTGTATATGTGTGTGTGTGTGTGTGTGCAGATCTCACAAGTATGAAGAGGTGTTGGATGTATCTTACCTGAAGCAGCATAATCAAGGCAGACTGCAACCATCACCATCAACAGTAGGCGCTCACCATTCATGTTGCTTCACTCCTCACGCCCGCACCTGCTGCCTCACTCCTCACGTCCACACCTGCCACCTTACAGAATCCTTCGCTACTCGCACCTTACCAACCAGAATGAACTCTTAGCATAGCTCAATCTTCCTTGCTCCTGGATGAGAAACTCAAAGTGGCGAGTCTGAAATGTTAATCACTTTAGGTAGCAACATCTGCAATTTTTAATTAAATTTTCAAATGTGAATTACTATGACAGGTCACTGGAAACATTGGGTAAACCTTTGAGTACAGTCACAAACAAAAGTTCTGTCGCCTCTTCTGCTGCTCCACAAAACCCGAGATTACTTACACAGTTGAGAATACTGATTATATACTGTAATCTGATTATTATTCTAGTAATAATAAGGAGTAAGATAATCCACCATTCAAAATAATAATTGTATTTGGTATTTTAGTGATAGTTCTATGTTACCATTACTCCAGGTGTACAAGTACTGTAAGCATGTTGCATTACCCTATTTTTGATGAAAGAATCATTAGTTTTAGTTCTTTGCTGATATTTCACATATTGTATTTAGAAATAGTGACACTTTTCCAGTACTGGTAGAGGACAGATGTTAAGAGTACAATATGTTTCCTGGTGAGCCCCACACTGGCACTCACTAGCACTATGTAAACACCTCACGTCTTAATAATAATTTTTCCAGGTCTACTGTACGTTAGTGACCAGTGTAGTACACTACATGGTGAGGACCAGCCAACTCTTACAACTGTATCCTCTACAACCTTTATAAGGTTGGTGACAAATAAGTAATTTGTTTAAATTATTTTACTTTATGTTTAATTTTGTTGCTCTATGTTGTACTGTATACTTTATCATGTTTAAGGTGTTGTGTCTGTTGTCTGGATATTTCTTCGGTACCAACATTAACTTCGCTTTTACATTACTATGATGTGGTTATTGTATTCTTCACTTGTTCTTTCTTTTAGTTAAGTTGGTGAGGTTTATTATGTCATTCTAGTAGTGTAGTTAAATTTGGACGTGGTAGAGATACAGCTGCAGCATGCCGAGTGTCTCACTCCGGTGACTGACGAGGCAATATTGTAGTGTTGGACCCCCAAGCGCAGTTGAATAAGGTGACTGAATCACACTCACACAAATAAACACATAATATAATTCAGAAATTCTCTCTTCCTCCAGAAGCAAAGAGGAACACTAAAGAATTCCACACAAGATGAATGGATCCTAATTATTCACTTTGTTTGTCATGATGTGTGAATGAGTCTCATCGTCCCCTCTTGCACTCCAGTTCTATGCACAACATTTATTCACTTTCCTTCTTCTGTTCTCGTCCTTCTTACGTCACTAACATTTCCACTGATTAAACACCTTAAGTACTGACACACCTGTCTCTCACACGGTCTACCTCTTCCACGTCAACGTGCAGCTGCACTCTCTTACATGTTCTTCACCAAACTATTCTTCAGGATGTGTTTCACTGTGTCTTGTGAATATATACTTTATGATCATGGTGGATGTCACTAATGGGTGGTTCATGGCCAGTGACTTGAGCTACACTATCCAGGGAAATTTATTGATTTGGCATTATGATGCTTTTATCAGTAAATTCAGTGGTAACTAATGATACAGCCTCCCTGCTGCCTTTGTTTTCATTCCACTTAATGTACAGTTGAAAAATATGAAAATAAAAAACTTTTATGATCAAACTGTCAACTAGCAGCCACAAAAAATAAAGATGGGGAAGTGTGGTGGAGGATGAAGGCTGAGTGGGAGGCTTACTTGTGTGTGTATGAGAGTTTCTTCTTATTGCTGCGGGACCACTCACTGTCCCTCGTTATCACGCTGCCCACTGTCCTTATACACCCACCTCTCATCTATTATATACCTGGGATACTGTACACAAGGGGCATGGCTAAAACACTAAAGGAGGCGGGGTTTATGTACATTGGAGGCGGGGTTAGTATGTATTTTGATGAGGGTTGTTGCACTGCAGGGACGAGTTTTGTCGTGACAAGGGGGGGGGCGTGACATGGCAGGTGACAAGGGAAAAGATTGTGACACTGCAGGTGATGGGGTGGGTGACCTGCTTGTCAACAACATGAGACACGATCTTTGGGTACAGGGGCGGACACCATCACATGCCCACAATGTGTTGCTGATGTGTTATTTGCAAAGCTTCAATGATAACATAATTTTAGGGAGATAACCCGAGACAGAAGAGAAGGAAGTGTACGTGGTGTGTATAGCTTAAAGGGAAACAGTACATGATGGACGCAAGCTTCCTCAGTGTTTGGGAAGAGCAATAATGTACTGTTTTGTGTTGTTTTTCATGTCAACCAATAGAAGAGAAAAGCATTGGACAGCTGCTTGTTCTCTGCCAAATGATACTTGAAACTGCCAAGAAGTTATTTAGCTTAGTTCATCGAGGACCAGAGTGAGCTATAGTCGTGTGTGTGTGTGTGTGTGTGTGTAGTATTTTTTATTAAAAGCCTGTGTACATTTCCCTAGAACTTTTAACTTGGGTTGATCTAAATATGATGAAAAACTGTGATTTTTTTTTATTTGTGTTTAAATTTGATATTCAATTTATGTAGTTATTTTAGATCTTTGAGTACTGTTTCGTAAGAACATTAAATTTCATACTAATTAGGCAATATAGCTGGTAATAAATAGACATAACTTGGGCTTAATGATAGTCACTCCAAATATGTGTCATGAGACTGTTTTCTTATAATTGCTAAAACCAGTTTCCTTGTTAAATAAGTCTGGTCTGATATTGATCAAACATCGTAAGGTGGCGAGACTGGATAAGTTCAATAATCGAGACGCTATGCCCACAAGGACAAAGGTTGTTGATGTCAGATTAGTGACTTTCCTCCCAACTGAATGATTACAACCTCTCACTATCTGTTTACCTTTCTTTACTCTGTTTTAGTGATTTGCTATTTAATGAAAATTACAAACGACTGATGTCATCTGCGTGGTGTAGAGTTCTGGAGGATACGCTATACATGTTAAAATTTACTGAACATTTTTATAGTTACCAGAAAGTGGCCGTCTCTCATTACTGTCAGGGGATGTGATGATGCAGTGAGTGGGTGTTAGGTGTGGGTGGGGCAGGTAAAGGGTGTGAGGGGACGGGTGAGGGGTGTGGGTAGTCAGGGGTCAAGTGAAGGATGTGGGGAGTGAGTGGGTAGGTGTGAGGTGTGAGGGGGCAGATAAGGGTGTGAAGGCATGGATGTGAGGTATGAGGGAGGCAGGTGAGGGGTGTGAGGAGTGAGGGGACAGGTGAGGGGTGTGGGTAATCACGGGACAGGGAGGGGTGTAGGTAGTGGGGGTGGGGTGGGGTAAGGAAGGCAACATGGCCATGGGGTGTAGCTTGTGTGAGTGACAAGTGGTGTAGGCGGGGCTTATCGCATGACTGATACTGCTTACATTGGGCTGCGTAATGTGACGTCTAAAGTAGTTTTTACATAACCCAAATACACATTGCAGAAGTATAACATTAATCCCCTATAATAATTACCATTATTTCAAAGCTTGTATTAAAAAAATCGTGACCTATACAGTTCATAAAATTTGATCACAAATTCAAATATTCAAGCTTTCATGATTGGTGTTCCTGGTGTACTCACTCCAAAAACTATCTCTACAATTTTGTGTAAGACAATATGACACAACAGACAAAGGATTTTGACAACCCTACTGAGACAACAGGAGTCAGTGTTCATTTTGAAATTCATCAGACCGCTCTGTAAAGATACTTTTTGGAGCAAGTACATGATAATTTAACACAGACTAATAACAGAGTAACCCAGTACAGTACAGTACAATTTATGAGTCATTTCAATCTGGTTGCATATTAACCATCCATAACTGTCTTTGTAATGACCTCAGATAATTAGAAATATACCTGTTCAGTACTAAGAATGTTTTGGTGCTTGAACACTATTTGGATAGGCATTGAAAGGCAAAAATGTATAAAATATATATTTATTTTTTTAAGAACATTGTCTTTAAAACTTAACATATAATAAATTATAAATACAGTACAATACAGTACAGTAAAGTACAGTACAGTACAGTACAGTACAGTACAGTACAGTATATATAAATACTGTTAATAATATTTTAGATTAAGTTTGATATTCCCACATATACTGTACAGTATTTTCATATTTTTAACAAGAATTTTTCACAAAAATATCAAATCTCAGATTAATAATAGCACATACATAAACAAAATTATATTAACATCTAGACCAGAGCAAAACAGAATAAAAGTCAGAGATGATGATAATGCACATCCATATCTAAAAACTTGCTACACATAACTTTACATCTTTGTACAATGAGGAAGGAGCACGGCAGTCATGCCTATGGGACCCACTTTCACAATGAGGAAAAAGTCATACCTGCCTATATGGAACCCAGGTTAATTATTATGTAGTGTCTTCATACTAAAGCTTGGAATTCTCTGAGCCAATTTTATGATCCAGGTTAAACTTGCCATGTCGACCTACTCCACCAATAAATTTTTGGGCTCCAAGAACAGATTCCTGTGAAAATATGCAAAATATAAAATCAGTGATATACTGTATACATAGAATCTGAAGAATGGATAATCCACTTTTAATTATTTTGAACTTCATAGTTTTCAAGAATTGTCTTATTGCTTAAATTTTATTATTTTATTGCCTGAAAGTAATGACATAGACCCAGAAAATTACATAAAATTAATAGGGACCTAAAGTTTTATGGGTGAAAGCAAGACAATGTCATTGTAATTGTCTAAGATATATTTGAGAAAGGATTATTTGCTTAGATACTTAGTAATAGATATGGAGTTTCCTTTATTATGATATTGGATCACAGATGTTCTTGACTACTTGTAACTTGTGTTTGCTTATTAACTTTAATAAAACTCAGAGTTCTACCTTGATTTCTCCATGATGGGGAGCTATGCTTTAGGGAGGTTTCTGGTTTATAGGGAACATATTTGCTGCTACAGATAACTCATAAACCATCCTGATATTTTCTTTATGGGAAATCAGAGAATGTTAAATAGCTACGTACCATGAAATTTGGTGTGAAACTTCATGTCAAGACTTGTGATGCCAAGGAATAAATTAAGGCCTTTATTTTTTAGTCTTTGCAATTTTCAGGGTAATTAGTAGTTGTAATGATGCCTGGAAGATTTCAATGACAATTTCAATGCTAATTACTCGCCAACAATGGGTTTCCGAGGTGCAATTTTGGTGTTTTTGTTATTCAGGATGCAGGTACTTAATTTGTTAAAACCCCTTAAATACCAATTTTGAGAGAAAAGTATGTTTTTGGCCCATAATTGGATTTTGTTGAAAATCTCAGTACAGTATAAGTACTCCTACACATGCTGATTATGAATCTATGGTCCAGAGGGTTAGATGTGTTCCAAGGTTGGAGTAACCTGGTATAGTATCTTGTTTTTTGCTTTCTCTTCCTTTTATTTATGAAGAAAGTTATATTAAAGCTGAAGAAGACTGTTCTAATGGCTCCTTGTTAGCTTCAATTTTTAGTGAGAGAGAATGAGCTCATGTATCACTGTCCTCAATTCTTAAGTGTCTTCTGTGGGACTCACTCACTCTCATGGTTCAAACCAGTTGGAAAGTAAAATGTATGTGTATGTAGATGCTCTACCTTATTGGTCAGTGTTCATTAATGGTACACTGGGCAGTTATTGTTCCATAACATTTTAATGGTGGGTTAAATGCCAGGTCTAGTAGTGTCTCTCCACTCTTTCATGGTTAGGAAGTTCACCTTGGTTAGCCGGGTTGAATTCAATGAACATGAAACCTCTGAGAAAACATCTTTTTTGCAGCTTTGGTGATTCCTTTCATTGAGGATCTGAGCAGCTGCCATTTAGTTCACAGTTACAATAGTCTGTTCACTCAAACCTTACAACTAAGGCCTTGGAGAAGTTTGTAACAAGGCAGCTGATTGGCTGGCAGACAGACATGCAAAGTCCCCACAATTCTTTAGTATCTAATCTATCATATTTACATTCTCATATTTTAAGGGATAATAAATATTCTGTGTTGATCTTTGATAATTTCTGAACTTGGGAGGCAAAAATTAGCTTGTGAAATACTGGTAACATATCTTAAGGAGAAGAAGAAAAAGGTTACAAAATTTCAGCGACATCCTCCACCGCACTGCATGACATCTTATAGTGAGGAAGAGTTTATGTTCCAGGACTTGTCTATCCCTTAAATTTACTGGGTGTACAAAGTTGCTTGATTATGAGTCAGCTGTAAAACAAGATTTCAGGCTTTTTGAATTATATTGAGGATAACCAGGTACATTATTATTCTTTTTACCAATTTCATATATATTGATCCACATTGATTACATTACCTTCAAAATTATTGGAATTCCATTTTCTGATTCAAATTGTAGACTTTCTTGTAAAGATTTTGCAGAAAATGTGGCATGTAATGCAGAAGCTCGGTCAGCTAACATACATTCTTGAGGAAACTTAACCAAAGATTGAGCTAGGTTGACTGCTTGCCCAACAGCTGCAATTCAAGATAGAAATAAAATATAGAACTGCAATAATTCTGAAAATTATAGTTTTACCTCTAAATACATCATGAAATATACATAAAACCTGAAACATTTTACAATATAGTACACAACAGATTAACCATTTTAATGGATGGAGATATAGATAATGGTGTGGTAAGTGAAGTGATTAAAGGTGGAGGAGAAATTAGTATTGATTGACAAGGAAATTTTGTATGGTTGTCTGGAAAACCAAGAAAATGCCAGAATATTGGTTGAAGTTATTGGTTGTTCTCAGGTACAGGTATACAGGGAAGGGTACTTGAAAGAAGTGTGTTATATATAAAGAAATTAGTCATTTGAGCATGGATGGAAAGATAGTTATTGTGTATACCATAAACTACTCAACACATTCTGTATACCTTAATCTACCTCACACAAAAGCATGAAAGGGGTAAAGTAATAGCTACAAAGATAAATTGTATTCAAAGCCTTACCTGTACCACATGCTACGAGTCGGTTAGCAAGTCCCCACTCTAATGCTTCTTTCCCTTTAATTGCCCTGCCGGTAAGGATGAGATCAAGAGCACGGCCAAGACCTACAATGGCAGGAAGGCGAACTGTCCCGCCATCAATTAGTGGAACACCAAACCTATAATATTTGAGTTAATTTAATTACTGTATTGTACCATACTGTATTTAATAGCCTTCACTCCCACCCCATACACTTGAAATGCCTCCCAAAATGCTCTTCTGTTCACCCTATCATATTCCTTTTCCAAATCTATTATAAATCATTAAAACCATCTGTAAGTATAAAAACCAACAAAAAACTTATTAAAACATTTAGTACCCGGCACTCTCATTATGATACCTAAAGCTCTTAGTTAAACGAGTCTGGAATTCTTTGGCACATGACTAATATAAAGAAAAAAATCCTTTTACAGTGTCATAAGTTTCTTTTAGTAAAGGTACAAACCTTCTACAGAAGACTCCCATTACTGCTGTGTCTTCCACTACCCGGAGGTCACACCACAAAGCTAATTCAAGCCCACCAGCCACTGCAAAGCCCTCCACAGCAGCTATCACAGGTTTCTTGGTTTCATAGTGTGTTGGGCCCTGCAATAAAAATTTAATCATGAATGTCAAGTTACTAAACATAAAACACAAGCATAGGAGCATGGTGGTCGAGTGGATTCAGCGTTTGCCTCCTGTTCCAGGGGTCGGTAGTACGATTCCGAGGTGCTCCCAGTTCACCCAGCTGTAAATGAGTACCGAAGTACAACTTGGGGCAGTAAATGCAGTTGAGTGCAGTACCTGCCATACTGCCATCTTGTGTACCGAAGGCTTAGTATACAGTAGACCCTTGCCATTCGCTGGTTTGTGATTTGCGATTTCAACGATTCACGGTAAGCAGATGGTGGCTAAGGTGGCTAGTATGCAGGCCTTTTCCCGCAGCACAACGATTCACCCCACGCATTATCTTGCGTTGTACTCTCAAAAGTTTAGTGTTTCTGTGTGAAATGGACCCTAAAAGACTGCCTAGTGCCAGTGCTAGTGATGCTAGTGGAGTGAAATGTAAAAGGCAGAAGTCAGTGAAGACCCTGACAAAGAAAGTTTTAATATTAGATAAGTTAAAAGAGGGGATGAGTGCTGCTGCGGCTGGTCAGTTGTTTGGTATAGGTATACAGTAGAGCACTAAGGTAGTATAAGTTGCTATTCGCGGTTTTGCCAATTCGCGCCATTTCTCGGAACCTATCCCTCTCAAATGGCAAGGGTCTACTGTACAATGTGTTGTATCCACACTGTCCCTAATGGGCAGTCATGAGTATGGGACCCACTTTTCAATATCCATAAAGAAAAAGTATTTTACACCTAACAAAAAAAATTTCTACTGTCCCTTTGAGCCAAGAAGGTGCCACTGAGGTTATTTCCCATGAAAGCTGTCCATTTTTTTTTTAAATTTCTAGAGAGAGAAAAACAAAAACATATTGACCTCCATTAATTTCACCCATGAACAACTGTGTCTGTCTTAGTTACTTGGTGGGTAACAAGTGGAAGAAATTTCCTCCCAGACTTTGTAGTAAAAGTTTCTATCACTGGAGTTGACTCTTGAGATAAAAGGCCCTGAATTAGTAAGGCAAGATCTAGAGACCATTTTAATGGTAGTGGATAAGTTCTTAAAAAGATGATCTCCTTCCACTTGAGGCTGCTAGCTCTGTATCTACATTAGGCTTTTAAATTAAGGTCACATTAATTTTGTATCAATACTCTACTGCAGAGCACCCTGCACCCCTATTTTTCATACACTGGGATAAGTGAAATTTTAGCTAGAGTTCAAGGTATCTGACTAAACAAATTGGTTGGGAGATGGAGAGGCCTATTTTAATTAAAGCGAAGCTTGCTGGAATAATCTACCATCTACAAAAACCACTTCAACTTCAGGGGTGGCTGTTATGGACTTTATAATATGAGCTAATCATGTGATGGCATTCCAGTGATATTACTTTTGAAGAAATGTAGCTTGTCCACAACTCTGAAGAAGTTTTGTTACCCGATGGGTGTGAGACTGCTTTCTGTAGGGAAAGGCTACCTGATCAGTTAGCACAAACTCACCATAGGTCCTCGATCACTTGAAGAAAGTCTCTCTGGAGGCTTCTCACTGAGCTCTTTCAAGTCAAATCCAGCACAAAAGTTGCCTCCTACACCATATAGCACAGCAATTTTTGCAGAGTCATCCTTATCAAAGTCTTGAAATGCTGCAATTATAATAATAACAAAAGTGTAAGTACTGTACTTCACTCTATGGTCAGCATGGAGCCATTTTACTTATGTCCAAGTACTGAACAAGTCAAAGTTAATTCTTCTTGCCAGAATGTTGCCACTGGCACGAATACTATACATTTTAACTTTAGATCTGTAGTACATAAAAATTTGAGAATATATAAAGATTGTAGATATTGTATTAAAAGCAAACCAACGATCAAATGAATATGGAGACAAAATGTGTAGGACAGTACAGTATAATACAGTACAGCACAGTATAATACAGTACAGCACAGTACAATACAGTATAGTACAGTATACAGTAGTACATAAAAGCTGGGAGAAGTTTATATTGTTCATATAAAGTAGAAGTATGTGTATGAAATCTTGATTATGAGACAAAATTGGTCTTTTTATCTTGTAATGTACCATCAATATTATAGCTTAATCTTTACTAACAACTCACTGAAGTATTTATGCCATCATCTCTCCTAGTCCTCAATATTGTGATCACTTCCTTATTTCTGCACCAAGATCTCTTCCTTATGCTTTCTACCTTAATCCCATAGTACAATACTCTACTGTACACAATTCACTTGAAAGACAGTAGGGCTGATTAGGATGGCTGTGAGTTCTACTCATTAGTCCCTTAGAATTTCACCACTGAAGTTGGCAGTTATACGAGAAAAGTATATAAAGTACTGTACTGCAACTACAGTTCAGTATAGTATCAATTTGGAAAGTGACCTGTTTATTTCCCACTTTATCCTCACCACAAGGCACATTTCAAGAGTAATAAATGGGGCTTAACTAAGATTTCAAATTATACCCATAATGCTTTTTACTAACACATAATCAGTATAATAAAGAGCATACAGGTAATGGGATTTGAAAAAAATAATAATACTGTAATTTGAGGTTAAGTAATGAAAATGTAATTGAAGTATGTAATTCCATTTTAGGAAATTAAGTAGCAATTCACATAAACATAGAGATCATCATTTTCATGGGGTCATTCATCATTAACAAAACTATAGAGCATTGGCTAAATCGATTTATCTTGTTCAGTAATTTTCCTCCAAATTTACACACCTGTATTTGTATGGAATACTGTACCTTGTAGTAGAGCCACTGCTGTTGAAGTGTTGACACAGTTTCTCTTTTCTGGTCTGTTTATACCAATCATTGTAATTTCTGGAAGATGTTCAACTATAACAGTGCCTGAAATATTTTTAAAAATTAGTAATCTTTTTCCTTTGCTGTACAATACTCTATCCTATTATATCTAGTTCCAGTACAAGGTTATTGCAAGTATTTAGTAGGTTTTAAGCACCATTTAAAACTGAGGATTACACTATTTGACAGAATATTTAAACTAGACTGAAGCAAGAAAGTCGATCCCAGAAGTCATTTGAGCAAAATCATAACGGTACAATATAGACTTTATACTTTATCAAAGTATAAGATCAGTGCATTTTAGTTTCTGTCATGGTGATGACTATCTAGTGCACCCCTAATCAAGACTGCCCACAATGTCCTAAAAACACCAGGAGCTTCAATCTGCTTGTATTAAATTCTTTATTATGAAGCCTTATCATGGAAAGCAGAGCACCACAGCAAAAAATGTATGGTATGGTAGTTCAAGAGATTTACAGCAGATGAGGGAAGATAGTTTGTTTGCTTTCAATTACAGGGATAAACTTATGAGAAAAAGAAAAGGAAAAAGAAATATACATCAACATTTATTCATACCATCAATATGGTGTTCTTTATTTTTCTGGCTTCTTCTGTGGTACTGAAATCATGTTCTCAAACTTCATTCCACAGTTTATATCCTTATCTAACTTTAATTCAGTTACTCTAGCAATATCCATCAAAACTACCAGGATACTGTACATTAGCCTACCAGCCTCCCTAAACTGAAAAAGTAAAAAAATTATATCTAACATCATCATCGACATATCAATTGTCATTATTAAAAAAAAAAAAAATACCCATAAAACTTAAATTCAGATTATACTCTTAAAAAGTTCTACGAGAGTAAATTTGAAGAGTAATGTATAAACTTTGGTACCTTCTTGAGCACTGCTTTCAGTCTTTCCTGAGGTGGACATGGCCTTCGCACCAACTATGGACCGACATATAGATAACAACCTGCTTCTTCTTCCCAGTGCAACAAGCGCAGTCATGATCCTCTTTGATACTTTGTAGTGCGTTTCAGTGTACTATTCAAAGGTGTATCATACCTGCCGGGGCTGAAATATAAATTGCACATTAGTACTTTCCTAATGCATGTATATAAAACTAATATGTGGTACATGTACTTTAATATTTCTATAGATAGTACAGTACAGTAATATACAATATAAAAATTTCTTTTCCTAACAATGCATTATGTTTAACTTTCACACCACTAAAATCTTTCAAATTCAGTACGGCAAACTAAAATTGATTCCAAAGAAGTTGTCAGAAAAATCAGATAATTGAGAAAAGCAAAACATCTTGTTAAGACTTCATCAAACAAAATGTATATATTTTTTCTATTCCACACTTGCAGCACTTTGTAATAATATTTGTTATTTTTGGTTTATTTACACCAAACCTAATGATGACTGGTGCTACTATAGTGTGCGGTCTACACTATATTTAGGTTAGGTTAGACCAAAGACATTTTTGTAGGCTGCAAGCTATAGTAGCACCCAATGACTACCGTACATTGGATTGGGTTATGTTTGGTTTATTCATAAGGTCTTGATAATTGGTTTCTACAACTTTACTTTTCTGTTTATTACAGAGATTTAACACTTAAATAGAATACTGTGTAGTGGATTCCTCCCCATCCTGAGTGTGAACCAAGTGGTGACCCCCGGAGATTCACACTCACACAGGAATGGAGGAGAAATATCCCGTACCCCACAACTGTAATGTAATGACAACACTTTGTGACTAAGGTTAGATTAGAGTTAGGGTAAAGATTCTAATAATTACCTACAACTTAAATTATTCTATTCATAGGGAAGCCACAGGTTAACCCTATAAATAACAAGGGAGCTTTACTGTACACTATAAGGTGCTGTATCTTTACTGATGTTTATTTATCACCAGTTTTACGGGGTCATATATTGACTGAGCTTAAATAGATAATTATTATCGCCTTCCATTCACTGATGATTCTCAACTTAAAATTTTTTCTTGAGTATTCCCTACCCAGTGAGTATCTCTAAACTCCCTAATTTTAACTAAACCGAGATATAGCCATATAAAACCTGCAACCGGAAATACTGACGACAGTGCATTGCAGTTTTATGATCACTTATGTTCAATGTAAAATAGCCGAATTGGTAATTGTAGCATATAATGGGCCTCATCATTAAAAAAAAAAAAAACTTTAAATGTAGCATCTAGTATTTTTATGGTTGTAGAACTTGTAGTGTTGACTTTGAAACACCGCGGGGAAAAATTGAATGTCTGCACGGAAGGTTTGTGTACAGTTTGGCTCAGGGGAGAGCGTGTGTGGGGCCAAGTTAGACTTTTATCTGAAATGTTTAGAAAAAGTTCTTCATTTCCTACTTTACTGATTGTCCGTAACTCTGCGGAATGCACGGATGATATCTGAACAACATTTCGAAAGTAAGCTTATGCTGTTGGTTTTAAAATAATTAGTACAAGCCGTAGGCCTACTACACATGTCATTGTAGAGCACGTGTAGGTAAATGATCAAAAAATCACAAGTTACTGTTTTTTTATACCATATTCACGTGACATAATTGGTCTTATAAACTATATATAACATTGCCCATACATGGATAACTGCTTCATCAGAAACCATGTGCGAAAATTCGTTGTGTCTAGAAACGAGATATTATTTGATACTGTTTCATTGTTCCAGTTATGTGGCTGTTACATCAGGAAAGAAATTATTATTTTTCAACCTTTACAAAAAGTACAGTGCCTCCAGCGCGTACTCTAAGCGCACCGTTTCTTTTTAGTGATTACAGTTCCGACTAGTGTTGTTTATATTTTATCATCACAATTACAAAACCTTGCAGCCTAGGCCGTACTATACTGCCTGTGGGTATGTGTCAGGTTATCGGTTAGGTTGCCTTTTTTATAGACTACCCCCAGAAGGAGTTGATAGAATTGGAGGAAACTGTGAGCAAACGTTATTTATAATACACCTATATATTGAATAGATAAATGGAAACGAGAGTGCACAGAACCTATTTGAACTTGACCTAACCTAAAGTAACCTACCGAACAGAAAACTTTTTAAAGCATATCTAACGACACTGAATGGATTTTCTTTTCCATTTGTCTATTTAATAGATTGTAATTGACGTTTCCACAAAGTTTCGTCCAATTATATCAACTCCTGGTGTTAATCTAAAATATCTACCTAACCGACAACCTGTCAAATATCTACAGCGTTTTGCATTTCAACTATTATAGATACAGTATATGGTTTTTGTTCATGGTGGAACATTACTTAGACATTTAATAACATTTGGCCCCGTGACTAACTTTAACCGATCGCCCCCCCCCCTTAAAAAAATCCAGGGGTGAACTTAAAAAACAACAACAAACGTGAGAGTCAGTATCATGAGACCTGACTGTTAAGGCATTTACGGACCAGCAAACACAAAGAAACAAACATTGCCAGAAAATCAATATACTACGTAGCCAGGTTACGCCTAGTAACAAGAAAACGTGACTGACACTTCAGTTTGGCGATTTCCGCATTTTATATATAGAGCAGACAGAACATACGAGTCACTGTATCTGCTGATTCTTTGTTAACTTTAATAATCGACACATTAACACTTCATAATTATACAGTATCTGTTATATGGAAGGTTTATTATTATTATCATTAACGATTTAAATACCTGTACACGTATAAATTTAACTTTGCTGCCCGGTTATGACTGTTGCCTGGCTAATTTTTAGAACGTTTCTGAAGTTTGTAAATATTGCTCGTTGGAGATACATTCATTGATTATTTTTCTTCATTTTTCTAAGGAATAGTTTCTGTAATTATTTTAGAATGATCTGTTTAGTGCCCTTGCTCATGTTCGCCAATGACATTCAAATGTTGAATTTAGTTTGGTTATGTGCTTGGGTATATAATGGCAGGTACGTACATAGACATTTAGGATCAGAAAATTTTATTGAGACATTTTATTTATACGTCATCTCAGGGTGAGGGTGCATAAGACATAAGTATTCGTTTTATTACAGTCACTGGGGATGGGAGAAGGAGGGGGTGGGCCACTGACCACAGTACTGTACTGTACAAGGATCAATAGCAGCCGCTATTGATTGTGGAGGCGGGAGATGCTTTGTTACACCTCCACCTGTGCCAATTAGCGTTCGAGTTCTCTAGGAGTTTTAAACCTACGTTAAATATTCAATCCATCCTAACTTATCTACCTGGCATAATGATGATACTAAGATTCCCGTGACACATTATCTTATCTCCAGTGATTGGAAAAATAGTAGGGGGGGGGGGGGTCATAATAAGCAGAGTTGGCACGAAACTGTTGTTGTAACATTTGTGTGTGTGTGTAAATTTACCTCCGGACCCAGAGATAGACCTGGGGTCTTCTAAAAAATTGGATGGCCTTTATTAGAAAAGTCTAAGTTAACATAGTGCCACATTTCAGCACTACGGTCCCAGGGGGGCTGAAAATTATTCGCATGTCGCCTACCCGATTTGGTATTATTATTATTATTATTATTATTATTATTATTATTATTATTATTATTATTATTATTGTAGTTGTTACTGTTATAAACATTATATTATTTTATTAGTATAAATATATGAATATAAATTATTGTACATGTAAAGTACTTGCTTCTTGTTGTCTTTATTTACTTTCTCTTGTTATTCCTTTCTCCTGCTTTCTTCTTGGTGCTATATTATCATTGTCACTGTCGATAGATGAGTAGAATAAATGCCCGAGCCAGCGTGTCCGGCGGCCATAGTTAGGTGTAAAGTGTCATTATTATTACAGTACATTGTCATTACTAGCCTTCATAATTTGTTGCTAATGTTATTGCACTGACCGCTTTTCGCCCGTCCGTCCGTGCAAGCCTAAGCAGAGGCTAGAGGGCGCTATTCTCAACTGATATAATGAAGTGCAGTGAGATTATGAATACAATTCTAGTTTGGATACATATAATAGAATGCCTTTAAACTGACAAATTTATTACAAAGGTTAAATAAAAAGTTTATCAGATGCTGTACTGTTATGGAAGGCTGGAGGCCCAAATTATATATAAAAAAGTAGTAGTAGCAGTAGTAGTTATGGCAGTAGTACTTTTGGTGTAGGTATAGTGTGGTGGTGTGCTGGAGGAAGAGGCGGGCCACTGAACCATAAGCTCACTCTAGGGATCTGGTGAAGTGTCTCTTTAAAATCAATACTTGGCCCACCCTGGGGTCCCTGTCTGCTCTCTCCCACTCCTCACTCTCTTTTAACGAGTCTTCTTTATTACTTACTTTCCACCCTCACACACAGTCTCCCTCCCATCCCTTTCTCGCTCATTCTTTCTTATTCTCTCCACTTTTTATTTTCGTTTTCTCTTTCACTTTCTTTCTCTTTATTTTGTTCTCTTCCTCCATTTTTCATTTTCCCTCTATACTTTCTTTTTCATTTCTTCCTATACACTTACTTTTTTTATCGTTTCCTTGTTTCACTTTGTTTTTCTTTCGTCTGCACTATTATTTTTTTCTCATTTCCTTCATTTATAATTTATTCTCTAGTTTCTTTTTACTTTCTTTCTTCCTCTATCCATTCTTTTTTCTTATATGATTTTTTCCTTTCTTCATTTATAATTTTTTCCTTCATGTAAACTTTTGTTTTTCCTTTCTACGACACTTTCTCTTTCCTCTTCCTTTTTATTCGTCTTTTCCTTCACTTTTCACCTCTTTAATCCGTATTCCCTTCGTCTTGTCTTTTATTTACGTTTTATAACACCCATTTCTTTCGTCACCTCATTATTCTCCACTTCATTACTTTATCGTATTATTTAGATGTTTATCCATTTTCCTTATATTCCGATTCTTTTTTCTTCATATTTATATCATTCATTATTTTATTCCCGTCTTATTTATTTATTTTTCATTTTATTTTGCTTGTCTTTATTTCTCATTTCCAGTAGTTCTCTTTTCACCACTTTGTATTTTAATTTATTCTCTTATTGTAGCTTCATTACCTACGCTTCCGTCCTTACTACTTACGTGCTCTCTCTCTCTCTCTCTCTCTCTCTCACACACACACACACACACACACACACACACACACACACACACACACACACTTCCTATAAGAGGGAGTTATGTTGTTATTGTTGTTTCTCTTCCACATAGCACCACTCACCACTACCACACCACATCACCACACACCACATCACCACACACCACCATGTCAACGTCACCACCACCACTCACCCTCACTGATGTTATCACCATCTGGTAATTTCCCCCCCAATTTCACCTCAATTTTCGTCCACCACTCACCACCAAATATTTTTACTGTTATATAATACTTCCTATACTCTCCCACCTTAGTGATTTATTTAAGCATTATAGTTATTGGTGTATTTAGGTCTTTTTAATGGTGATTTATTATTAATTTTATTCATATTTTTGTTTATTTAATTCCAGGTTCTGTATTTACTTTTGTTTATTTTACTTTTTGATTTATTTTATTTTATAGACTTTTATCATTATATATTCGGGTTATATATCTCATCTGTAATTTATATAGTATTTTTTTATTACTTATTTTTATTCTTCTTTTATTTAATTATTACTTATTGTCAATCTCTGTTGTTTATCATCTCATATTTTCTTCTATTATTTATTGTTCTCTTCTTAATCTTTTAGTCATGTTTATTTTTGTTGTGTGTTTGGTATTTAATCATTTAATTTACCCATTTTTTATTTGTTTATATATTTCGTTTATTATTCTTGTATTTTGCCTTTGAATTATTTATTTACCTGATATGGAAAATACACTTACCTTACCTTACCTTACCTTACCTTACCTTACTCACTTTACCTTACCTTACCTTACTTTACCTTACCTTACTCACTTTACCTTATCT